GGGTTTTAGTACCCTAATCAGGCTTCGCTTATAAGACGTAATTTTGTTTAGTCAGGACTTTTGAGATGGTGACTTACCTGAAGTTCGTCTTGTCGTGTACTGGTTTCTCTTAAGCAACTCATCGAATGTGAATTAAACAATAGTGTTATAATCAGTGGTTGGAAATTGTCCACCTACTTACTGTGATAATGATAATTGATTACCTCGAAATTGTAGGTGATATGGCTCGGGAGTCGGGCAAATTATTCAGGATGTCACCCAGGATCTCCATCAATACAAAATTGGGGCACCTGGGTGTCGTGTCAGATGAACCGAAATAAACGCAAAGCCGGGACGCACGTTCTCCCACAAGGTGTGTGCGCGGTGTCTATGTTTTGCCGACTGACCTTCATTGGGAAGATAGAGTTCGCAAGTACTATAGTGTTTCAAGAGTTCCGATCACACATGTGACTGTCCGATAGATATGAGAGTGCTTCAAATCGCTGATCTGGTTTGCTGTAGGTCGGTATTGCGGTATAAGCAGGTTTTTTGGGTGCTAATGAAGTATGGGCTGTAGTTTTCTGAGAGATTATGAGCCTAGTGATACTTTTCACTTCCTAAGAGAATAGCCCCAAATCTGTAATAGAGGAGATAGTGAGTTAGTGTTAGAACGTACGATTTTCCGGCTTTATATACTATAAAATGCCTTTACCTCAACACCGGCTACCTTCGATTCTACAGGGCTTAGGATTTGGTGGAATTATCCCATTACAGGCCTAAGTCAGCAGTACACCGTTTTCTCTATCCCTTTGAAAAAAGATGGATTGGATAGGAAGCCAGGACAATATTGAAGCCACGTCAATTTCCGAAAAATTAACACGACATAGTACGTTCTCCCACAATAACACGAACTTCGGTCTCCGACAGAATCAAGTGCAATACCAATTACTAGATTTCCACAAACACGAGTTTCTCGTTGTTGCTTTATGGACGCCCTGTTACTGGGCCCTCAGCGAATGGAGTTGACAATGCACACTGTATCTATACAACAACAACAGCGAGAGATGCCTTCATTCAATCCACAACAAACTGAATGTACGACGCTCGGTAGAATTAGCTGACGTCATGTCATGTTTTACGCTAACTGTTTGACCTGGCTGAATGTGTAGTATATCTTCTAGCGAGCGACAATATCCTTACAGAAAGTAATTCGGTGTAAGCTTGAATATTGACTGCTAACATATGCTATTAAAAGTTCAATGAATAGTTTTAATGTGTTGCGTGTTTAAGCGTGTGTTTCACATTCAACGTCCGGTGGTTAGTTGAACATGGTGAGTGGGATGGGTCTCATGGGTGGTCATGTGTGTCTCCGTTGTTCTTATGACTAACGCACGTTTTTTCATCTTTCAGGGTCGTTCGAAGCAGTTGTGTAAGTTATATTCTTTGGCCTACGTCCTTTTTTCTGTTTTCAAATTTACTTACCGAATTGTTCGGTTTTAGTAAATAATTCGACAATTAAATCTCCAAAGCCTAATGCTACTCCGGAATCAAAGAACAAGCATCTCGTCAACGGCAAAGGCACTCCATTGAAAGGTGGATCAAAACGTCCAGTCCCTGTCGGCAGCGACGAGAGTGATGTAGAGGTTGACACAGGTGTGTTGGTGGGCGATGCAGGTGAAATGAGGATGTCACATAAGGTAAATAAGCTAATATGTTCACGATGTATAGCTCGAGTTGTTTTTGTCTTGTTACACACCAGAAGTTTATTTGGTTCGTAAGGATGTTCTCATAAATTCCCAACTGTCTGCTAGCCTCAGTCTAAAGTACTGAGTGTGCAAACTTAAGATTACAGTTCGAATCCATATAGGTTGTGCTTGTCACTACTCATGGACATTCTGTGGGAAACCAAATCAAAATTCGAGGGTTCTGAGTTACTCTTCAATTCGACCAGTGACATGCACTTGGCGTGTATAAACACTCATTTATGGCAAAATGGACGTTCACATGGGTAAAGCCCAACCAATTTTGATCAACATTTACCCTAAGTATTGTCTTTTGTACTTATGGTCTTCCTACTTCGTGATGAATGACTACCAAGTTTCCTGTTTAGTAAAGCTAGACGGGGACTGATAGTTGGGTGAAGAGATGAGTTAGTTTTTACTTATATGGAAAGGGTGGTGTTCCATTAGAGCCTTCCAATCTCGTGTATATCTGGATCTATATTAGACTTTTAAGTAATTATTACTAGTTTATACTGTTGCCTTATTAAACATGGTAATGCACAGGCCGGCTAGTTCATGTTAGCTGGCAGCAATCAAATCGTCCTACCACAAAAATAAAGGTCAGTCGTTCGAAATATCAACTAGTATGTTGAGGCATAGATTTGCCACAAGCAAAGTCAACTAATTTTTAAAAGCTTCAGAGTATTAAGTCTTATAACCTGATCAAACGATTTTTGTTCCAACCAAATTCATAGAAACTGAAGCTGGCGACTGAAAAGGAGATGGAACAACAGAAAAAGGATCTTGGCAGTGAAGATGAAGAGGATGATGAAGAAAATGATGAGGAAGAAGAGGAGGAGGACGAAGAGGATGGAGATGATGATAATGATGATGACGATGACGATAGCGAAGAGGAAGATGACGACGATAGCGAGGAGGAAGATGACGACGATAGTGAGGAGGAATCTGATGAAGAACAAGAAGAAAGCAATGGAGACAATTCAAAACTGAATGCTGAGAAAGGTAAAGCCATCAACAACCTGGTTGGGTCAAAGGCTGCCCAGAAACCTGGTTCGATGTTGAACAATGAGAAATTGACGGATAATAAGGTATCAAGCACATCGAGTAAAGCGACTGAAGGGTCCGAGCCACAAAGCAGTACATCAGGCAGAGTCCTCATACTACATGGACCTGACAACTTGAATAATTTGAAAGAATTCCTTTCCAAAATTAGCCCAGTGACAAGCATAAGCAGGATTGAACCAGCACCTATAATGGCTACCATCGCTAATATAAGCATTTTCAAAAGTCGATTAAAGTCAGGAAAGTTGATGTTTCAAGGGAAGGAGCTCGAAGTAATACCTGTAGATAGAGTCGATGACGCCAATAAAGGAATACAACCCACCAAAACTTTGTTCGTAGGTGGAATTCCCAAATCCCTGACAATTGTAAGTTACTTCTTTCTAAATATTGTATTATTCCAGGAACAACTAAAAAGTCACCTCCCCAACAACTGTCAACCTGTTTCCCTAAATTTGCTGAATAAAAACCCTAAGATCAATAGTGCATTCATATCCTTCTCCTCTATTGATGCGGCTAAGCAAGCTCACCAAATTTTCAGTTGTTTAACTGTGGAAGGCCAACTGTTCAAAGTGAACTTCGCTAAAGATCAACAACCTCGTAAGTATTGATTGGCAGTAGTCGCTTAACTGGCATCCTTTAGGAGCTGGTCCTGATGGTTCCGTAAGGGTCGCAATTTCAAATTGGGATGGTCATCCGAACCAGTTGCGTAAGCTATTCCCGACATGTATAGACGTTCAGTGGATTCAGAAAAAACGGTGAGTAAAGTTAGTTTTCTGCGAATTGGTTCAAACATTTCGTAAACAAGTCGAAGCCAATAGACTTACGTCACTCACTTAAGTTATTTAGCGTCAATTACTATCGGTCTTACATTTTCTTCTCCTTCATACAGAAAGGCATTTCTTAAATTTCCTTCCTTGGAAGTCCGAGAGGCCGCTGTCTCACAGCCAAAGTTCCACGCCGGTAAACAGCTGAAACTGGCATTAACAGGAGGACCAGAACTAAAGACTGCCATAGTTTGGGGTTTTCCAGCTGACACAAAAGAATCAGACATCAAAGGATTATTTGGTGGCGTCGTTTCAGTGTCACGTGATACAACTACCGGGAACCAGGGCGCGTAAGTATTTTAATATCTTGATAGTTGTCTTTGGTACCAAATTGTTACTGCCTTGATCTCATTTTAATTAGACCAGTTTGTTCGTCAAGTCTGACAATGTATTGCCTTGTTTCAGATCCATGACTGTCGAGTTTGAAACCGCTGCAGATTGTAGCAATGCAATTTCCTCAAACGCAACTCTGAAAGGTCGCCGCGTGACAATATTTTTGAAAGGTATGTCGGATGATAATTAAAATCTTACCTCTGAAGTTCTGGTTTACTCACATCACATATCAACCAGACACTAACTTACTAGGTTTTTCGCTTCAATCTTTTGGGTTTTTGCCTCACTAAACTAACCCGTATTTCTCCTTCAGATGTCCTTGTCGATGATTGCGCTAACAATCAACAGAAACAGTCTGGACCACCTGAGAAGAAAGCTAAACGTGAGTTTGTTTCGGTTTGTTTTGTATGTTTGTTTGCAATTGTGCTGTCTTTCTAAAGGCTTTTGCTGTTCATTATAGCTGTAGAAGCAGGTGTTTCGAAGGTCAAGGCTGCTCACAAAGTTTCAGAGGCAGAGGAAGTGCATGACGCAGATGAGGATGAGAATGACGATGAAGAGGACGAAGATACAAGTGAAGACGGCGATGATAGTGACGAAGACGATGAAAGTGAAGATGAAAGCGAGGAAGAAGATGATGGAAGTGAAGAAGAAAGTGATGAGGACGTTGATATGGTCTCACCTAAAGGCAAGGAGAAAAAGCAGTTTTCTGGCTCACAAGACAAAAAAACTGGTGGGTTTCCAAAAGCAGGCAACCGTTCAGGAGATCAAAGCAACTTCAAATCGCAACACAAATTTGGTGGTGATTTCAAGCGCAATTCGTTCCGTGGTCGTGGTGGTCGATCTCGCGGCCGCGGTGGTCAGTCACCTCATGGTCGTGGTGGCCAGTCTTTCCGTGGTCGTGGTGGTAACCGTGGGGGCTGGTCAAAACGCGGTGGTTCTGGTTAAAAAACTTGATTGCTCTGTAAATTCGAATTGCAAATAAATCTTTGTAAATGAATCTGATTTCTCTGATAGTTTGTTTTCCGTCCTTGATGAATACTTCTGTTTTTAGTTAGAAAGCATGTCACTTACACAAGCATACCAGTCTGGTCAAGCCACTTCTTTGGCCGTATACAATCTACCCACCTCGGCAGACGAAACAGAAGTTCAGTCGATATTCCCTTCGGCCAGGTCAGTCAACTTCGTACGAAGCCATTCTGTGTCTTCGCAATCTAAAGGGTGAGTACAGTTTGCTCCCTACAAATTGATTTGTTACCGCGCATTTAACGACATTATAAGAGATCTAATTCACTCCGTTTTATGAGCAGTACCACAGTAGGTCCGACAGTCTGCGATATTTTTGTTTGGCAAGTTAAATGTCCAAAGGTGAACCTAGGCATTTTAATGATGTTCCGTTAGTACGTTAACAAGAACTGACTCCGATCTTTTACCTTTCTACCTTTTGTTACTGGCGACGCAGGTGTGCCACATTGACCCATTCCTGTAATGTGAGCAGGTGGTACTATTTGCGATGGAGTGAAATACAGGAAGCTCGACCCGAACACTTTCGATGGAGGTAGAAATTTGTTACTCGAAAGATCTGCCTACGGGGTCTTTAGTAAAGCTTATTCGCTTCCCATTGATCGCTCCATATTTGCTCTCTTTTTCTGTTTCATATGTGAAACAGCATGTGCATCTTGCAATTCAACAATGCTCGTGACTGTCAACAAGCCTACGATGAATGTCTTCAAGGAAAAGAAATTGGTGGACAGCTTCTGCATGCGGAACTGAACGGAGGTGAGTTGGTCATTAAAACTCGTGCAATCACTGAACTTATTTCACAAGCTCTTTAATAATCACTCAGTTTAAATTTTTCAGATTATCATTCCAGTTCGTCAGAAAATTTAAATGTCAGCCAGCATTATGGAGGCAATTCCAGGGATTTCAGACGTTCACATGCCGATAATGAGTACAGCCAGCCCACATATGATCCGCATGGTAGAACTGATAGTGAAAGTTCTTCCAACGCTTGTACACTCACCGTGTCAAATCTTCCCTATACAGCATCTGAAAGAGATATTATGCGCGAGTTCCCGGAAGCCCTCCGAGTAGCACTTTCGTTAGACGAGCAGGGACGTTCCAGAGGGTAAATTTTATTTTTGAACTTTCAATTGTTTGTAGCGTTGCTCACGTGACTTTCTCGAATTCCGACCAGTGCAGCGCCGCTCTTACTTCCTGCGGAAATAAGATGATGGGTGGTAGGCCTGTGCGTGGACGAATCCAGAGAGGTAAAGGAATGCCCATACATTGTATGTGATGTTCATTATAGACCAGGAGCACAATCAACAACCGGGTTATAACAATCAACGCTCTTATAATCGTGACCAAAGAGAATACGGTCAACGTAATCAACGCGAATACAATCAGCGTAATTTCAATAATCGAGATCACACCAACCAGCGTGAAAACGGTAACCAGAGAGATGGCAATCAACGTGAGTACAATCAGCGTGATTATAGTGGTCAACGTGACTACAACAGACAAGGTAAGCTTATTTTGTCAGGCAACTAACTTGTTTAGTTGTTTTAGTATGACAGGCAGTGTAATTATTCTCGTTTTGTGGTTTCAGGTAGGCAGTTCGACTACAATTCAGGCAGAGGCGAAAGAGATGTAAACCGTTTCCAAGGTGCTCCAGCTAATCGGGGCGGGTCACGCGAGTTTGGTAGAAATGACCGCTTCGAACGAACAGATCAAAGACGAGATCGCAGCCCAGCCAGAGGAGAGCCAGTTCGTGGGTACGGTAGCTCAAAAGGACCCCGAATAACATCTGCCGTAATTCACCGTCCAGGAAATGCCAGCCCTTCGGAGTCGTCCTCTTCAGATGAGGACTAAACATCCTGGTATTTTTCAGGGATTTCCTTACTGGTGCGTCGTGCAAATACTTTTATTAACGTACATATGACTTTAAACATTAAAATATTCATGTTCGAAATTCATTAATGTTGTAGTCTAATATACACTTCACTTCACACGCGGTTTTTTACAGAATACAGTGAGATGAAGTGGTGGGATAAAGTTGAGGCCATGCTGGAATAAGTCGATTCCAACCAAATATACATAAACATATATGGCAGTGGGGTGGGTTGGGTTTTAGTACCCTAATCAGGCTTCGCTTATAAGACGTAATTTTGTTTAGTCAGGACTTTTGAGATGGTGACTTACCTGAAGTTCGTCTTGTCGTGTACTGGTTTCTCTTAAGCAACTCATCGAATGTGAATTAAACAATAGTGTTATAATCAGTGGTTGGAAATTGTCCACCTACTTACTGTGATAATGATAATTGATTACCTCGAAATTGTAGGTGATATGGCTCGGGAGTCGGGCAAATTATTCAGGATGTCACCCAGGATCTCCATCAATACAAAATTGGGGCACCTGGGTGTCGTGTCAGATGAACCGAAATAAACGCAAAGCCGGGACGCACGTTCTCCCACAAGGTGTGTGCGCGGTGTCTATGTTTTGCCGACTGACCTTCATTGGGAAGATAGAGTTCGCAAGTACTATAGTGTTTCAAGAGTTCCGATCACACATGTGACTGTCCGATAGATATGAGAGTGCTTCAAATCGCTGATCTGGTTTGCTGTAGGTCGGTATTGCGGTATAAGCAGGTTTTTGGGTGCTAATGAAGTATGGGCTGTAGTTTTCTGAGAGATTATGAGCCTAGTGATACTTTTCACTTCCTAAGAGAATAGCCCCAAATCTGTAATAGAGGAGATAGTGAGTTAGTGTTAGAACGTACGATTTTCCGGCTTTATATACTATAAAATGCCTTTACCTCAACACCGGCTACCTTCGATTCTACAGGGCTTAGGATTTGGTGGAATTATCCCATTACAGGCCTAAGTCAGCAGTACACCGTTTTCTCTATCCCTTTGAAAAAAGATGGATTGGATAGGAAGCCAGGACAATATTGAAGCCACGTCAATTTCCGAAAAATTAACACGACATAGTACGTTCTCCCACAATAACACGAACTTCGGTCTCCGACAGAATCAAGTGCAATACCAATTACTAGAGGTCCACAAACACGAGTTTCTCGTTGTTGCTTTATGGACGCCCTGTTACTGGGCCCTCAGCGAATGGAGTTGACAATGCACACTGTATCTATACAACAACAACAGCGAGAGATGCCTTCATTCAATCCACAACAAACTGAATGTACGACGCTCGGTAGAATTAGCTGACGTCATGTCATGTTTTACGCTAACTGTTTGACCTGGCTGAATGTGTAGTATATCTTCTAGCGAGCGACAATATCCTTACAGAAAGTAATTCGGTGTAAGCTTGAATATTGACTGCTAACATATGCTATTAAAAGTTCAATGAATAGTTTTAATGTGTTGCGTGTTTAAGCGTGTGTTTCACATTCAACGTCCGGTGGTTAGTTGAACATGGTGAGTGGGATGGGTCTCATGGGTGGTCATGTGTGTCTCCGTTGTTCTTATGACTAACGCACGTTTTTTCATCTTTCAGGGTCGTTCGAAGCAGTTGTGTAAGTTATATTCTTTGGCCTACGTCCTTTTTTCTGTTTTCAAATTTACTTACCGAATTGTTCGGTTTTAGTAAATAATTCGACAATTAAATCTCCAAAGCCTAATGCTACTCCGGAATCAAAGAACAAGCATCTCGTCAACGGCAAAGGCACTCCATTGAAAGGTGGATCAAAACGTCCAGTCCCTGTCGGCAGCGACGAGAGTGATGTAGAGGTTGACACAGGTGTGTTGGTGGGCGATGCAGGTGAAATGAGGATGTCACATAAGGTAAATAAGCTAATATGTTCACGATGTATAGCTCGAGTTGTTTTTGTCTTGTTACACACCAGAAGTTTATTTGGTTCGTAAGGATGTTCTCATAAATTCCCAACTGTCTGCTAGCCTCAGTCTAAAGTACTGAGTGTGCAAACTTAAGATTACAGTTCGAATCCATATAGGTTGTGCTTGTCACTACTCATGGACATTCTGTGGGAAACCAAATCAAAATTCGAGGGTTCTGAGTTACTCTTCAATTCGACCAGTGACATGCACTTGGCGTGTATAAACACTCATTTATGGCAAAATGGACGTTCACATGGGTAAAGCCCAACCAATTTTGATCAACATTTACCCTAAGTATTGTCTTTTGTACTTATGGTCTTCCTACTTCGTGATGAATGACTACCAAGTTTCCTGTTTAGTAAAGCTAGACGGGGACTGATAGTTGGGTGAAGAGATGAGTTAGTTTTTACTTATATGGAAAGGGTGGTGTTCCATTAGAGCCTTCCAATCTCGTGTATATCTGGATCTATATTAGACTTTTAAGTAATTATTACTAGTTTATACTGTTGCCTTATTAAACATGGTAATGCACAGGCCGGCTAGTTCATGTTAGCTGGCAGCAATCAAATCGTCCTACCACAAAAATAAAGGTCAGTCGTTCGAAATATCAACTAGTATGTTGAGGCATAGATTTGCCACAAGCAAAGTCAACTAATTTTTAAAAGCTTCAGAGTATTAAGTCTTATAACCTGATCAAACGATTTTTGTTCCAACCAAATTCATAGAAACTGAAGCTGGCGACTGAAAAGGAGATGGAACAACAGAAAAAGGATCTTGGCAGTGAAGATGAAGAGGATGATGAAGAAAATGATGAGGAAGAAGAGGAGGAGGACGAAGAGGATGGAGATGATGATAATGATGATGACGATGACGATAGCGAAGAGGAAGATGACGACGATAGCGAGGAGGAAGATGACGACGATAGTGAGGAGGAATCTGATGAAGAACAAGAAGAAAGCAATGGAGACAATTCAAAACTGAATGCTGAGAAAGGTAAAGCCATCAACAACCTGGTTGGGTCAAAGGCTGCCCAGAAACCTGGTTCGATGTTGAACAATGAGAAATTGACGGATAATAAGGTATCAAGCACATCGAGTAAAGCGACTGAAGGGTCCGAGCCACAAAGCAGTACATCAGGCAGAGTCCTCATACTACATGGACCTGACAACTTGAATAATTTGAAAGAATTCCTTTCCAAAATTAGCCCAGTGACAAGCATAAGCAGGATTGAACCAGCACCTATAATGGCTACCATCGCTAATATAAGCATTTTCAAAAGTCGATTAAAGTCAGGAAAGTTGATGTTTCAAGGGAAGGAGCTCGAAGTAATACCTGTAGATAGAGTCGATGACGCCAATAAAGGAATACAACCCACCAAAACTTTGTTCGTAGGTGGAATTCCCAAATCCCTGACAATTGTAAGTTACTTCTTTCTAAATATTGTATTATTCCAGGAACAACTAAAAAGTCACCTCCCCAACAACTGTCAACCTGTTTCCCTAAATTTGCTGAATAAAAACCCTAAGATCAATAGTGCATTCATATCCTTCTCCTCTATTGATGCGGCTAAGCAAGCTCACCAAATTTTCAGTTGTTTAACTGTGGAAGGCCAACTGTTCAAAGTGAACTTCGCTAAAGATCAACAACCTCGTAAGTATTGATTGGCAGTAGTCGCTTAACTGGCATCCTTTAGGAGCTGGTCCTGATGGTTCCGTAAGGGTCGCAATTTCAAATTGGGATGGTCATCCGAACCAGTTGCGTAAGCTATTCCCGACATGTATAGACGTTCAGTGGATTCAGAAAAAACGGTGAGTAAAGTTAGTTTTCTGCGAATTGGTTCAAACATTTCGTAAACAAGTCGAAGCCAATAGACTTACGTCACTCACTTAAGTTATTTAGCGTCAATTACTATCGGTCTTACATTTTCTTCTCCTTCATACAGAAAGGCATTTCTTAAATTTCCTTCCTTGGAAGTCCGAGAGGCCGCTGTCTCACAGCCAAAGTTCCACGCCGGTAAACAGCTGAAACTGGCATTAACAGGAGGACCAGAACTAAAGACTGCCATAGTTTGGGGTTTTCCAGCTGACACAAAAGAATCAGACATCAAAGGATTATTTGGTGGCGTCGTTTCAGTGTCACGTGATACAACTACCGGGAACCAGGGCGCGTAAGTATTTTAATATCTTGATAGTTGTCTTTGGTACCAAATTGTTACTGCCTTGATCTCATTTTAATTAGACCAGTTTGTTCGTCAAGTCTGACAATGTATTGCCTTGTTTCAGATCCATGACTGTCGAGTTTGAAACCGCTGCAGATTGTAGCAATGCAATTTCCTCAAACGCAACTCTGAAAGGTCGCCGCGTGACAATATTTTTGAAAGGTATGTCGGATGATAATTAAAATCTTACCTCTGAAGTTCTGGTTTACTCACATCACATATCAACCAGACACTAACTTACTAGGTTTTTCGCTTCAATCTTTTGGGTTTTCGCCTCACTAAACTAACCCGTATTTCTCCTTCAGATGTCCTTGTCGATGATTGCGCTAACAATCAACAGAAACAGTCTGGACCACCTGAGAAGAAAGCTAAACGTGAGTTTGTTTCGGTTTGTTTTGTATGTTTGTTTGCAATTGTGCTGTCTTTCTAAAGGCTTTTGCTGTTCATTATAGCTGTAGAAGCAGGTGTTTCGAAGGTCAAGGCTGCTCACAAAGTTTCAGAGGCAGAGGAAGTGCATGACGCAGATGAGGATGAGAATGACGATGAAGAGGACGAAGATACAAGTGAAGACGGCGATGATAGTGACGAAGACGATGAAAGTGAAGATGAAAGCGAGGAAGAAGATGATGGAAGTGAAGAAGAAAGTGATGAGGACGTTGATATGGTCTCACCTAAAGGCAAGGAGAAAAAGCAGTTTTCTGGCTCACAAGACAAAAAAAACTGGTGGGTTTCCAAAAGCAGGCAACCGTTCAGGAGATCAAAGCAACTTCAAATCGCAACACAAATTTGGTGGTGATTTCAAGCGCAATTCGTTCCGTGGTCGTGGTGGTCGATCTCGCGGCCGCGGTGGTCAGTCACCTCATGGTCGTGGTGGCCAGTCTTTCCGTGGTCGTGGTGGTAACCGTGGGGGCTGGTCAAAACGCGGTGGTTCTGGTTAAAAAACTTGATTGCTCTGTAAATTCGAATTGCAAATAAATCTTTGTAAATGAATCTGATTTCTCTGATAGTTTGTTTTCCGTCCTTGATGAATACTTCTGTTTTTAGTTAGAAAGCATGTCACTTACACAAGCATACCAGTCTGGTCAAGCCACTTCTTTGGCCGTATACAATCTACCCACCTCGGCAGGACGAAACAGAAGTTCAGTCGATATTCCCTTCGGCCAGGTCAGTCAACTTCGTACGAAGCCATTCTGTGTCTTCGCAATCTAAAGGGTGAGTACAGTTTGCTCCCTACAAATTGATTTGTTACCGCGCATTTAACGACATTATAAGAGATCTAATTCACTCCGTTTTATGAGCAGTACCACAGTAGGTACGACAGTCTGCGATATTTTTGTTTGGCAAGTTAAATGTCCAAAGGTGAACCTAGGCATTTTAATGATGTTCCGTTAGTACGTTAACAAGAACTGACTCCGATCTTTTACCTTTCTACCTTTTGTTACTGGCGACGCAGGTGTGCCACATTGACCCATTCCTGTAATGTGAGCAGGTGGTACTATTTGCGATGGAGTGAAATACAGGAAGCTCGACCCGAACACTTTCGATGGAGGTAGAAATTTGTTACTCGAAAGATCTGCCTACGGGGTCTTTAGTAAAGCTTATTCGCTTCCCATTGATCGCTCCATATTTGCTCTCTTTTTCTGTTTCATATGTGAAACAGCATGTGCATCTTGCAATTCAACAATGCTCGTGACTGTCAACAAGCCTACGATGAATGTCTTCAAGGAAAAGAAATTGGTGGACAGCTTCTGCATGCGGAACTGAACGGAGGTGAGTTGGTCATTAAAACTCGTGCAATCACTGAACTTATTTCACAAGCTCTTTAATAATCACTCAGTTTAAATTTTTCAGATTATCATTCCAGTTCGTCAGAAAATTTAAATGTCAGCCAGCATTATGGAGGCAATTCCAGGGATTTCAGACGTTCACATGCCGATAATGAGTACAGCCAGCCCACATATGATCCGCATGGTAGAACTGATAGTGAAAGTTCTTCCAACGCTTGTACACTCACCGTGTCAAATCTTCCCTATACAGCATCTGAAAGAGATATTATGCGCGAGTTCCCGGAAGCCCTCCGAGTAGCACTTTCGTTAGACGAGCAGGGACGTTCCAGAGGGTAAATTTTATTTTTGAACTTTCAATTGTTTGTAGCGTTGCTCACGTGACTTTCTCGAATTCCGACCAGTGCAGCGCCGCTCTTACTTCCTGCGGAAATAAGATGATGGGTGGTAGGCCTGTGCGTGGACGAATCCAGAGAGGTAAAGGAATGCCCATACATTGTATGTGATGTTCATTATAGACCAGGAGCACAATCAACAACCGGGTTATAACAATCAACGCTCTTATAATCGTGACCAAAGAGAATACGGTCAACGTAATCAACGCGAATACAATCAGCGTAATTTCAATAATCGAGATCACACCAACCAGCGTGAAAACGGTAACCAGAGAGATGGCAATCAACGTGAGTACAATCAGCGTGATTATAGTGGTCAACGTGACTACAACAGACAAGGTAAGCTTATTTTGTCAGGCAACTAACTTGTTTAGTTGTTTTAGTATGACAGGCAGTGTAATTATTCTCGTTTTGTGGTTTCAGGTAGGCAGTTCGACTACAATTCAGGCAGAGGCGAAAGAGATGTAAACCGTTTCCAAGGTGCTCCAGCTAATCGGGGCGGGTCACGCGAGTTTGGTAGAAATGACCGCTTCGAACGAACAGATCAAAGACGAGATCGCAGCCCAGCCAGAGGAGAGCCAGTTCGTGGGTACGGTAGCTCAAAAGGACCCCGAATAACATCTGCCGTAATTCACCGTCCAGGAAATGCCAGCCCTTCGGAGTCGTCCTCTTCAGATGAGGACTAAACATCCTGGTATTTTTCAGGGATTTCCTTACTGGTGCGTCGTGCAAATACTTTTATTAACGTACATATGACTTTAAACATTAAAATATTCATGTTCGAAATTCATTAATGTTGTAGTCTAATATACACTTCACTTCACACGCGGTTTTTTACAGAATACAGTGAGATGAAGTGGTGGGATAAAGTTGAGGCCATGCTGGAATAAGTCGATTCCAACCAAATATACATAAACATATATGGCAGTGGGGTGGGTTGGGTTTTAGTACCCTAATCAGGCTTCGCTTATAAGACGTAATTTTGTTTAGTCAGGACTTTTGAGATGGTGACTTACCTGAAGTTCGTCTTGTCGTGTACTGGTTTCTCTTAAGCAACTCATCGAATGTGAATTAAACAATAGTGTTATAATCAGTGGTTGGAAATTGTCCACCTACTTACTGTGATAATGATAATTGATTACCTCGAAATTGTAGGTGATATGGCTCGGGAGTCGGGCAAATTATTCAGGATGTCACCCAGGATCTCCATCAATACAAAATTGGGGCACCTGGGTGTCGTGTCAGATGAACCGAAATAAACGCAAAGCCGGGACGCACGTTCTCCCACAAGGTGTGTGCGCGGTGTCTATGTTTTGCCGACTGACCTTCATTGGGAAGATAGAGTTCGCAAGTACTATAGTGTTTCAAGAGTTCCGATCACACATGTGACTGTCCGATAGATATGAGAGTGCTTCAAATCGCTGATCTGGTTTGCTGTAGGTCGGTATTGCGGTATAAGCAGGTTTTTGGGTGCTAATGAAGTATGGGCTGTAGTTTTCTGAGAGATTATGAGCCTAGTGATACTTTTCACTTCCTAAGAGAATAGCCCCAAATCTGTAATAGAGGAGATAGTGAGTTAGTGTTAGAACGTACGATTTTCCGGCTTTATATACTATAAAATGCCTTTACCTCAACACCGGCTACCTTCGATTCTACAGGGCTTAGGATTTGGTGGAATTATCCCATTACAGGCCTAAGTCAGCAGTACACCGTTTTCTCTATCCCTTTGAAAAAAGATGGATTGGATAGGAAGCCAGGACAATATTGAAGCCACGTCAATTTCCGAAAAATTAACACGACATAGTACGTTCTCCCACAATAACACGAACTTCGGTCTCCGACAGAATCAAGTGCAATACCAATTACTAGAGGTCCACAAACACGAGTTTCTCGTTGTTGCTTTATGGACGCCCTGTTACTGGGCCCTCAGCGAATGGAGTTGACAATGCACACTGTATCTATACAACAACAACAGCGAGAGATGCCTTCATTCAATCCACAACAAACTGAATGTACGACGCTCGGTAGAATTAGCTGACGTCATGTCATGTTTTACGCTAACTGTTTGACCTGGCTGAATGTGTAGTATATCTTCTAGCGAGCGACAATATCCTTACAGAAAGTAATTCGGTGTAAGCTTGAATATTGACTGCTAACATATGCTATTAAAAGTTCAATGAATAGTTTTAATGTGTTGCGTGTTTAAGCGTGTGTTTCACATTCAACGTCCGGTGGTTAGTTGAACATGGTGAGTGGGATGGGTCTCATGGGTGGTCATGTGTGTCTCCGTTGTTCTTATGACTAACGCACGTTTTTTCATCTTTCAGGGTCGTTCGAAGCAGTTGTGTAAGTTATATTCTTTGGCCTACGTCCTTTTTTCTGTTTTCAAATTTACTTACCGAATTGTTCGGTTTTAGTAAATAATTCGACAATTAAATCTCCAAAGCCTAATGCTACTCCGGAATCAAAGAACAAGCATCTCGTCAACGGCAAAGGCACTCCATTGAAAGGTGGATCAAAACGTCCAGTCCCTGTCGGCAGCGACGAGAGTGATGTAGAGGTTGACACAGGTGTGTTGGTGGGCGATGCAGGTGAAATGAGGATGTCACATAAGGTAAATAAGCTAATATGTTCACGATGTATAGCTCGAGTTGTTTTTTGTCTTGTTACACACCAGAAGTTTATTTGGTTCGTAAGGATGTTCTCATAAATTCCCAACTGTCTGCTAGCCTCAGTCTAAAGTACTGAGTGTGCAAACTTAAGATTACAGTTCGAATCCATATAGGTTGTGCTTGTCACTACTCATGGACATTCTGTGGGAAACCAAATCAAAATTCGAGGGTTCTGAGTTACTCTTCAATTCGACCAGTGACATGCACTTGGCGTGTATAAACACTCATTTATGACAAAATGGACGTAAGGGTCGCAATTTCAAATTGGGATGGTCATCCGAACCAGTTGCGTAAGCTATTCCCGACATGTATAGACGTTCAGTGGATTCAGAAAAAACGGTGAGTAAAGTTAGTTTTCTGCGAATTGGTTCAAACATTTCGTAAACAAGTCGAAGCCAATAGACTTACGTCACTCACTTAAGTTATTTAGCGTCAATTACTATCGGTCTTACATTTTCTTCTCCTTCATACAGAAAGGCATTTCTTAAATTTCCTTCCTTGGAAGTCCGAGAGGCCGCTGTCTCACAGCCAAAGTTCCACGCCGGTAAACAGCTGAAACTGGCATTAACAGGAGGACCAGAACTAAAGACTGCCATAGTTTGGGGTTTTCCAGCTGACACAAAAGAATCAGACATCAAAGGATTATTTGGTGGCGTCGTTTCAGTGTCACGTGATACAACTACCGGGAACCAGGGCGCGTAAGTATTTTAATATCTTGATAGTTGTCTTTGGTACCAAGTTGTTACTGCCTTGATCTCATTTTAATTAGACCAGTTTGTTCGTCAAGTCTGACAATGTATTGCCTTGTTTCAGATCCATGACTGTCGAGTTTGAAACCGCTGCAGATTGTAGCAATGCAATTTCCTCAAACGCAACTCTGAAAGGTCGCCGCGTGACAATATTTTTGAAAGGTATGTCGGGTGATAATTAAAATCTTACCTCTGAAGTTCTGGTTTACTCACATCACATATCAACCAGACACTAACTTACTAGGTTTTTCGCTTCAATCTTTTGGGTTTTTGCCTCACTAAACTAACCCGTATTTCTCCTTCAGATGTCCTTGTCGATGATTGCGCTAACAATCAACAGAAACAGTCTGGACCACCTGAGAAGAAAGCTAAACGTGAGTTTGTTTCGGTTTGTTTTGTATGTTTGTTTGCAATTGTGCTGTCTTTCTAAAGGCTTTTGCTGTTCATTATAGCTGTAGAAGCAGGTGTTTCGAAGGTCAAGGCTGCTCACAAAGTTTCAGAGGCAGAGGAAGTGCATGACGCAGATGAGGATGAGAATGACGATGAAGAGGACGAAGATACAAGTGAAGACGGCGATGATAGTGACGAAGACGATGAAAGTGAAGATGAAAGCGAGGAAGAAGATGATGGAAGTGAAGAAGAAAGTGATGAGGACGTTGATATGGTCTCACCTAAAGGCAAGGAGAAAAAGCAGTTTTCTGGCTCACAAGACAAAAAAACTGGTGGGTTTCCAAAAGCAGGCAACCGTTCAGGAGATCAAAGCAACTTCAAATCGCAACACAAATTTGGTGGTGATTTCAAGCGCAATTCGTTCCGTGGTCGTGGTGGTCGATCTCGCGGCCGCGGTGGTCAGTCACCTCATGGTCGTGGTGGCCAGTCTTTCCGTGGTCGTGGTGGTAACCGTGGGGGCTGGTCAAAACGCGGTGGTTCTGGTTAAAAAACTTGATTGCTCTGTAAATTCGAATTGCAAATAAATCTTTGTAAATGAATCTGATTTCTCTGATAGTTTGTTTTCCGTCCTTGATGAATACTTCTGTTTTTAGTTAGAAAGCATGTCACTTACACAAGCATACCAGTCTGGTCAAGCCACTTCTTTGGCCGTATACAATCTACCCACCTCGGCAGACGAAACAGAAGTTCAGTCGATATTCCCTTCGGCCAGGTCAGTCAACTTCGTACGAAGCCATTCTGTGTCTTCGCAATCTAAAGGGTGAGTACAGTTTGCTCCCTACAAATTGATTTGTTACCGCGCATTTAACGACATTATAAGAGATCTAATTCACTCCGTTTTATGAGCAGTACCACAGTAGGTCCGACAGTCTGCGATATTTTTGTTTGGCAAGTTAAATGTCCAAAGGTGAACCTAGGCATTTTAATGATGTTCCGTTAGTACGTTAACAAGAACTGACTCCGATCTTTTACCTTTCTACCTTTTGTTACTGGCGACGCAGGTGTGCCACATTGACCCATTCCTGTAATGTGAGCAGGTGGTACTATTTGCGATGGAGTGAAATACAGGAAGCTCGACCCGAACACTTTCGATGGAGGTAGAAATTTGTTACTCGAAAGATCTGCCTACGGGGTCTTTAGTAAAGCTTATTCGCTTCCCATTGATCGCTCCATATTTGCTCTCTTTTTCTGTTTCATATGTGAAACAGCATGTGCATCTTGCAATTCAACAATGCTCGTGACTGTCAACAAGCCTACGATGAATGTCTTCAAGGAAAAGAAATTGGTGGACAGCTTCTGCATGCGGAACTGAACGGAGGTGAGTTGGTCATTAAAACTCGTGCAATCACTGAACTTATTTCACAAGCTCTTTAATAATCACTCAGTTTAAATTTTTCAGATTATCATTCCAGTTCGTCAGAAAATTTAAATGTCAGCCAGCATTATGGAGGCAATTCCAGGGATTTCAGACGTTCACATGCCGATAATGAGTACAGCCAGCCCACATATGATCCGCATGGTAGAACTGATAGTGAAAGTTCTTCCAACGCTTGTACACTCACCGTGTCAAATCTTCCCTATACAGCATCTGAAAGAGATATTATGCGCGAGTTCCCGGAAGCCCTCCGAGTAGCACTTTCGTTAGACGAGCAGGGACGTTCCAGAGGGTAAATTTTATTTTTGAACTTTCAATTGTTTGTAGCGTTGCTCACGTGACTTTCTCGAATTCCGACCAGTGCAGCGCCGCTCTTACTTCCTGCGGAAATAAGATGATGGGTGGTAGGCCTGTGCGTGGACGAATCCAGAGAGGTAAAGGAATGCCCATACATTGTATGTGATGTTCATTATAGACCAGGAGCACAATCAACAACCGGGTTATAACAATCAACGCTCTTATAATCGTGACCAAAGAGAATACGGTCAACGTAATCAACGCGAATACAATCAGCGTAATTTCAATAATCGAGATCACACCAACCAGCGTGAAAACGGTAACCAGAGAGATGGCAATCAACGTGAGTACAATCAGCGTGATTATAGTGGTCAACGTGACTACAACAGACAAGGTAAGCTTATTTTGTCAGGCAACTAACTTGTTTAGTTGTTTTAGTATGACAGGCAGTGTAATTATTCTCGTTTTGTGGTTTCAGGTAGGCAGTTCGACTACAATTCAGGCAGAGGCGAAAGAGATGTAAAACGTTTCCAAGGTGCTCCAGCTAATCGGGGCGGGTCACGCGAGTTTGGTAGAAATGACCGCTTCGAACGAACAGATCAAAGACGAGATCGCAGCCCAGCCAGAGGAGAGCCAGTTCGTGGGTACGGTAGCTCAAAAGGACCCCGAATAACATCTGCCGTAATTCACCGTCCAGGAAATGCCAGCCCTTCGGAGTCGTCCTCTTCAGATGAGGACTAAACATCCTGGTATTTTTCAGGGATTTCCTTACTGGTGCGTCGTGCAAATACTTTTATTAACGTACATATGACTTTAAACATTAAAATATTCATGTTCGAAATTCATTAATGTTGTAGTCTAATATACACTTCACTTAACACGCGGTTTTTTACAGAATACAGTGAGATGAAGTGGTGGGATAAAGTTGAGGCCATGCTGGAATAAGTCGATTCCAACCAAATATACATAAACATATATGGCAGTGGGGTGGGTTGGGTTTTAGTACCCTAATCAGGCTTCGCTTATAAGACGTAATTTTGTTTAGTCAGGACTTTTGAGATGGTGACTTACCTGAAGTTCGTCTTGTCGTGTACTGGTTTCTCTTAAGCAACTCATCGAATGTGAATTAAACAATAGTGTTATAATCAGTGGTTGGAAATTGTCCACCTACTTACTGTGATAATGATAATTGATTACCTCGAAATTGTAGGTGATATGGCTCGGGAGTCGGGCAAATTATTCAGGATGTCACCCAGGATCTCCATCAATACAAAATTGGGGCACCTGGGTGTCGTGTCAGATGAACCGAAATAAACGCAAAGCCGGGACGCACGTTCTCCCACAAGGTGTGTGCGCGGTGTCTATGTTTTGCCGACTGACCTTCATTGGGAAGATAGAGTTCGCAAGTACTATAGTGTTTCAAGAGTTCCGATCACACATGTGACTGTCCGATAGATATGAGAGTGCTTCAAATCGCTGATCTGGTTTGCTGTAGGTCGGTATTGCGGTATAAGCAGGTTTTTGGGTGCTAATGAAGTATGGGCTGTAGTTTTCTGAGAGATTATGAGCCTAGTGATACTTTTCACTTCCTAAGAGAATAGCCCCAAATCTGTAATAGAGGAGATAGTGAGTTAGTGTTAGAACGTACGATTTTCCGGCTTTATATACTATAAAATGCCTTTACCTCAACACCGGCTACCTTCGATTCTACAGGGCTTAGGATTTGGTGGAATTATCCCATTACAGGCCTAAGTCAGCAGTACACCGTTTTCTCTATCCCTTTGAAAAAAGATGGATTGGATAGGAAGCCAGGACAAATTTGAAGCCACGTCAATTTCCGAAAAATTAACACGACATAGTACGTTCTCCCACAATAACACGAACTTCGGTCTCCGACAGAATCAAGTGCAATACCAATTACTAGAGGTCCACAAACACGAGTTTCTCGTTGTTGCTTTATGGACGCCCTGTTACTGGGTCCTCAGCGAATGGAGTTGACAATGCACACTGTATCTATACAACAACAACAGCGAGAGATGCCTTCATTCAATCCACAACAAACTGAATGTACGACGCTCGGTAGAATTAGCTGACGTCATGTCATGTTTTACGCTACCTGTTTGACCTGGCTGAATGTGGAGTATATCTGCGAGCGAGCGACAATGCCCTTACAGAAAGTAATTCGGTGTAAGCTTGAATATTGACTGCTAACATATGCTATTAAAAGTTCAATGAATAGTTTTAATGTGTTGCGTGTTTTAAGCGTGTGTTTTTCACATTCAACGTCCGGTGGTTAGTTGAACATGGTGAGTGTGATGGGTCTCATGGGTGGGCATGTGTGTCTCCGTTGTTCTTATGACTAACGCACGTTTTTTCATCTTTCAGGGTCGTTCGAAGCAGTTGTGTAAGTTATATTCTTTGGCCTACGTCCTTTTTTCTGTTTTCAAATTTACTTACCGAATTGTTCGGTTTTAGTAAATAATTCGACAATTAAATCTCCAAAGCCTAATGCTACTCCGGAATCAAAGAACAAGCATCTCGTCAACGGCAAAGGCACTCCATTGAAAGGTGGATCAAAACGTCCAGTCCCTGTCGGCAGCGACGAGAGTGATGTAGAGGTTGACACAGGTGTGTTGGTGGGCGATGCAGGTGAAATGAGGATGTCACATAAGGTAAATAAGCTAATATGTTCACGATGTATAGCTCGAGTTGTTTTTGTCTTGTTACACACCAGAAGTTTATTTGGTTCGTAAGGATGTTCTCATAAATTCCCAACTGTCTGCTAGCCTCAGTCTAAAGTACTGAGTGTGCAAACTTAAGATTACAGTTCGAATCCATATAGGTTGTGCTTGTCACTACTCATGGACATTCTGTGGGAAACCAAATCAAAATTCGAGGGTTCTGAGTTACTCTTATATTCGACCAGTGACATGTACTTAGCGTGTATAAACACTCATTTATGGCAAAATGGACGTTCACATGGGTAAAGCCCAACCAATTTTGATCAACATTTACCCTAAGTATTGTCTTTTGTACTTATGGTCTTCCTACTTCGTGATGAATGACTACCAAGTTTCCTGTTTAGTAAAGCTAGACGGGGACTGATAGTTGGGTGAAGAGATGAGTTAGTTTTTACTTATATGGAAAGGGTGGTGTTCCATTAGAGCCTTCCAATCTCGTGTATATCTGGATCTATATTAGACTTTTAAGTAATTATTACTAGTTTATACTGTTGCCTTATTAAACATGGTAATGCACAGGCCGGCTAGTTCATGTTAGCTGGCAGCAATCAAATCGTCCTACCACAAAAATAAAGGTCAGTCGTTCGAAATATCAACTAGTATGTTGAGGCATAGATTTGCCACAAGCAAAGTCAACTAATTTTTAAAAGCTTCAGAGTATTAAGTCTTATAACCTGATCAAACGATTTTTGTTCCAACCAAATTCATAGAAACTGAAGCTGGCGACTGAAAAGGAGATGGAACAACAGAAAAAGGATCGTGGCAGTGAAGATGAAGAGGATGATGAGGAAAATGATGAGGAAGACGAGGAGGAGGACGAAGAGGATGGAGAAGATGATAATGATGATGACGATGACGATAGCGAAGAGGAAGATGACGACGATAGCGAGGAGGAAGATGACGACGATAGTGAGGAGGAATCTGATGAAGAACAAGAAGAAAGCAATGGAGACAATTCAAAACTGAATGCTGAGAAAGGTAAAGCCATCAACAACCTGGTTGGGTCAAAGGCTGCCCAGAAACCTGGTTCGATGTTGAACAATGAGAAATTGACGGATAATAAGGTATCAAGCACATCGAGTAAAGCGACTGAAGGGTCCGAGCCACAAAGCAGTACATCAGGCAGAGTCCTCATACTACATGGACCTGACAACTTGAATAATTTGAAAGAATTCCTTTCCAAAATTAGCCCAGTGACAAGCATAAGCAGGATTGAACCAGCACCTATAATGGCTACCATCGCTAATATAAGCATTTTCAAAAGTCGATTAAAGTCAGGAAAGTTGATGTTTCAAGGGAAGGAGCTCGAAGTAATACCTGTAGATAGAGTCGATGACGCCAATAAAGGAATACAACCCACCAAAACTTTGTTCGTAGGTGGAATTCCCAAATCCCTGACAATTGTAAGTTACTTCTTTCTAAATATTGTATTATTCCAGGAACAACTAAAAAGTCACCTCCCCAACAACTGTCAACCTGTTTCCCTAAATTTGCTGAATAAAAACCCTAAGATCAATAGTGCATTCATATCCTTCTCCTCTATTGATGCGGCTAAGCAAGCTCACCAAATTTTCAGTTGTTTAACTGTGGAAGGCCAACTGTTCAAAGTGAACTTCGCTAAAGATCAACAACCTCGTAAGTATTGATTGGCAGTAGTCGCTTAACTGGCATCCTTTAGGAGCTGGTCCTGATGGTTCCGTAAGGGTCGCAATTTCAAATTGGGATGGTCATCCGAACCAGTTGCGTAAGCTATTCCCGACATGTATAGACGTTCAGTGGATTCAGAAAAAACGGTGAGTAAAGTTAGTTTTCTGCGAATTGGTTCAAACATTTCGTAAACAAGTCGAAGCCAATAGACTTACGTCACTCACTTAAGTTATTTAGCGTCAATTACTATCGGTCTTACATTTTCTTCTCCTTCATACAGAAAGGCATTTCTTAAATTTCCTTCCTTGGAAGTCCGAGAGGCCGCTGTCTCACAGCCAAAGTTCCACGCCGGTAAACAGCTGAAACTGGCATTAACAGGAGGACCAGAACTAAAGACTGCCATAGTTTGGGGTTTTCCAGCTGACACAAAAGAATCAGACATCAAAGGATTATTTGGTGGCGTCGTTTCAGTGTCACGTGATACAACTACCGGGAACCAGGGCGCGTAAGTATTTTAATATCTTGATAGTTGTCTTTGGTACCAAATTGTTACTGCCTTGATCTCATTTTAATTAGACCAGTTTGTTCGTCAAGTCTGACAATGTATTGCCTTGTTTCAGATCCATGACTGTCGAGTTTGAAACCGCTGCAGATTGTAGCAATGCAATTTCCTCAAACGCAACTCTGAAAGGTCGCCGCGTGACAATATTTTTGAAAGGTATGTCGGATGATAATTAAAATCTTACCTCTGAAGTTCTGGTTTACTCACATCACATATCAACCAGACACTAACTTACTAGGTTTTTCGCTTCAATCTTTTGGGTTTTCGCCTCACTAAACTAACCCGTATTTCTCCTTCAGATGTCCTTGTCGATGATTGCGCTAACAATCAACAGAAACAGTCTGGACCACCTGAGAAGAAAGCTAAACGTGAGTTTGTTTCGGTTTGTTTTGTATGTTTGTTTGCAATTGTGCTGTCTTTCTAAAGGCTTTTGCTGTTCATTATAGCTGTAGAAGCAGGTGTTTCGAAGGTCAAGGCTGCTCACAAAGTTTCAGAGGCAGAGGAAGTGCATGACGCAGATGAGGATGAGAATGACGATGAAGAGGACGAAGATACAAGTGAAGACGGCGATGATAGTGACGAAGACGATGAAAGTGAAGATGAAAGCGAGGAAGAAGATGATGGAAGTGAAGAAGAAAGTGATGAGGTCGTTGATATGGTCTCACCTAAAGGCAAGGAGAAAAAGCAGTTTTCTGGCTCACAAGACAAAAAAACTGGTGGGTTTCCAAAAGCAGGCAACCGTTCAGGAGATCAAAGCAACTTCAAATCGCAACACAAATTTGGTGGTGATTTCAAGCGCAATTCGTTCCGTGGTCGTGGTGGTCGATCTCGCGGCCGCGGTGGTCAGTCACCTCATGGTCGTGGTGGCCAGTCTTTCCGTGGTCGTGGTGGTAACCGTGGGGGCTGGTCAAAACGCGGTGGTTCTGGTTAAAAAACTTGATTGCTCTGTAAATTCGAATTGCAAATAAATCTTTGTAAATGAATCTGATTTCTCTGATAGTTTGTTTTCCGTCCTTGATGAATACTTCTGTTTTTAGTTAGAAAGCATGTCACTTACACAAGCATACCAGTCTGGTCAAGCCACTTCTTTGGCCGTATACAATCTACCCACCTCGGCAGACGAAACAGAAGTTCAGTCGATATTCCCTTCGGCCAGGTCAGTCAACTTCGTACGAAGCCATTCTGTGTCTTCGCAATCTAAAGGGTGAGTACAGTTTGCTCCCTACAAATTGATTTGTTACCGCGCATTTAACGACATTATAAGAGATCTAATTCACTCCGTTTTATGAGCAGTACCACAGTAGGTCCGACAGTCTGCGATATTTTTGTTTGGCAAGTTAAATGTCCAAAGGTGAACCTAGGCATTTTAATGATGTTCCGTTAGTACGTTAACAAGAACTGACTCCGATCTTTTACCTTTCTACCTTTTGTTACTGGCGACGCAGGTGTGCCACATTGACCCATTCCTGTAATGTGAGCAGGTGGTACTATTTGCGATGGAGTGAAATACAGGAAGCTCGACCCGAACACTTTCGATGGAGGTAGAAATTTGTTACTCGAAAGATCTGCCTACGGGGTCTTTAGTAAAGCTTATTCGCTTCCCATTGATCGCTCCATATTTGCTCTCTTTTTCTGTTTCATATGTGAAACAGCATGTGCATCTTGCAATTCAACAATGCTCGTGACTGTCAACAAGCCTACGATGAATGTCTTCAAGGAAAAGAAATTGGTGGACAGCTTCTGCATGCGGAACTGAACGGAGGTGAGTTGGTCATTAAAACTCGTGCAATCACTGAACTTATTTCACAAGCTCTTTAATAATCACTCAGTTTAAATTTTTCAGATTATCATTCCAGTTCGTCAGAAAATTTAAATGTCAGCCAGCATTATGGAGGCAATTCCAGGGATTTCAGACGTTCACATGCCGATAATGAGTACAGCCAGCCCACATATGATCCGCATGGTAGAACTGATAGTGAAAGTTCTTCCAACGCTTGTACACTCACCGTGTCAAATCTTCCCTATACAGCATCTGAAAGAGATATTATGCGCGAGTTCCCGGAAGCCCTCCGAGTAGCACTTTCGTTAGACGAGCAGGGACGTTCCAGAGGGTAAATTTTATTTTTGAACTTTCAATTGTTTGTAGCGTTGCTCACGTGACTTTCTCGAATTCCGACCAGTGCAGCGCCGCTCTTACTTCCTGCGGAAATAAGATGATGGGTGGTAGGCCTGTGCGTGGACGAATCCAGAGAGGTAAAGGAATGCCCATACATTGTATGTGATGTTCATTATAGACCAGGAGCACAATCAACAACCGGGTTATAACAATCAACGCTCTTATAATCGTGACCAAAGAGAATACGGTCAACGTAATCAACGCGAATACAATCAGCGTAATTTCAATAATCGAGATCACACCAACCAGCGTGAAAACGGTAACCAGAGAGATGGCAATCAACGTGAGTACAATCAGCGTGATTATAGTGGTCAACGTGACTACAACAGACAAGGTAAGCTTATTTTGTCAGGCAACTAACTTGTTTAGTTGTTTTAGTATGACAGGCAGTGTAATTATTCTCGTTTTGTGGTTTCAGGTAGGCAGTTCGACTACAATTCAGGCAGAGGCGAAAGAGATGTAAACCGTTTCCAAGGTGCTCCAGCTAATCGGGGCGGGTCACGCGAGTTTGGTAGAAATGACCGCTTCGAACGAACAGATCAAAGACGAGATCGCAGCCCAGCCAGAGGAGAGCCAGTTCGTGGGTACGGTAGCTCAAAAGGACCCCGAATAACATCTGCCGTAATTCACCGTCCAGGAAATGCCAGCCCTTCGGAGTCGTCCTCTTCAGATGAGGACTAAACATCCTGGTATTTTTCAGGGATTTCCTTACTGGTGCGTCGTGCAAATACTTTTATTAACGTACATATGACTTTAAACATTAAAATATTCATGTTCGAAATTCATTAATGTTGTAGTCTAATATACACTTCACTTCACACGCGGTTTTTTACAGAATACAGTGAGATGAAGTGGTGGGATAAAGTTGAGGCCATGCTGGAATAAGTCGATTCCAACCAAATATACATAAACATATATGGCAGTGGGGTGGGTTGGGTTTTAGTACCCTAATCAGGCTTCGCTTATAAGACGTAATTTTGTTTAGTCAGGACTTTTGAGATGGTGACTTACCTGAAGTTCGTCTTGTCGTGTACTGGTTTCTCTTAAGCAACTCATCGAATGTGAATTAAACAATAGTGTTATAATCAGTGGTTGGAAATTGTCCACCTACTTACTGTGATAATGATAATTGATTACCTCGAAATTGTAGGTGATATGGCTCGGGAGTCGGGCAAATTATTCAGGATGTCACCCAGGATCTCCATCAATACAAAATTGGGGCACCTGGGTGTCGTGTCAGATGAACCGAAATAAACGCAAAGCCGGGACGCACGTTCTCCCACAAGGTGTGTGCGCGGTGTCTATGTTTTGCCGACTGACCTTCATTGGGAAGATAGAGTTCGCAAGTACTATAGTGTTTCAAGAGTTCCGATCACACATGTGACTGTCCGAAAGATCTGAGAGTGCTTCAAATCGCTGATCTGGTTTGCTGTAGGTCGGTATTGCGGTATAAGCAGGTTTTTGGGTGCTAATGAAGTATGGGCTGTAGTTTTCTGAGAGATTATGAGCCTAGTGATACTTTTCACTTCCTAAGAGAATAGCCCCAAATCTGTAATAGAGGAGATAGTGAGTTAGTGTTAGAACGTACGATTTTCCGGCTTTATATACTATAAAATGCCTTTACCTCAACACCGGCTACCTTCGATTCTACAGGGCTTTGGATTTGGTGGAATTATCCCATTACAGGCCTAAGTCAGCAGTACACCGTTTTCTCTATCCCTTTGAAAAAAGATGGATTGGATAGGAAGCCAGGACAATATTGAAGCCACGTCAATTTCCGAAAAATTAACACGACATAGTACGTTCTCCCACAATAACACGAACTTCGGTCTCCGACAGAATCAAGTGCAATACCAATTACTAGATTTCCACAAACACGAGTTTCTCGTTGTTGCTTTATGGACGCCCTGTTACTGGGCCCTCAGCGAATGGAGTTGACAATGCACACTGTATCTATACAACAACAACAGCGAGAGATGCCTTCATTCAATCCACAACAAACTGAATGTACGACGCTCGGTAGAATTAGCTGACGTCATGTCATGTTTTACGCTAACTGTTTGACCTGGCTGAATGTGTAGTATATCTTCTAGCGAGCGACAATATCCTTACAGAAAGTAATTCGGTGTAAGCTTGAATATTGACTGCTAACATATGCTATTAAAAGTTCAATGAATAGTTTTAATGTGTTGCGTGTTTAAGCGTGTGTTTCACATTCAACGTCCGGTGGTTAGTTGAACATGGTGAGTGGGATGGGTCTCATGGGTGGTCATGTGTGTCTCCGTTGTTCTTATGACTAACGCACGTTTTTTCATCTTTCAGGGTCGTTCGAAGCAGTTGTGTAAGTTATATTCTTTGGCCTACGTCCTTTTTTCTGTTTTCAAATTTACTTACCGAATTGTTCGGTTTTAGTAAATAATTCGACAATTAAATCTCCAAAGCCTAATGCTACTCCGGAATCAAAGAACAAGCATCTCGTCAACGGCAAAGGCACTCCATTGAAAGGTGGATCAAAACGTCCAGTCCCTGTCGGCAGCGACGAGAGTGATGTAGAGGTTGACACAGGTGTGTTGGTGGGCGATGCAGGTGAAATGAGGATGTCACATAAGGTAAATAAGCTAATATGTTCACGATGTATAGCTCGAGTTGTTTTTGTCTTGTTACACACCAGAAGTTTATTTGGTTCGTAAGGATGTTCTCATAAATTCCCAACTGTCTGCTAGCCTCAGTCTAAAGTACTGAGTGTGCAAACTTAAGATTACAGTTCGAATCCATATAGGTTGTGCTTGTCACTACTCATGGACATTCTGTGGGAAACCAAATCAAAATTCGAGGGTTCTGAGTTACTCTTCAATTCGACCAGTGACATGCACTTGGCGTGTATAAACACTCATTTATGGCAAAATGGACGTTCACATGGGTAAAGCCCAACCAATTTTGATCAACATTTACCCTAAGTATTGTCTTTTGTACTTATGGTCTTCCTACTTCGTGATGAATGACTACCAAGTTTCCTGTTTAGTAAAGCTAGACGGGGACTGATAGTTGGGTGAAGAGATGAGTTAGTTTTTACTTATATGGAAAGGGTGGTGTTCCATTAGAGCCTTCCAATCTCGTGTATATCTGGATCTATATTAGACTTTTAAGTAATTATTACTAGTTTATACTGTTGCCTTATTAAACATGGTAATGCACAGGCCGGCTAGTTCATGTTAGCTGGCAGCAATCAAATCGTCCTACCACAAAAATAAAGGTCAGTCGTTCGAAATATCAACTAGTATGTTGAGGCATAGATTTGCCACAAGCAAAGTCAACTAATTTTTAAAAGCTTCAGAGTATTAAGTCTTATAACCTGATCAAACGATTTTTGTTCCAACCAAATTCATAGAAACTGAAGCTGGCGACTGAAAAGGAGATGGAACAACAGAAAAAGGATCTTGGCAGTGAAGATGAAGAGGATGATGAAGAAAATGATGAGGAAGAAGAGGAGGAGGACGAAGAGGATGGAGATGATGATAATGATGATGACGATGACGATAGCGAAGAGGAAGATGACGACGATAGCGAGGAGGAAGATGACGACGATAGTGAGGAGGAATCTGATGAAGAACAAGAAGAAAGCAATGGAGACAATTCAAAACTGAATGCTGAGAAAGGTAAAGCCATCAACAACCTGGTTGGGTCAAAGGCTGCCCAGAAACCTGGTTCGATGTTGAACAATGAGAAATTGACGGATAATAAGGTATCAAGCACATCGAGTAAAGCGACTGAAGGGTCCGAGCCACAAAGCAGTACATCAGGCAGAGTCCTCATACTACATGGACCTGACAACTTGAATAATTTGAAAGAATTCCTTTCCAAAATTAGCCCAGTGACAAGCATAAGCAGGATTGAACCAGCACCTATAATGGCTACCATCGCTAATATAAGCATTTTCAAAAGTCGATTAAAGTCAGGAAAGTTGATGTTTCAAGGGAAGGAGCTCGAAGTAATACCTGTAGATAGAGTCGATGACGCCAATAAAGGAATACAACCCACCAAAACTTTGTTCGTAGGTGGAATTCCCAAATCCCTGACAATTGTAAGTTACTTCTTTCTAAATATTGTATTATTCCAGGAACAACTAAAAAGTCACCTCCCCAACAACTGTCAACCTGTTTCCCTAAATTTGCTGAATAAAAACCCTAAGATCAATAGTGCATTCATATCCTTCTCCTCTATTGATGCGGCTAAGCAAGCTCACCAAATTTTCAGTTGTTTAACTGTGGAAGGCCAACTGTTCAAAGTGAACTTCGCTAAAGATCAACAACCTCGTAAGTATTGATTGGCAGTAGTCGCTTAACTGGCATCCTTTAGGAGCTGGTCCTGATGGTTCCGTAAGGGTCGCAATTTCAAATTGGGATGGTCATCCGAACCAGTTGCGTAAGCTATTCCCGACATGTATAGACGTTCAGTGGATTCAGAAAAAACGGTGAGTAAAGTTAGTTTTCTGCGAATTGGTTCAAACATTTCGTAAACAAGTCGAAGCCAATAGACTTACGTCACTCACTTAAGTTATTTAGCGTCAATTACTATCGGTCTTACATTTTCTTCTCCTTCATACAGAAAGGCATTTCTTAAATTTCCTTCCTTGGAAGTCCGAGAGGCCGCTGTCTCACAGCCAAAGTTCCACGCCGGTAAACAGCTGAAACTGGCATTAACAGGAGGACCAGAACTAAAGACTGCCATAGTTTGGGGTTTTCCAGCTGACACAAAAGAATCAGACATCAAAGGATTATTTGGTGGCGTCGTTTCAGTGTCACGTGATACAACTACCGGGAACCAGGGCGCGTAAGTATTTTAATATCTTGATAGTTGTCTTTGGTACCAAATTGTTACTGCCTTGATCTCATTTTAATTAGACCAGTTTGTTCGTCAAGTCTGACAATGTATTGCCTTGTTTCAGATCCATGACTGTCGAGTTTGAAACCGCTGCAGATTGTAGCAATGCAATTTCCTCAAACGCAACTCTGAAAGGTCGCCGCGTGACAATATTTTTGAAAGGTATGTCGGATGATAATTAAAATCTTACCTCTGAAGTTCTGGTTTACTCACATCACATATCAACCAGACACTAACTTACTAGGTTTTTCGCTTCAATCTTTTGGGTTTTCGCCTCACTAAACTAACCCGTATTTCTCCTTCAGATGTCCTTGTCGATGATTGCGCTAACAATCAACAGAAACAGTCTGGACCACCTGAGAAGAAAGCTAAACGTGAGTTTGTTTCGGTTTGTTTTGTATGTTTGTTTGCAATTGTGCTGTCTTTCTAAAGGCTTTTGCTGTTCATTATAGCTGTAGAAGCAGGTGTTTCGAAGGTCAAGGCTGCTCACAAAGTTTCAGAGGCAGAGGAAGTGCATGACGCAGATGAGGATGAGAATGACGATGAAGAGGACGAAGATACAAGTGAAGACGGCGATGATAGTGACGAAGACGATGAAAGTGAAGATGAAAGCGAGGAAGAAGATGATGGAAGTGAAGAAGAAAGTGATGAGGACGTTGATATGGTCTCACCTAAAGGCAAGGAGAAAAAGCAGTTTTCTGGCTCACAAGACAAAAAAACTGGTGGGTTTCCAAAAGCAGGCAACCGTTCAGGAGATCAAAGCAACTTCAAATCGCAACACAAATTTGGTGGTGATTTCAAGCGCAATTCGTTCCGTGGTCGTGGTGGTCGATCTCGCGGCCGCGGTGGTCAGTCACCTCATGGTCGTGGTGGCCAGTCTTTCCGTGGTCGTGGTGGCCAGTCTTTCCGTGGTCGTGGTGGTAACCGTGGGGGCTGGTCAAAACGCGGTGGTTCTGGTTAAAAAACTTGATTGCTCTGTAAATTCGAATTGCAAATAAATCTTTGTAAATGAATCTGATTTCTCTGATAGTTTGTTTTCCGTCCTTGATGAATACTTCTGTTTTTAGTTAGAAAGCATGTCACTTACACAAGCATACCAGTCTGGTCAAGCCACTTCTTTGGCCGTATACAATCTACCCACCTCGGCAGACGAAACAGAAGTTCAGTCGATATTCCCTTCGGCCAGGTCAGTCAACTTCGTACGAAGCCATTCTGTGTCTTCGCAATCTAAAGGGTGAGTACAGTTTGCTCCCTACAAATTGATTTGTTACCGCGCATTTAACGACATTATAAGAGATCTAATTCACTCCGTTTTATGAGCAGTACCACAGTAGGTCCGACAGTCTGCGATATTTTTGTTTGGCAAGTTAAATGTCCAAAGGTGAACCTAGGCATTTTAATGATGTTCCGTTAGTACGTTAACAAGAACTGACTCCGATCTTTTACCTTTCTACCTTTTGTTACTGGCGACGCAGGTGTGCCACATTGACCCATTCCTGTAATGTGAGCAGGTGGTACTATTTGCGATGGAGTGAAATACAGGAAGCTCGACCCGAACACTTTCGATGGAGGTAGAAATTTGTTACTCGAAAGATCTGCCTACGGGGTCTTTAGTAAAGCTTATTCGCTTCCCATTGATCGCTCCATATTTGCTCTCTTTTTCTGTTTCATATGTGAAACAGCATGTGCATCTTGCAATTCAACAATGCTCGTGACTGTCAACAAGCCTACGATGAATGTCTTCAAGGAAAAGAAATTGGTGGACAGCTTCTGCATGCGGAACTGAACGGAGGTGAGTTGGTCATTAAAACTCGTGCAATCACTGAACTTATTTCACAAGCTCTTTAATAATCACTCAGTTTAAATTTTTCAGATTATCATTCCAGTTCGTCAGAAAATTTAAATGTCAGCCAGCATTATGGAGGCAATTCCAGGGATTTCAGACGTTCACATGCCGATAATGAGTACAGCCAGCCCACATATGATCCGCATGGTAGAACTGATAGTGAAAGTTCTTCCAACGCTTGTACACTCACCGTGTCAAATCTTCCCTATACAGCATCTGAAAGAGATATTATGCGCGAGTTCCCGGAAGCCCTCCGAGTAGCACTTTCGTTAGACGAGCAGGGACGTTCCAGAGGGTAAATTTTATTTTTGAACTTTCAATTGTTTGTAGCGTTGCTCACGTGACTTTCTCGAATTCCGACCAGTGCAGCGCCGCTCTTACTTCCTGCGGAAATAAGATGATGGGTGGTAGGCCTGTGCGTGGACGAATCCAGAGAGGTAAAGGAATGCCCATACATTGTATGTGATGTTCATTATAGACCAGGAGCACAATCAACAACCGGGTTATAACAATCAACGCTCTTATAATCGTGACCAAAGAGAATACGGTCAACGTAATCAACGCGAATACAATCAGCGTAATTTCAATAATCGAGATCACACCAACCAGCGTGAAAACGGTAACCAGAGAGATGGCAATCAACGTGAGTACAATCAGCGTGATTATAGTGGTCAACGTGACTACAACAGACAAGGTAAGCTTATTTTGTCAGGCAACTAACTTGTTTAGTTGTTTTAGTATGACAGGCAGTGTAATTATTCTCGTTTTGTGGTTTCAGGTAGGCAGTTCGACTACAATTCAGGCAGAGGCGAAAGAGATGTAAACCGTTTCCAAGGTGCTCCAGCTAATCGGGGCGGGTCACGCGAGTTTGGTAGAAATGACCGCTTCGAACGAACAGATCAAAGACGAGATCGCAGCCCAGCCAGAGGAGAGCCAGTTCGTGGGTACGGTAGCTCAAAAGGACCCCGAATAACATCTGCCGTAATTCACCGTCCAGGAAATGCCAGCCCTTCGGAGTCGTCCTCTTCAGATGAGGACTAAACATCCTGGTATTTTTCAGGGATTTCCTTACTGGTGCGTCGTGCAAATACTTTTATTAACGTACATATGACTTTAAACATTAAAATATTCATGTTCGAAATTCATTAATGTTGTAGTCTAATATACACTTCACTTCACACGCGGTTTTTTACAGAATACAGTGAGATGAAGTGGTGGGATAAAGTTGAGGCCATGCTGGAATAAGTCGATTCCAACCAAATATACATAAACATATATGGCAGTGGGGTGGGTTGGGTTTTAGTACCCTAATCAGGCTTCGCTTATAAGACGTAATTTTGTTTAGTCAGGACTTTTGAGATGGTGACTTACCTGAAGTTCGTCTTGTCGTGTACTGGTTTCTCTTAAGCAACTCATCGAATGTGAATTAAACAATAGTGTTATAATCAGTGGTTGGAAATTGTCCACCTACTTACTGTGATAATGATAATTGATTACCTCGAAATTGTAGGTGATATGGCTCGGGAGTCGGGCAAATTATTCAGGATGTCACCCAGGATCTCCATCAATACAAAATTGGGGCACCTGGGTGTCGTGTCAGATGAACCGAAATAAACGCAAAGCCGGGACGCACGTTCTCCCACAAGGTGTGTGCGCGGTGTCTATGTTTTGCCGACTGACCTTCATTGGGAAGATAGAGTTCGCAAGTACTATAGTGTTTCAAGAGTTCCGATCACACATGTGACTGTCCGATAGATATGAGAGTGCTTCAAATCGCTGATCTGGTTTGCTGTAGGTCGGTATTGCGGTATAAGCAGGTTTTTGGGTGCTAATGAAGTATGGGCTGTAGTTTTCTGAGAGATTATGAGCCTAGTGATACTTTTCACTTCCTAAGAGAATAGCCCCAAATCTGTAATAGAGGAGATAGTGAGTTAGTGTTAGAACGTACGATTTTCCGGCTTTATATACTATAAAATGCCTTTACCTCAACACCGGCTACCTTCGATTCTACAGGGCTTAGGATTTGGTGGAATTATCCCATTACAGGCCTAAGTCAGCAGTACACCGTTTTCTCTATCCCTTTGAAAAAAGATGGATTGGATAGGAAGCCAGGACAATATTGAAGCCACGTCAATTTCCGAAAAATTAACACGACATAGTACGTTCTCCCACAATAACACGAACTTCGGTCTCCGACAGAATCAAGTGCAATACCAATTACTAGATTTCCACAAACACGAGTTTCTCGTTGTTGCTTTATGGACGCCCTGTTACTGGGCCCTCAGCGAATGGAGTTGACAATGCACACTGTATCTATACAACAACAACAGCGAGAGATGCCTTCATTCAATCCACAACAAACTGAATGTACGACGCTCGGTAGAATTAGCTGACGTCATGTCATGTTTTACGCTAACTGTTTGACCTGGCTGAATGTGTAGTATATCTTCTAGCGAGCGACAATATCCTTACAGAAAGTAATTCGGTGTAAGCTTGAATATTGACTGCTAACATATGCTATTAAAAGTTCAATGAATAGTTTTAATGTGTTGCGTGTTTAAGCGTGTGTTTCACATTCAACGTCCGGTGGTTAGTTGAACATGGTGAGTGGGATGGGTCTCATGGGTGGTCATGTGTGTCTCCGTTGTTCTTATGACTAACGCACGTTTTTTCATCTTTCAGGGTCGTTAGACTTAGTAGTCATAGAAATTGTTAATTAAATTGTTTCGTGACTCCAGCGGCCTTTATTACTTCCTTTTTTAAACGGTTAGTGACTTTTCCTCAATGCTGACCGTTTTGTTAATTATCTTGGTGCTCATCTTTTACTGCAGCTAATCCATTCCGCTAGAAGTTCCAAAAAATAGTCGATTCGTATAAACAAATTTTGAGGGGTTTCGTTGATTCGTAAGAGCTTCATTTTTTTGAATCACTACTTGTTTTAATTAGCAAATATGATATCAATAGTAGTTTCTGGTCGTATTTGATTTCCTTCAGTTCACTAAGAAGGAGCGTCTTTTATTTTAATAGGGTATGGTGAAATGTTTTGTTGGTCATACGTTTTGAAACTCAGGGTTACTTAGAAGCACAAGGTAATTAAGTGGAAGGTTATCGCGCTAACAACTGAACGTTGTTGAATAATACGCTTCCTTAAGTTGTGTTGACGAGAATATCTCTGATATGTACTGGGTCGACATAAAGCCTCATTTGTACGCTAGATAGTTTAACAAATTTACTGCTGACCTTCCATAATAGCGCATTGCTTGTTCCGTTCATTATTTCAGTTTCAGCTAGAGGATTGGGACTGAAGACACTTTTTACAGAACCTTTGTTTAATACAGTTTTTCTTTAGTCACTAAAGCATTCCGTCTTAAACCGTAAGTAGCTAAAACAGTTCGATGTGTTCTCTGATTGAACGATTGACTGCAATCGGTTTTTATATATATACATGAATGAAGTTAACAAACACAGGTGACTTCATGATGTAGGGATTCGGTTGAATATAGTTCGTATTCCAAACCCTATCCAGTCATTAATATCGAGTAATACACTCAAGTCTTTTTTTAACTGGGTACGTTGCGTCATGCCTGTTTTTATCATAGGCTCAAATCATTATAGCGGATTAGATATACAAAAGTTAACAATTCAAATTGGTTAAAGAAACAGATGACAATTATCTGAGCACAGGTATAAACGCAGGTCATTGAAGTTATGATTATCAAAAGTTTTTTTTTTTTTGAGATCAAAATGATCGAGAGAAAAAGCCAAAATAAATCTAGTTAACTTGAATCCTACAACTATCCATATCAGAATACTATAATGGTGATAATGCTCATTTTATAGCATTTATACAAAGAACATTTACTGCATAAACAGAAGATCAAATGTGAACAATGGAATGCGAACAGTTCCAGCTAAATCATTTGTCAGAAGAGGTTTATGTTAGGTTGAAGCATAATAATAAATCATAGTGATGATTATATTTGGGTGTAATTCTGTTTTTGGCGGCTGTTGTATGAATAGTGCAATGAACACGGTCAAAAGAAAGTCCAAAATATGTCATTGTTCATCTAGATCGAATATCAATTCACCTGCTGGGAGATAGGGAAAGGTGAACAAAGAAGCAATATAATAAATATAGTAAATTTATATACAACATTGTTAGTACATATATATACTAAGGTAAAAATCACCAGGCAAAGCTCGATTAACTACTATTTCTTCATTTTTGCACAAATCTCATCCAAACTTATTTCGTGTCATTCGAAATTCGCTCCAAATCATCTGAGATATAAAATACTCGTAGCAATCCATTAATCTTTAGTCATGTTTTATTTAAATTAATTGGCAAGGTTCTGTCTTTTGACAACCTAAACTCGATTCAAGATCCAGAAGCTGTTCCGTATTTAAAATCTATATTAAACAAATACCTAAGACTAAAAGCACAATGGTAACCAGTGAGATAAACCTGTGTATGTGAAGAACAGGGAGTATATTCGAAAAATTCATTACCATCAAAAAGTCAGTGAATTACTGTACTGGTGTTCTATATCCTGACTTTAAACACTTCAATTAGTGATGCACATATTAACTTTTCATTCCGCTATGAACTGATAGTAACTCGGAGTCAGTTAAAACAAGAAAACACTGCATATTTGATTCGTCTTAGTCTAAGATCCTTTGAGTATATACGTATGACATCACAACGGGAGTCGAACCTCATACCAAGAGGATCATCTTTAGATTATTGACTCGAAACCTAACGGTTCACAATCAAAATCATTCAGCGAGGTGTATATATTTATGTAAACAAATATATGTGAGAAATCGAAATCCCAACTTACTCAACCATTACTCAAGTATCGCCTCGATCATAAATATTATTATTATCACCATTGTCTAATTGACTTGGCTGTTCATTTTTACTGACTGATCTACCGAGACCTTCATCCGATTTTCCCGGTGATTGACGAATCTGTATTTCATTCATTGTACGACTATTTGAATCAGTTCGTAGTGATTGTGCTTCATCTACTGCACTAGCAAACTGTTGATTGATAATCGGTAAATTATTCGTAGATTGTTTATTTCTGATACAAGCACTATTGTTATGATTATTAGCTGAGATTGCTTTAGCCACAGCTTCTGCTTCAGTCTGTAATCGACTAATTCTATGACACAGCATAGCCAAACTTAAATCTGTTGGTTCTGTTATCATTTGTTGAGTTTCTGTTAGATAATCAATGCCTAAAATATTTGATTCTTTGTTGTGAACTAGAAATAAATAAAGAAACTAACTATGGATATATATATATATAATGTGGATGCGTTTACGGCTGTAATTCTAAAAAATGAATTGGCTGGTTGTGAGGATCAGTTCAGTTTTGAGATATTTTTTATCGCAAAAATGAAAGTCATGGAGTAATGAATAGTTGTTTCAACAATGCACATATACGAACCTGCGGGGAATCGAATTACAGACCCTTCAGTACTGTGGGATAAGTAATACTTTTAAGTCAGTGCGTCACAGTCAAATGGTTCATATTTCTAACTTTAGTCAGTATCTGATAGGTTGAAACGACATTCGATGAAACCTATCTTCCAAAAGGCATGGATGAAATTTACCAATCACGACTTGTCACAAGAACCGCCCTAAAGGCATCGTGTTCGTCGAGAAAAATAAAGTTTTTGACCTGATTAGATATGGGGTAGCAGAAGCCCACTGATGTAGAGTCCCTTAACTATTATAAAAAATAGGAATTCAGACGACCCTAGACTTCTATGGTTCTCCAGATGAGATAAATACCTAATGAAAATCGCATCTGAACTGAAAAAGAAATAATTTGTATAATTATCTTATTTTCAGGATGATAAATGTTTAAAAAGTTTCACTGAAACTAATACCATGCAAATAGTGAGTTCTACTCACATTTGAAATCCTAGTTTACTTACAATATAGCATAATCGCTAAATTGCATTATCAATAAACAGCTACTCGACTTTGTATTTCGTTGACTTTGGGAAATACATACAAAAGCTCGTAGACAGTGAAACATTATTTAAATTTTGAAAAATTCCCATATTGTAATTTAGAAACAACAATATATAAGCGAACAATATTGATTTCGATTAGATCCTCATCAATATTTATTTATTTATTGCATAAATACAGGGAACAACTATTTGATCATAAAATATAAATGATTGACAAGGAAAATTCTGTTTTTTTTTAACACATTTAAACTGACAGAAGTAAATGGATAAAATGACTAAACCGTTTCAGTTTTACTACTGCTAAGAAAACACTTTCATCATCAAAAGTAATTTAAACGAATACAGAACCTTTGCGAAAAAAAGTCGTCCTACTAGACTTTAATCGATTTCAATAGAAAGCAAATTACTAACATAATAAATCTTTTCAGAGGAGTTATTGAAAGAAGAAAATAAAACCCATAATCACTCAGAAATTTACCAGTTACATACATCTATTGCCCGTCGGCTCAATGGTAAATCATAACTCAATCATCCTGTTGTATTTTACAGTCTAATATGATGGGCAAGAAATAAAACCACCAATCAGGTCTTAATTCACTGGAAAGTAAGAGAGAAGTGTTCAGTCATTCAAGTAGAAGTATGTTATTTCGCTAGGTGAAGAAAACCTATACTTCTGGTTAGTGGTCTTGTCGTTGATATTAGTTCATTTGTGGGCTTGAGTCGATAATCCAGTGTTGTGAACAGACATAACCCAGCTAAATTGTATCATTATGTTCACCTAATGATCAATATTGTATTCATTTCACTTTAATAATTCCACACTCCTTCAGCATTTATCATTGGTCCGAACTAAAAACGCTTTAATCTACTTCAATAAAATACTTAGATTAGTAAACAGAAATTGTGAAGATAGAAAGCGTATAACGCACAATATACCTGCAAGACCAATTGACTGGGATGGAACAGCACTGACATCTGAATGACTTGGTACAACTTCACCGGAGCTCATAGTATCCAAATCAGATCTAATTTTTCAGCAAAAAAATGATCGACAAAATAAACAAGTGTATTGAGATTAACATGAATTAACCAAACAAATCGAACGAAATCAACGGTAAGAATGATTAATACGAAGTGTGCACATCAATAGTTACACTCAACAATTCAAAAAGTTAGAGGGAAAATGCCTAAAACAAATTTATGGGAACTAAACATAAACCAGTTCTACTGAACGAAAACATGTAGGGTGTATACTTACTGATAAGGTTCTATGATATAATCGCATACCATGGTCAGAAATCTTAGGTCACATTTCATTAAGTCAGACTCGTCGATACTCTCCTATTACCTCTACTGTTTCGAATTTTACACTATTAAATTCGTCTGTCGCTCTGCTGCTGTAGAGTGTAGCAGCTCTAATCAATGTACATTTGAGTCAAATCATACACAATATGTTTCGCATGAACTGTATTCGCAAGATTTAAATACTACATTTATATGATAATAAACTATGTATCACAAATTCGACAGCTAATTCCTGAAGTTTTAATGAAAAGCTGTGACTAGTGGAATCTAAACATATCGGACATGAGGCGAAACCCATTAATAGCATTGAAAGAGGGTGCGTAATATCGTGAATAGATTAAAGTTAGACACATACACCATCGCATGCCAAATCATTGGTTTAGAGGCTAAGCGCACGTTGTGAGATCTGGAGATTTTCTATTAGTAAAGAGAGGAGCTGATCCAGATTTAGATCATTACCTGGTGGTAAGCAACAAGTTCTAGGGCTTACAAGATCTACCGTAAGAAGAAATTATCATGGAAAAAATCTGGAAAGGAATAAAAAAGCAATAACTTTAACATGACCCGTATCAGGCCTCAAGAAGCGCCAATATAAGGAGTGGATATCTGTAGACAGTCTGGGCAATATTCAAGAAAGGATAAACAAAGCAGCAGCTAACTACACTCGAACGAAAGTAAAGGCACAGGATATACCAAAACTAGCTAACGAGTAACGAACACCAAAACTGACAAGCAAAACCACATACAAGACCAAGCAACGAGAGCAGAAAAGCTGTATTAGAATTAAATATCAAAGAACGATGTGATACAACCAATAAGCCATCATGGAAATGTAATAAACCAGATTGACCAATCAAGAACAAAGGGAAACCAACCAGTGAGAACCAAGAGCAGTGAAACAGGTGGACAGAACATACTGAATAGACCAGCAGCAGTTGGATAAGGCATGCCAGACGAAGCACTAGAGTCAAATATAGCAGCAACAGAAAAGATGTCAAATGTTCTATTTAGGGAGATTAGGGAGGAAAGAAGGATACCTCGTCAAAGAACCGAAGAAAGGAAATCTTGATGGTTGTGAGAACTACAGGTACGGCTTCAATAGACGTTCAACTTCGAAATCAACAGTATTTCGTAAGGATCGGTCATGTACAGACCGAACCTCAACACTGTGGGTCATTGTTGAGCAATCAATTAAATGAAACTCAACTCCCTTGACTATGGGGGGAGACATTCCAGTGTTGATGGGAATCCATATAAGGAACTGGATTGGAAAGTCATGCATGGAAGACAGCTCACATACGTATTCCAAGTGAAAACTGCGATCAATAAAGGCTGTCTACTCTCATCTTTTCTCTTTCTCCTGGTTGTTGACTGAATTATGAGACCTCCACATCTCAAGAAAAACACAGAATACAGTAGGCAGATGACTTAGCCCTTCTATTCCATACACAGCAGCAAATGCAGGTGAAGACAGCAAGTGTATAAGTAAGTCTATATATTCACAAGGGAAGAAGTGAGACCCTGAAATATGATACAGCAAAAATTAACTGAATCGTACTTGATGGCGAAGCTCTGGAAAAGGTGGAAACCTTCACGCAAATAAAATTCAACTGGTAAAAACCATTGGAGAGGACAGGAAAAGTAATAAAAAAATGATGAACCTACTTTAAAAGTGAATTTATGACTTCACTCTGATGTTCCATCGATACATGACACAAATTTGGTTTACAATTGTACATTGGTTCATAATTCAATCTATCACATTCTAAATTATCATGAATGTGTTTAGTTTCAGCAGACCGTTTTATGCACATATCACGAGAATCAACTTCATCTGATAATATAGATTTACTTAATGTTGAATCTCCATTACTAGTCAGTGGATGACATGTTTTATTATTTTGAGGGATTGTGTTCATCGTTCTCATAGCAGATTTGGATTTTACTGTGGCAGTGCGTGGTGAATTGCATATATGTTTCGGTTGATTAACAAATATTCCATTTTCATGGTTATTTACTAATGAACATGATGATGAATTAAACAATTTTTTCTCATAATTATTATTGCTTTTGTTACTATTATTACTGTCATCATTATTATTGGTCTTAAGATTGGAATCCTCCCAAAAACGTCGATTATTTAATACATGTTCACTTACATCACGATCTCCTAAATAAAAAATATGATTCAGAGCAATATAATACAAAGCGGAAACAGATCCATATTTAAGATATGGATCAGAACGTTGAAATACATTTAACTGACATTCGCTTGTGAAATGTTACATTTTATTGTAACTAGATTATTTGGGTTTATTTCTTACGAGACAACATTGAAGTATTTATGCAATCAAAATGAATTAATAATATTGTAAGAATGATTGAAATTTAAAGGAATTGAATAATGAAGGTAAGAACTAGAAGTAAATAGGTCCTTGTTTAAAAATCCTTTTTTATCATTATTACAGATATATTTATTTATCCTTTCTTATCAGTTACGATTCCAGAATGGATTTCATTACTATCTTAACAACGCAAGTAAATAAACCTTGATTTCATATTTATGTTATTGTGACTTAAAATTATGAAATTTATTACAGCGTGGTAGCTTAATAATTAAAGTGTTAACATTTCAATCACCGAACTACATGTTTTAGCGCTGTCGAACTACTAGCTATAATGATTTTCACGGAGGAAATGTGTAACAATGAAACGTAAGTTGCGTTCATTTCTAGATGTTGAAATACTTTTCCTTTCAGATATTACATCATTTATTGTTATTTTAAGTCGTCTTTCATAGTAAAATGAATTTATTAAACTTACGTTCAATCCAAAACATAGCAACGTTAATCAATCTGACATGAAACAACATTTAAAAACTGTAATAGATCTCATTTGTTTTATAATAGAGTAGTTTCCAAAAGACTATACAAATGATTGAAAATATACTCAAATAAGGATAGTGAAAACCTTCGGATATGAACTTGCCACGTTCTATGTTGAAGTACAGAGGAGTTTACAAGTGTTCACAAAACAAGCTCTGCATATTTTATGGACAGATTGAGAAATGGATCTAGCCAGTGATTATACAGTCTTGGGAGTTCAGTGGGATGACTTTAAACTGAGGAGCGACATTCCATACTACCATAGTTGGGCTCGAGCAAATTAAAAGAGCTCAAATTCAGAAATTTTGCTATGGAGGCAAAAGTTGAAGCACTCTTATGGAGATCAGTGATAAAGTTTTGCCTGGGCAATCAAGGTTCTTGAGTCACAAGAGAGACAAGCAGAAAAATGAGTGGGTTGAGTCTTAAGTGGTACCTCGATAAGTTGCGGAAAACACCTATGCGCCGTATCTTCGATGCATAATCTTTCCCGTTGTCACCAATGCTATTACTGTAGTGATCGGGAACACAAGTGGGGACAATTAAATGTATCTGAACACACAAATTAAAGAATATCTTAGTAAAATCTGAGAACCATACAGTAACTACTTCATTTGCAAACTGTCAATCAATTATCTCACACTTGACTGTTCCTTCTGCAAAATTTCAATCAATCGTCTCAGACATCATCGTTCTTTCGTTTCCACACCAATCATTCTCCATTCTCGTTCTCTTTCTTTCTACCGCTAGATGTTTCACTTTCGATGATGATACATACTACTGACATCTGTCGACATCGGTAGAACACACCACACTACTACTTCTACTATAGGATTACGCTAACAATATCATCTCGCTGCACTAATGGGGTATGGCAACTTGAATCGATGTAAACACGTATCAGGTTCTTCGTCGCATTTGACTGGCTGACTGATGAAATGGTATAGGAAAGAAAATAGAAATCGGGGAGTGTAGTAGTCGATTATAATAAACAAAAGCGAAGCTTAGTTGTAAGAGGTGGTACTAATATCAAAACCACCAGTAATACTGTTTTCTTCCAAATTCAGAGACACTAGGTGCTCTGAGTAACAATTGGAAAGCAGAGGCATATATATCATTTTCACTTCTGGACTAAAGTATGTGAATATCAACAGAATAAATCGTAAAAGAGGAAACAAACACGAATCGAATGAGTGTAAATGATCACGGATAGACCTACCTGTCATTGTTTTTTCATCAATATCATTTTCTAAATGCTGAATTGCATTTTTTATAATCTGTCCTGACGGCTTTATTTTTGTAGTCGTCTTCACCATCAGATTAGTTGGATCATTACATATTGATGAGAAATGGTACAATTTATCCAGTTGCAAATGATCAGAACATTTCAGGGTTGTTTTGACTGCTGTTATAGACGATGACAATGGTGAACTATCACAGTTGTTGTTTTTTCCCAATTGATTACTATTTTCATTCTTATTACAATTGATTGGGATAGACCTATTAGTTAATAGTTCTTTATGCAGATCATTTCCACCTAATTGATTAGATTGTTTACATTTAGAAGATACATAAGATGATGTATGATTACTACAGGATGGAACTTGATCAGTTGTTACTAATGACAAAGGTCTTATATTGTCTTTATGATATCGAGGTAAGTGTTTTAACTTACTACAGTGAGATCGTTGAGAATGTTCATGATGATAGTGATGACTAAAATCAGTTAAACGACGATTGGATAAACTTTTAAAGTTTTTATTTCTCAATAAATAACTTTCTGATATTGTTTTTCCATACGATGACGAATGTGAGGATGACAAGGATGACGATGATGAAGCACATAACTTAGGATGAATTAAAGTAATCTCACTGAAATGAAGAAGTCAATAATAAAAAAAATTTCATAATAAGAAGCATGTTTCTTACGTAAAGGTATAGTAACTAGTTTATAAGAAAATTATTTAAAATCGGTTAGGTAATGTCATATTTGCATTTACAAAAACAGCTTCATTGTAAACTAAAGACCACTAAACGATTTTAATCATCGAAGATTAACTCTTCGAATTGAATTAACTTGACGACCGTACAATAATTGACCAATAACATCACATGTAGATTGTCTCAACATATAGATCATTAATGACGTGTGAAATTAAGGCCTGTTTATCAAAATTAATTACTGCCCCCAAATCATTGACTGTCAATAGCTTTTAATTTCGACCTAGTCCGTCAGCATAGTATAGATATTTAATTAATTAACAGTATGAAGACGAATATTATGTCGGTTCATGAAACAGGCTTTTAAATAAGAATAGGAAAATATAGTCCATGGGATTAACAGATAGTTAAGGAAAGTATATTCAATCATCCATGTCCATATTGTATTACGTTTCTTTTGGTTATACGGAAATTACCACCAAAGGAGGTTTCGGAATCAGCTAAGATTGAAATTTTATCCTTTTCAGTAAATCACTAAAATTTACGGTTGTTTCGTTAAATTGTTCACTTCGTTGATAAATTAAAAAAAAACTCTGAGACGATTCACAAGTTGTAATCAATTAGTCAATCAGTCAGTAAAAACTCTATATTTGGGACTGGACTTTAAAGGGGACATGGTGGGTGATATTTTAACACGTCGACTCAAAAGATCTGTTGAAAGGATGTTTCACGCCGCCAAGCTATACATAATTTTCTCAACTAATCAAGGATGGGTCGACGAAGATGGGCTCCTCCATGTGTGTATACTAATCCAACTGCTCCTGTGGAGCCAGTTACATAGGCCATACTCAGAGGGCTTTGTCCTTGCGTGTTCGTGAACATGTATCAGCATGGTTGGGAAAAGGAGTCACTAAATCGACCAACAACACTATCCTTTCTCACTTGGTAGATAGTGAACATCATATCAAAATGAAGGAAACTTTCTCTGTTTTATATCAAGTTCCAAAATATCTACCTCAAGGCACTAGATTAAGGTTACTCTACATAGCCGAAGCCATCTGGATCAACTCCAGAAAACCAAACTTTTGTATCCAGAAAAGGTATATCCAGCTTCTATGTTTACCTTGGACTACAACTGGATCACAGAATACCTAGACTGAATATTACAAACCTCTTACCCCCTTCTTTCCTTTTTCCTTATTATTATTATTTTTTGATTACTTCTATCTTATTCTTCGCATCCATCATTCCCAATTCGTTTATCGTAATTACCTTGATAACATCCCCCTTATTACATATTATATTCATACAACAATATTATTATTATCTCGATTGACAAGATGAAATTCTCCTACTATGCATTTTATTCACATAATATTTTTGCAATTTTCTTTTTGCTACAACACTATTCTATTGATTGTGACTAGACACTTTGAAGTATTTATATCATAACAGATGCAAACGTTTACCATTTCCTAACATATAACATTGTCAAATTCATTAACACATGCCTTATTTTGGCCTTTGTAAAACATAATGATAGACTTATAACTGTAGAGCCTGGTGATGAATTTACTGAAAACAATTATTCGCTTAAATATTCTCCATTTTTTGAATATTCTATGGAGATTTCGTTATGTCAATTACCTCTGTCGATGAACAGAAATTGAATTGTGATAAACAGAGACCGATATACTCTTCTGTGTCAAGTCTTAAATTATCTACAACTATTGATATACACGTAATTAGGTACAATGATGGGACGACCTACCTGCAAATATTGGGATCTTTGGTTTTTCTTTCCCAATTTGATTCACTAACTAATCCCGGTTGATGATTTGAAGAGGATTGACATCCATTCAACTTTTCACTAAACATTGATCTAGGTGAAGAGTCTATATCCAGTTCATTGCTATTACAATTATTATTACTGCTATTATTATGTGTGTTGTCCATCATCTGTGTTTGAATAATAGAAAATGGTTTTTGTTCTTTGAAATTACATTGTAATTTATTGTCATTATTGAACCGACTCGTTGATGCCTCACTGAACTGTAATTTTGATTTATCCTTCGCAGATAATTTAAACCATAATGGATGACGTGAGGTTTGGTTTACCTTTCGTTTATTATTGATGTTATTACTATTAGTATTGCTATTATTACTAATACTACAACCGGTAGATCGTAGACCAGGTAGTTTTAAAAGCTCCTCAATTGTATTTCTATTTCTAGCATGATATTCATAATCATCATAACTTGAGTTTATATCACTACCAACATCCGTTATAAAATTACACTCATATTCTGTCACTGGTACAATACCATTATTAGTATTAGGAGTAGTAATTGTTGTAGTTGCAGCATTAGTTGACTTTTGACTTTTCAATGCCTTAATTGAATCTATAATATTTAATGAATTTTTCGGTTTATTCATAAATTTAGTTTTTAATAATAATAATTTATTTGAATCAATACTTGATTGCAAGCTGTCATGATCCGAGAGAATCTCTGATGTTTGTGATACTATGTCATAATCATGTATAGTTTGTCTAATTTGTTCGCCGTCATTATCATCAATTAAACTATTATCCATATCATTACTCGATTTTGTATAGTTGTGAAATTTCGACATGGAATTTCGTTGTCTATCACCAACATTATCTTCATCATTATCCGTTTGTTCTACATCATCATCTTCACCAACATCACCACCATCATCTCCATCCACTTCGTCATCATCATCATCATCTATTCTTTCTACCTCGTCAACACCACCTTCATCATTGTTATTGTTGTTCTCAGAGTCGCCATCACCATATTCCCCTTCATCATCACCACCATAAGAAATCGGTTCACTGAAATGCGTAGATTCTATATCAACATCTTCATGAGGCATTAACTGTTCACTAGTATTAAAATATCTACTTGAATCAATAAACAAGACATCTTCCTCACTATTGACATTATTGTTGTTATGATTATTATCCTCATTACTACATGAAACAGTTAATTGACTGATATCCAAACTTGATAAAATCGACGAGTTTATTACAGGTTGTTCTTGCTGATTTGCGGTTAAAATTAAATTTAATAATGGCTCTGAAATGTCCACAGATAACTGGGCAATTGAATTCGTTTGTAGTTCATTGAGCTAAAATGTAATTTAAGAGGAAATTTTTAAAGGTGAAAACCAAAAAAAAAATGTTTTATTATGATCGTTAGACTAATCCTTTTTACCATTACAGTTGCTATGCCAACACATTAAAAAGATATGTATTCGAAGCATGGCTCCACTAAAGAGTAACACTTGTGTGTTCAGTGATTAGGTTAGACGCCTGGTACTAGATAAAGTTGGCAATTCAGTTGATAAGGCTGACTTCAGTGAACAAGATTTGTTGCGTATTTCCACCAACCACCTACCTTAATACATAGTTCTTTTTAGCATAAAAGTAAACTGAAAGAAGATAAAACATCAGATCACAGTCACTGACTTGATATGAACCATCTTGGTAAGTAAAAAGTACTTGGTTGAGGATTGAATGTGACTGATATATAAGTTGGATCGCAATAAACGCAAATTGACACAGTCTACTAAGTGACTAGAAGTACATGTAATTATTCAAATACACAAACTATTAGATCATTAGTTATCATGTTCTCCGTAAGAGTTAAATGTCTGAATTTAAGTCCATATAAAGCAAGGAACGTAAGAACCTATGAAAAATGTGCATTAGCTCACGGTATCGCACCATATTAGCATAATGAGGTGAAATTATGAAGACGAATACTAACGTAGTGGAAGTAGTAATAGAATTAGTAGTATAAAAAAGAGCAGTGGCAGAATATGATTCTAGAAGAATAAAACATATTGAAATAATTTTGAAACTCAGGAACTAATGGTAAACAAAGAGTGATTGCAACTGCATTACTGTGGCTGATTCTGATCCATATTATCTAGCGTCTTACATGTATTAATTCAGTTTAGCATAAGGTTCGTTTAAAATGTTTAATATATCATCCAACTCCCTAGAACAAAATATACAATTTAATTAATCTACTTTGTTTGGAATATTAAAAATCATTATTATTATTATCACTATCATTATTATATATATGTCATCCACAACTTACCTGTTCATCGTATTCTTTGTCAACATCGGTAGTTCTTGAGTTCAACATATTAGCCGTAGTTAAACAATCATCGACCGCTTCATTAGTTAAATTATTATTATTATTATTATTATTATTATTATTATTATTATTATTATTATTATTATTATTATTATTATTATTATTATTATTACTAGAACCACTCAGTGACTGCGTATGATTTTCACTATTTGTTAAATGATCCCTAATAGAAGTGTTATTCTCATTGTTTATTGGACAACACTGAGATGTACAATCATTTCGATCCATGTTTATACGATCTTTATTTTTCATTTCTGGAACAGATGCTACATACTTATCTGACTCATTATTAGAATTATTAATAAATTCTTCATTAATAGGTTGTGTTGGTAATGATAATGATGACTGAAGCTGAAGCGGAGTTGTCATAATACATGTTGACTGATTAATTGCAGAAGAAGAAGTGGGATCCGAGAGACTACTTGAAGGTTTTGATGCATCTGTTGACTGAAGACAAATAACAGAAGTACTACTTGTTGTAGTAACAACAGTTGAATTAAAAATATCAGTATTGGGAGAGGCAGCAGTAGCAGTATTAGTAGTAGCAACAGAAATAATATTTGTTTGTCTGGCTACTTCAATCGATAAACGTTCCTTTAGTTCAGCTAACTGTGCGAAACAATGACCTTGATTAGCTTCAAGTTGTAAGATATGCCAATTTTGATCACGACACTTTTGAAAGTAAGTTGGCGCTCTTACCTAATTTTTTTAAAGGAAAAAGTCATATTGCTAAAAATTATCAACAACAATTATAATCAATGATAACTTTAGCTATCAATGACTTTATGGAAGCTTTATACATGAAAGACAAATAAATTTACAATTTTATGACATGTCGATTACAGTAATTATGATGGGAGTTTAGTGTATATCGTTCAGTTTCACGTTATCTTGCAACATCAACTTACTTCAGTTAGAGAACCATTGAAACACAGAGGGGACTGAATAGCTATTTCAAAACGTCTTAAGTTCCTTGGTTGGTACTTATGATATTGGCTACAGGAACTTAAAAAATTCCTGTTGAGTCCGTTACCTGCAGACCACTGAGTTTCAGCATCAGTTGCTCTATCCCTGAGTATAAGTTACAAACTGAGATCAATCAGCTGCCCGTACCCTATGATCCTAAACAATTCTTCAACTGACACCAGCTCGTGATAAAAGCCAACTTCAAGTTATATAATCACTACAAATATTCCTCGAGTTCGATAAAATTACCTTGCATTAAAGTAAACTGCATGTGATGTTGAATAAACCCGACTGGTTGCATTGCAACATGATCTGCTGAATCCGGTCACCATCAAGGACTTGATAAACATACTATTGCCCACTGATCAGTGATCAATTAATGTAAATATATTATTCCTTCTGGACATTTGTAGTCGATCCAACAGCTTAGTAGTAACGTCTCCAACTGTGGAGCTGAGTGACACGTGTTTAGATCCCACAGGGAGTATCAATTCCCTCAAGATTGCTAAGTGTGAGAAGCTGACGAGTCTCAACTACCGTGACGACTACTTCTCACCGTCTAACAGATAAACATGGTACAAGCGAAGTGTAATCACTCATAATAATTATAACATTACAACTAAGACTAGATACACATGACATTTGTAATTTCGCAGTCCCGAATCGATGAAACATTTACAAAAAACTGTCATTTATTTGATTACCGATGGAAAAAGACAAAATCATAAATAAAGAAGAAACGAATCGAGCGAATAAATTTCTTTTCAATTCTTCGCTCGATTCGTTCCTCCTTTATTTACCAAATGTCGAAATGAAAAGCATAAATTATAACGACAACAGTAGAGTCATGATTTAACTATATGAGTTTATTGTAAAGTAGACAGTGTATAATAAATAGTTGACACAAGATTTAAGTCTCTTATAATAAGATGCTTACTAGATTTTCCTATATAAATACATTGTAAATGTAAAACGATGAAGATGTATCCAGTTTGTAAGGTGAAGTAGGAAGAGTACAATACTCCATAGTTCATCTACCTAAAGATGAACACCACACCAAATCCCACGGATTTCCGTTTCCGGCGTTAAGTTTTCAAAAAGAACGGAGATAACACGACAACTACTTACAAAATGGTCGTATGTGACCAACCACAAGCAGTGGTTTCTTGGGCACTGCGGTCACGCTCTCAGATCACTAACACCACCTCTAAACCAATTTACTTTTCAGGTACCTTTAGAAGATCCCTTTCACGGTGTACGAAATCGAAAAGTGAAAACCGTCCTTATAAATTTTACAACACTCAACATCACTGCATTCATAATCAATCTCATTCTTCAATTGCTATTATTCCTTCTACCTTGACGAACCACTCCATAGATCATTCATAAAAGTCACCATGACCAACGATTATTGTGCGCGAAACACTCCCATCTCTACTGAAATCTCACTCAAAACTACACATTGGAGCCTTCAACGTACGCTTACTTACTTACGCCTGTTACTCCCAATGGAGCATAGGCCGCCGACCAGCATTCTCCAACCCACTCTGTCCTGGGCCTTCTTTTCTAGTTCCATCCAATTCTTGTTCATTTTTCACATGTCTATCTCCATTTCTCGGAGTAATGTATTCTTTGGTCTTCCTCTCCTCCTTCGACCTTGAGGATTCCATGAGGGCTTGTCTTGTGACGCAGTTGGGTGTTTTCCTCAATGTGTGTCCTATCCACTTCCAGCGCTTCTTCCTGATTTCTTCCTCCACTGGGATCTGATTTGTTCTCTCCCACAGTAGGTTGTTGCTTATAGTGTCCGACCAGCGGATCTGAAGTATTTTGCGTAGACAACTGTTAATGAACACCTGTATCTTTTGGATGATGGATTTCGTAGTTATCCAGGTTTCCGCCCCATACAGTAGAACTGTCTTGACATTTGTATTGAAAATTCTGACTTTGGTGTTGGTTGCCAATTGTTTTGAGTTCCAAATATTCTTCAGTTGTAAATATGCTGCTCTTGCTTTGCCAATCCGTGCCTTCACATCTGCATCAGATCCACCGTGTTCATCGATGATACTGCCCAAATATGTAAAGGTTTTTACATCTTCCAAAGCTTCTCCGTCAATTGTGATTGGATTGTTGCATGCAGTGTTGTATCGAAGAATCTTGCTTTTCCCTTTGTGTATATTGAGACCTATTGCTGCTGAGACTGCAGCTACACTGGTTGTCTTCTCCTGCATTTGTTGTTGCGCATGCGATAGAAGAGCCAGATCACCTGCGAAGTTTAGATCATCCAATTGCATCCTAGCTGTCCACTGTATCCCGTGCTTCCCTTCAGATGTTGACGTCTTCATGATCCAGTCGATCACCAGGAGAAAGAGAAAGGGTGAGAGTAAGCAACCTTGCCTGACACCGGTCTTTACTTCGAACGACTTTGTCAACTGTCCTCCATGCACGATTTTGCAGTTTAATTCACCGTAGGAATTCCGTATGATATTGACTATCTTCTGAGGCACGCCGTAGTGTCGAAGAAGCTTCCATAGGGTTGTTCTGTCCACGCTATCAAATGCTTTATCGTAGTCGATGAAGTTGATATAGAGTGATCAATTCCATTCAATTGATTGTTCCACAATGATCCGTAGAGTTGCGATTTGGTCTGTGCACGATCTATCCTTACGGAATCCTGCCTGTTGGTCACGAAGTTGGGCGTCTGCGGAGTCCTTCATCCTGTTTAACAATACCCTGTTGAAGACTTTTCCTGGTATTGAAAGAAGAGTGATTCCCCTGTAGTTGTCACAGTTGCTGAGATCGCCTTTCTTTGGTATTTTGACTAGAAGTCCTTCTTTCCAGTCTTTTGGTACCTGTTCCTCATCCCAGATCTTTCTGAAGAGAGTTTGGAGTATCCTTGCAGTTGCCGCTACGTCTGCTTTCAGTGCCTCTGCTGGAATGCTGTCTAGTCCTGCTGCTTTGCCACTCTTGATTTGTCTGATAGCCATGCTGATTTCTTCAATTGTCGGTGCGCCAACATCAATTGGGAGGTCCGTGAGTGCTGCTTCGATGTTGGGTGGGTTCAGTGGGACTGGTCGATTCAAGAGTTCTTTGAAGTGTTCTACCCACCTGTTTCGTTGTTCTTCAATGTTGGTGATTATCTTGCCTTCCTTGTTTTTCACTGGTCGTTCTGGTTTACGGTGATTTCCAGAGAGTTTCTTTGTTGTTTCATACAGTTGTCTCATGTTTCCTTCTCTGGCAGCCTTTTCCGCCGTCAATGCCAAATCTTCCACATATTTACGTTTGTCAGTTCTGATGCTCCTTTTCACTTGCTTGTTTACTTCTGTGTATTCAGCCTGTGCCTTGACTTTTTCTGCTCTTGTTCGACTGGTATTGATTGCTGCTTTCTTGTTCCTCCTTTCTTGAATCTTATCCAGTGTATCGACCGTGATCCAATCCTTGTGATGGTGCTTCTTTTGGCCCAGAACCTCATGACATGTTGAAGTGATTGCCTCTTTTATCTCTTTCCAGTCGCTCTCCATAGTAGTTCCTTCTCCAGTGAGTAAATAATGAAAGGCTTGGAACTTATTGCTGAGGGTTATCTTGAATTTATTGAGTTTGTCAGTATCCCGAAGAAGAGCTGTATTAATCTATTGTGATATTGTCCTCCCCGTTGTTCAGTGCCTCTTGAGTTTCAATTTCATCTTGGCGACCAGCAAGTGATGATCTGATGCTATATCGGCTCCTCTCTTTGTTCTCACGCCTTCAATCGTCCTCCTGAACTTTTTGTTGATGCAGATATGATCGATTTGGTTCTGTGTGGTGTGATCCGGTGAAGTCCATGTGGTTTTGTGTATGCGTTTATGTGGGAATATAGTCCCGCCTATGACCAGTTTATTGAAGGCACATAGATTTGCAAATCTCTCCCCATTTTCGTTCCTTTCTCCCAGTCCGTGTCGTCCCATGATCTCTTCATATCCGGTGTTGTCAATTCCAACCTTGGCATTTAGGTATCCCATCAGAATAGTCAGGTCTTTTGTTGGGCACTTCTCGACGATTGACTGCAGCCTATCGTAGAATTGATCTTTAGCGTCTTCATTGTAGTCATTGGTAGGAGCGTAGCATTGGATGACGTTCATTGTGATCCCCGTTTTCTTTGTTTTGAAGGAGGCTTTGATGATCCTTGGTCCATGAGATTCCCATCCTATAAGTGCATTTTGTGCTTGTTTGGACAGCATCAATGCAACTTCTTGTGTATGTGGGGCATTTTCTTCTTCATGTCCGGAGTATAACAGCAGCTCCCCTGAAGCTAGTTGTTGTTGTCCAACTTCCGTCCAATGTGTTTCACTGATCCCAAGCACCTCTAAATTGTATCTCCTCATTTCTGCAGCAATTTGGAAAACTCTCCCAGTCTCCCACATTGTACGAGCATTCCATGCACCTAAATAAATGGTTGCTCTAGTTGTCAGAAAGGACATCGGCCTCGTGACTTCCGAAGAAACTCGGCTTTCATCATGAGGCGTTATGAGGACCTCCTGACTCCCAGGGCAGAGTTTAAATGGTTTGAATAATTTTTTCTGGTTAGCGTTTTTTTAGCGAGTTAGTTTTCTACGGGATGGGGTCGCTAACCCCATGCCCAACCCTCCTCCTTTATCCGGGCTTGGGACCGGCAGTAGCCCCCGAAGGGACTCCAAGCGGAGTCCACTAAAATAAAACAGGCATACATAGTTTGATATTCCATTTCTAATGTAAATTGTAGTGGGTTTACCAATACTAATGAATCACTCAATGTTTAAAATAACAAATCATTCATTAATTATTCAAATTATAGTTTTCAACGTACGCACCCTATGTAAAATCGGCCAGCGGGCCGATTGACGTATGCTGTATCTCCAAAACACATATACAGGATCCTAGTGTGGTCATTCACTTGACATGACCTCACCTCACCAAAACGGAGAACCGAAGAGATACATCCTCCGTGTATCTAGCGACCCGATGGCTGGTTCTCGTGGACTGGCGGGTGTAGGTATAGCACTAAGTACGAGGGCAGAACGAGCACTAATAGAGTAGATCCCCGTTAACAGTCGCCTATGTGCTGTTCGACTAAACAGCTCCATAAGAACTCGGAAGGATAGGGACACACATAGTTGACTTCTCGTCATTTCTGCCTATGCTCTCACTGACTGCAACCTGGATGAAGTGAAGGATGACTTTTACAGAAAGCTTTCTGGGCTTTTTCAAAAAGTTAAACTCTCAAACATAGTGCTCGTAGCAGGTGACTTTAATGCCCAGCTAGGTATCTCAAACCCAACAGAAAGATATTTAAGTGGGTATTTTGGTATTCTGGTTCAATGAACAGATAATGGTGACCGTCTGCTGCAACTGTGAGCAGATAATTGTTTACTTTTGGCAAGCTCTAATTTTAAGCATGAGGAGAGACATCGTCTAACATGGCGACCTCCTGCACCAAACAGACGATGGACTCAAATAGACCATATAGCCATCAGTCATCGTTAGAGAGGCCCGAAAAAAGATTGTCGCTTATTCTGGAATACCTGCTTGGGCTCTGATCATGCTCTAATACGGGCACACATATGCTTGAGCCTCATTGGACGCAGAAAAGCCACATTAAGATACATTAGAGTTAAACTCAACGATGAAAAAGCCAACAGTAGATTCCAGGAACAACTGAGGTTACACTTAGGTAGTTCTGAAAACGAGGCTGACCCAGATGTTGCTTGGAAAGATATAAGAACAGCTGTGGGAACAGCAGCAACATATACTAGTGATATGAACCAAAGGGTCACGAGAAACAAATGCATTTCTACCAAGTCTATTGCAGCATTTGATTCTATAGACCGAGGTTCTGTGGCAGTGTCATTGGAAATTGTACCTCGGAAGTACATAAACCTTTTGAAGGCTCTTTATTCGAACACTACAGTTTGAGTCAGAACTTATGGCGAACCGTCACCTGATTTCGCAACCTCAAGTGGTGTCCGGCAAGGTTGCCCACTATCTCCATTTTTGTTCCATCTCATCATAGACCTACTGCTGGAAATAACGTTCTCGTCGACAGGATTTCCAGTGATTGGTCTCCTACCAGGATGTTCACTTATTGACTGAGAATACGTCGCCTATGGTGAGGGCGAGATATCCGTCTAGCAAGTAAGAGACGAGTATACTGCCCAGTAGTTCGTTCTGCTCTACTTTATGGTTGCGAAACATGGCCATTGAGAGTAGAGGATATCCGTAGGTTACTAGTATTTGATCACAGATATTTTAGAAATAATGCTCGCATCTGTTGGGATCACCAGGTAAGTAATAGTGAGGTTAGACACAGAGTATTAGGGAATGATGGTAAATCAGTTGATGAGGTTGTGAATCCTCATCGACTGAGATGGTTGGGCCATGTGTTACGCATGCATGAACACCGATTACCACGACGCGTAAGGCTGACTAGTGTTGGAAACGGTTGGAAGAATGTTAGGGGCGGTCGAACCAAAACGTGTCATCAGTCTTTGAAGTCACTAACTTCTGGTCTGAGCCATGTTAGTAGATTCAAACTACGTGGTTAGGGTTCGCGCGACTATCGTAACCAACGGTTGGAGACTTTGTGCGACATGGCTGGGAATCAATCACAATAGTGTCGGTGTATACACTCTTTGTCTTCCCACAAACTGTGAGATTAAAATAGCTTTATACTTTTCTTTCTACGAAATAATTCTTTCTTCCTATACTATATGCTTATACACAATCTTTCTTTTATACATTACTATCATTGAAGTGACTACTTTTATGAATTTGGTGTTCATTTTGTTGTGCTAATGAGGTGTGGCAACTTGCACTAATGCATATATGTGCTTGACCCTACGTTGTAGCTGATTGACTAACTTCAATTTGCGTAGTTGCTTGATTAGTAAATAATTTGATCATATTATTTCAAACAAATAACTAATCTTAACGTGGCATTATCAAAATTATTTTTCACATTTTGACAATGACTACAAAACACTGAATACAGTTCCATATTCCCATTGAGTTTTTGCTTATTCCTTTCTATATTCTAGTTTACTCGACCCTGTTTTTTGCTACTGATTACGACTCAAGTTACTTATTTATCGTAAGATATTGTACTGAATTGTTCACTTATGAATAGATAACCTTTTTATTACGCAGACATCCTTGTTCAGATTTATCCTAATATATACTATAATCTCCACAAAACCCCTGCTGATATATGTATGTGTTTGTGGTTGGAGAGAAGTGTAAAAAATTTTAAAAATCAGAGGATTTTATCGCGCAAATCTCCATTCACTTACGAAGAACAAATTTGTTGATCGTACTTATTGATTCTCATCAGACCAGATATGTTATTTTTTTAGTGGTGATATTTGCATAGATGTAAAAAGGGTCCCTTAGCTTTTGTCAACACACAACACCTGTGAAAAGGAAGAGATGTTCACCTACCTAACAAAGGACGAGTATAGTTTGTGGTAGTCCGGTATATTTTACGTTATGCCTGTGAAACACTTAATGAAAGTAGATATGTGTAGGTGGTAAGTATTTATTTTCGAAGTACTGGATGAATTGATTGAGTATTAGTGAGTTAAGGATAGTGAATCAATGAACTAAGATGGTCAAGGTAGGTCACACACTTGTCAAATCAATATTCGATGCTACCTGGCATGGAAGGAGATTCAGAAAATGTTAGATTCAGCCAAATAAAAAACACTAATTAATAAATTCAACGTCTTTGTTTTTTGTAGTGTTAAGTTTTAAACTCATTGCATTAAGTTAAAATATAACAACTTAGGTCGAAGGACATTTATGGTTCTGGGTTGTCTAGTTCCGGACCTGCTGACGAGTTGATACCTTCCGCATATAAACTGAAAATTAATGTCAGCAATTAAAAAATTTAAAACCAAAAGCAAAAATACACAAATTACTTGGAATTTAAGTAGTATCGAGTCTGTTTCACTATTTAAGTAACCTTCATTAACTAATAAGTCCAAACGGAAGAAACGATTATAACCCCAACATTCACCAACTTCAAAATGTGAAGCGAATTCACGTACAATATTGCGACTAGGATCACGAGATTGTTGATGAACCATTTCTACACGATATTCATATCTGAAAGGAAGAGTGATTATAATATTTATTTTAAAACAGTGGGATAAACGGCATGTCTTCAATAAATAAAATTATTCAATAATTCACAGAGTAAAATGGATGAAAGTATTAGGCGTCTGTATGCATTTTGCTGAATGTTCCCTACGCATAAAATGAAGAAACGAAAATAAGGGTTATATACTAGATTAGATAAAACGATAATTTTCATCTCAAAATAATTTGGTATCATTCTTAGTATGTTGAACAAGCAACAATAAAAACAATGAGTGTTTAATATTTGATTTTCAAGTACTCTGAACGCAATTTTGATGTAGAGCGGATGAAAATTTCAAACATATATCGTGAACAAAAGATGCAAAATGAAACGGTAATGTTAAATAGTAGACAATTATTGACAGAACCAAAGGAAACTAGTAATTAGAAAATCTAGCAGTTGGGATAGAGATGAATCAAAGATCCACCGAAATGACGGGAATAACATTTCAACTGCCCTCTAACTAAAATCAAGTTAGCCACGATCCACAAAACAATTTGTAGTCTTCAACTTTTAGCAAACAAACAAAAAATTACCCCAACTTCAAATGAGAAAAAATACCAGAATCTGACGCGTTAATTATGAATATATTTGAAGATCGCAGTTAATGTTTGTTTTACTAAACTGAATGAAGTTATCAATTAGGTCTATATTATTTAATTTTGATCACAGGAGAACTAACCGTATTAAACATCGTTACTAAGATGTTATGTAATGATCGAAAATAGCAAAGCTATGAAAAAACCAGGAATCTTTGCTGCTTCGTTACAACACAAAAGACATGAATCAAAATTGTTAAAATTTTAAATTTTCTTTAATTTCTTCATAAACATGCTGTATTCAAACTAACATTTGATCAATCCAAAGTTTCGAGGATCGGTCTGTTTCACAGAAAAAGCTTCTAATTGATCTCGAGCACATAAACAACAGAGCATTGAAGTTAGAGATCTGAGAGAAACACAATCTTAAGTACGTTTTGTATGACAAAGGTAAGAAAGTTCTGTATGTGATTCTCGCGAACCAGGAACAAAACCTTGTTTTGGAATCAGCTCGAATAACTGCTAAGTTTTACAAAAAGTTAATTTGCTGACAGCCGAAGGGATTACTAGATAGGAGGTATTTAATCACACTAAGTTGCCGATTATAATCTAGCATAAGGGCAGTACACCTGTAAAGTAGTAAACACCCAGAGAACTAAATAGTTACCCAACCCAGTTACCGTATACATCCATGTGAAGCTAAGGGTGAATCATACAAACACTTGGCATTAGTCCATAATTTCATTGACCTTTGAGTTGAAGTGGACTAAAAATTCCAGATGTTCTGAATCTGACAGGAAAATCAGATTTAATACCAAATAATTTCACGTTCCATTTCTTAAATTTTCCTTGTTTTTTTTTTCCAAATATATAACTCCATTATATTTGTTTCCTAGTAGTTTTTAAAAGCTATTGTTTTAAATGACTCATTTTCTTCAAGTTAGTTTGACCGTACTGAAATCACGTTTGAACCGTTTAAGTTAATACGCCATTGTATCAGGTCAGATGTTTCGTTATCTTGTATATCTGATTTCTTCATTTCATTATCGTTGTTACCATTTAGTTTCTTAACTTATTGGTCGAATCCTTCATTAAATGGTTTAATACTTCCGAGAACACAAGCTTCCAATAAACTCTTAGTTTGGACGTCTTATTTTTAATTTTACAACTCAATGTAATTCATATTCCATAGCTGGTTCTTCAACTCATCAACAAACTGAGATCAACTATATAAATACTGAAAATCAATAGAAAATCTTACAATCATTTTCTGATACTATGGAATTAGATAGTTGTTGTACACAATAGACCTCTATATATAGTCATAACTAGTAATTTCGATTTACATAACTAACACGTTACTAGTTGGTCAGCAATTCATTTGGAAATGATTGCTAGAACTATCAGTGTAACAACTTTTAAACATGTATCTAACTCATATTTACTAACGAGTAACAAGCAGTTAACTATATAGCTTAATGCCTTCAACAAGGCATTCTCAGCCACATAAATTTCCTTCAGTAATTCAAACAGCCATAAAGAGTCCGCTCACCCTCTCGAAATGCTTTCACATGGCCACGCGTATATAGCCTCTGACAGGGAAGTCCTACTCACTTCCTTCTCGTCACATTACTGTTGTTTACGAAATTGAAAGGACGAAAAACGAATGTCCGGCGCTTTGACCGGATTGGTGGGAACGCAGAGTCCACCTAGGGGAGTTGGAAAACCCTGATTCCAAACCAATGGTGCACATGGGCTGGCTCCAGTATCCTGAAGGAACAAATGGTGTATGAACCAATCTTCGGTCACCGGCTACCATGAAACTGCATCTCCTTGCGATGCTCCATTGCCTTGTGGATCAGATCTTTAGGTCGAAGGTTCCGGGTGTGTCCCCCTAAGAAAACTACCTGCTTCGGTCTGGGCACCCGGGAAGTATTACAGCCCTCGCACATACCAAATGAGATTTGTGTGGAGCATGTGTATTTGGTGCCTCCTTGTACCAATATTTATGTGTTCAAATAAATGTCAGTAAAATGATCACATCCTAACCTAACAAATTTGAGTGTTCATGAAATTATCGATTTTCTTTATCATGACTAAAAATCAAGGCTGAACATATCTTACAGTACTATTAACCAATCACTACTGTTATCGCTTATCACCTTTGTCTGAATTTCACATCGAACGATGTTTTTCTAGACTTATCGATTGAAATCACCCCAATGACTCATTGTTGTTCTATTGAGGCGCTATGTATTGGTTAACATTAACTGGGTGGAAAAAGGTGAAAATAAAGTGATAAAAATGATGTGAACGATTGTAAAGTACAGCATACAGGACAGATCCACACACACACAATTTACAATAAAAAGCCCCCATAACGGAACACATGATTGACCTTGTTAGTTTAAAGTGCACCATAAATGTTATGATAAGTCACCTTGACCATATGCATACTTTGATATGTTTACGGATATTATCAATTTTAACAATTTAAAGCAATTAGTATGTTCAATAGTTGAAATCATGAATCAATTGAAGCTAGACCACCATGGGAAACCTGGAAGCACTGGACGGCCGTTTCGTCCTAGTATGGGACTCCTCAGCAGTGCGCATCCACGATCTCGCACCCCGCGGGATTCGAACCCAGGACCTATCAATCTCTTTCTGGTTAGCGTTTTTTTAGCGAGAATACATTACGCCGGGAAATGGAGATAGATATGAGAAAAATGAACAAGAATTGGATGGAACTAGAAAAGAAGGCCCAGGACAGAGTGGGTTGGAGAATGCTGGTCGGCGGCCTATGCTCCATTGGGAGTAACAGGCGTAAGTAAGTAAGTAAGTAACCTATCAATCTCGCGCCAGGCGCTTAACCAACTAGACCACTGAGCCGGCATCCAACGGTGTTAATGTCTAACTTCAACTAATCCACGAAGTTGCGCCACCGTCACCATTGTCTTCAGTGAGCTGATATCTCACAACAGACCTGGTTGAACTCCACTGGTCACGGCTTCTCACTAGAACTCCAGGAGTATCTCTTGAAGTCAGTCACTAGTGAGCAGATGATTATTACTAGAATGGGTTTTGTGGAGAATTGGTAATTTCAATAGTTGAAATCATGAATCAATTGAAGCTAAACCACCATGGGAAACCTGGAAGCACTGGACGGCCGTTTCGTCCTAGTATGGGACTCCTCAGCAGTGCGCATCCATAAATTTTAATAGAACAAGAAGACGGAGTTAATATGAGGAAAATTTGAGCTGTACATTTTATACAATCTGGTCACCTCTATACTTGTCAAGGCATTTCATGTGAAGGTTAATCAACATCGAATAAGTGAAAGTTCGAGTAAGGAAAGTGATAATTATTATCAGAAGGGGTTGTGTAGAGATTTTTAGAAATTTCACTGGTTGAAATCATGAGTCAATTGAAGCTAGACCACCATGGAATCCTGTCGTGGACATGGCAGTGGTTCCTCGTTTTACAAGTAATAAGCGATTCCGACATAACAATTAGCGACTAGACATAACAGTGATTCCTTTCAAAAATATCAAAGTACAATACACTTTGTATAATATGGATATGATACAGTTCGACTAGTACCAAGGATTATACAAAATAATATTGATTAAGTTTAATATATTCGCATCCAATGCCGAAGACATAATTCACCTATATATTTCAAGCAAACTTGATAACCTCTAGTCTGATACACGTCATGGATGACGATAGCTAATAACTGGACTAACATGTGGCGTATTCGAATTTTAACGTGAACGATAATCTTAAGTGTAAGAATAACAATACATCATATGAATGACGAAAATGTTATGGATACTTGGAGATAAAGAAAGTTAATATCTATAAATATTAAAGTGTCAAGACTAAGCTTTAGGATTGTGGAAAGAATCTGTTATAATTCTCTCTACGGTTATAACCCAGCTATTCCTATTGCTTAGTATTCCTGGATACAGATTCACTCGACAAGTCCCCAAATCAGAACACGGTTGAACAGGAAGGAGATTATATTCCAAATAACAAGGTTAGATGGAAGCAAGAAGCACAATAGGAAAACCGTTAGTATATTTATAGTTTTTACATGAGAATATTTCTAGAGTATTCTCCAAGTATCGACTAGTGCTGATTGGACAAGAATTAGCCAATCAGCGTGCGCTAAAGCAATCGTGCATTGAGCATGCTTTAATCCAATCTATGTCCCGCTAACAGAATCATATGCTGAGGATTACCTCTTCATGATTAATAGAATTTATTTCTATAAAAGCTATGTTAAATAAGAACATTCATGTTTCTCTATGTGAATTACTAATTTAAATTGATAAATCATACTATTTTGCAAGGCTACCAATAAAAATTTGTTTCATTTAATATCAGAAGAGGTTTTGTGGATATTATAGTAATTTTAATATTAATAGTTGAGATCATGAGTCAGCTGAAGCTAGACCACCATAGAAAACCTGGAAGCACTGGACGGCCGTCTCATCCTATCGTGGGACTCCTCAGCAATGTGCATCCAAGATCCTGACTCGTGAGATTCGAATCCAGGACCTATAGGTCTCGCGCGAATGCCTAATCTTTAAACCACTGAGCCGGTATCCAGTGGTGTTAACGTCTAACTTCAACTAATCCACGAGATTAAGCGACACATCCACCATTGTCTTCAGTGAGTTACTATCTCACAACAGACCCGGTTGAACTCCATTGGTCACTGCGTCTCACTGGAACTCCAGGAAAAACCTTTTGAAGCCAGTTATTAATGATAAGTATCAGAACGGATTTTGTGAATATTATAGAAATTTTAATGGCTGAAATCATAAGTCAACTGAAGCTAAACCACCATGGTAAATGAAACTGTATTTAAGGAATTTCTTGACACAACTTTAGAAACTTCACGTAACAACATATATGAAGAAAAATCAATTCCTCTCCGCAGAGAATCAATTTAAACCTAGTTAAACAACACTAATATAAATATTAATAATCTGGAATACTTCCTAGTTGTTTGATTATCATAGTTAATGAACTGTTGTTGTAATTTTTTAACAGTCACGTGATTTATGTATGTGTTGGACTAATAATGAGGTCAGTGTTCTCGCTAGAAAAATACAAGCAACTAAGAAAAGATGAAAACAAGCAAGATAATGATAGAGATAACAATGAATAGAATAAAACGGCATAAACTACTGGATAAAGTGTAATATTAATCAAGTAGCTAACATAAAGTCAAACATTTAAAATGTTGCATTCAAAAAATAGGTGGTATGTCCTCATGAGTAATAAAACAGACAAAGAATCAAAATGAGGAATACTCACTTGGATGCTTCTAATAATCCAGCAGATAATTCTAAAAACACCGATAAATAATTACCGCGTACAACACCATTACCATCTGGATAAACTTTAAGACGCCAGCTTAAACCGCCTACATGTAATGGTTGACTATATACAGGATCAGCTCTTTGTTTCATAATGGAATAAGGCTGGAGTGTAAATGTACTCGATTCATAAGGAGGTACAATTTCACTATAAATAAGTGATATGGGAAAAATACAAAAACATTAAAAGAACAAATATAACAAAGCAAAAGTACATATCAAAAACATTCAACCTAATGCATTGCTACATAAATTATAGGACGACAACCAAAAACAAACTTCCATGCAATTAGTTCCTTTTATGAATTTAAATGAAGCCAGAACGAATATGATGCAGAATAATATGAATTGATTATATTTCGTGGTTTCTCACCAGCTGCTTACAACCAAATATGTATTAAAATTTTAAATTGATGTAAAATATAGTGTGGAACAATCGACATAAATGAATGTAAAGAATTGGAAATGACAAAGATTATCAATAATAATCTTGTTCCACCCTAAATCTTACCTGAATGTAAAATTTCAATACATATTTGGTTGTAAGCAGCTGACGAGAAACCACGAAATAAAATGAAATTATATTATTCTGCATCCATATTCGTTCTGGTTTTATTCAAAAACAAACGTTCGGAGAGTTCTAAGAAAACTAAGAAAATCTGTACTGGTGTATCGGAAAATATGAAATTACCATGAAAAGCTACAGAAAATAATTAAAACAAAGTTATTACCCTATGACATGTCCTTTTTAGTGTTTGACGCTATACTACTTTCTCTTAATAAATAGTCTGATCTAGAGTTAATGTGTGAGTATCGCAGTACAAGCCATTGGCTTGTTGAAACGAGATTCTCAACACATCCACGTATTATCTTACATCGATATATCAAGTCACTGAATAAGCCATAGATTGTCCCTTTCAAAGGCTTATTTACTTGTTATGGAAACTAAATCGGCCTCGAGAGTTTCGTCTACTTTTAAAAACGTTGAGCAATCCATCGGAGACAACAATAGTTGACTAAAAGTATGATGGTGAGTTACCTATTAAGAAATCAGTTAATAAAACTTTTTAGGAACCACATAACTTGAATACGTTTTCCATCACACCACTGTATAACTCATAGTGTATGCCGCAGTCTAGTATTAACCAAAAAAACACTTTTAGTAATACTACAGTTTAAAAATTATTGACACAATGTTTGAGTATTAGAACAATCCAGTTGTTTGTTAATTTCATGATTCATCTTTGAGAAATTAGTTGAAAACTTTACTAGAAAAGCTACTGAACAACGGTTTCATTATATTATGGTATTTTAAAACTTTTTGAATCATAACCTAGAAAATTTAAATCCTATAAAAACACTTGGTTTTATCAAGCACGGGGTTGTCCGCTTTATTCTCATTCAGCTTTGTCAAAAACACTAGGATCGCCTGAATTTTCAAGAATTTGACCCCCGCCGGGAGATTCTCTTGCTGACGTGAAATACGCAGATGACACAACCCTATTTGACGAAGATGCTGAGAAAATACAGTCTTCTGATCGCCTTGAGCAACAATGCAATCATGTTTGGGATGCGTTTCTCTCCATTTAAATGTAAAACTTTGTTACAGGATTGATCTTTATTAGCGCTTCCATTAATGATAGGCAATAAAATAGTTAAGCGCGTCAACCCCTTGTAGCGTTTCATATGAAAAATTTATTTTATCAATTTTTAACAGCGCTGTTCTAATTTGGATACAATCGAGGGTGTTCGCTGTGCTGTCTTCAATCCTGATCCAATCATAACTATAAAAGTATATACTAGTTAGATCTGAGAGTTACTGGATCGCATACTACATTCTAAACAACTAACACTTTGAAAAATCTTGCAAACTCACTTATCTCCTAGTGGGTTGGTGTCAGATGAAATCTCTGCATAAATCCGGGAAGCACGGTTGGTTTCTGACAAATTTCCACTCTCTCCATTCTTGTTTAACTTTATCGTTGACGTCCTTTTAGAGATGACACTTTCCTCATCTAAATTTCCAGGAGTTGAACTTCTACCGGGAGATCCACTTGTTGACTTAGAATATGCCGATGACATAGTTCTATTTGGTGAAGACGCTGACAGAATGCAGAGTCTGCTGACCACTCTAAGCAACAATGCAAGCATGTTCGGCATGCGATTCTCTCCCTCGAAATGCAAAATGTTGCTTCAGGATTGGGTTACATCGACACCCGAACTAGTGATAGGGAGTGAAGTAGTTGAGCGTGTCGACCGCTTCACTTATATCGGAAGTCTCATCAGCCCTTGTGGTTTGGTGTGTGACGAAATCTCAGCACGGATACAAAAGGCTCGACTAGCTTTTGCCAACTTGCGTCATTTGTGGCGTAGGCGAGATATCCGTCTATCGACCAAAGGACGTGTTTACTGCGCAGCAGTTCGTTCCGTCCTACTTTATGGCAGTGAAACATGGCCAGTAAGAGTAGAGGATATTCGTAGGTTACTAGTATTTAACCATAGGTGTCTTCGAAACATCGCTCGTATATCCTGGGACCACCGAGTAAGTAATGCAGTTGTTATGAAACGGGTACTAGGTAAGGATAGCAAATCAATTGAGGAAGTAGTGAAACTTAATCAGTTGAGATGGTTGGGACATGTGTTACATATGCCCGACCACCGACTGCCCCGACGTGCTATGTTTTATGGTGCAGGAGTAGGTTGGAAGAAAGCTAGGGGCGGCCAGACCAAAACATGGCAGAAATCCATGAAGTCACTGACAAGTGGACTGAGTCATGTTGGTAGGTGTAGACTACCTGGTTGGGGACCGCGAGACGATAGCAACCGATGGTTAGAGACCTTGAATGACATGGCTCAAAATCGTTTGGAATGGTGCAGGTGCATCCACTCTCTGTGTTCTCTCAAACTCTAATCTTCTGAATTCTCCATGTCCTTTATTTTCTTTCCCAATTTATTCCACTGGACTATACTCCTTTAATAACATCATCAAACCTTAATGTTCCCTATCTCTACTTATACTTTCAGTACCTCTACCACTATGGGATTTGAATTGATAACTGAATCTCTGTGCTAATGTGGTATGGCAACTCGAACTGATGTACGTACGTACGAAGTTCCACGTTGTTACTGACTGACTGACTTCTGACAAATTACGTCACTGATGTTCCAAAAGGTATGTCCATTTACCACCCAAAGGACAAATTTGTTGCTTAGCAGTTCACTGTGTTCAACTCTATGGCTGTGAAATTTGGCATTTATAAATGGGGGCTATTCTTGTATTATAGGTACTTGATCATAGATACCTTCGAAGAACTGCTTGCATATGGTAATACTACCGAGTAACCAATTCTGAGGTTAGAACTGGGGTACAAGGTAAGGATAACAGGTTGTGTGTTGAGTATGACTAAGTGACCGCTAAGTTGTTAGTTTATTTAAATCATGATACACTGTCATTCATAACTAATTTTATAAGTGAAGAACACTTTACTCACATATTTAATGCTACAGTAATTAACGTCAATAGTGAATAACTATTATTCTGATTCGATGAGATGGATAACAACCAATACAATTTAAAAACAATACACAAATTTACTCACCTTACAAAATCAGCTGGTACAGGCGCACTAACAAACGAAGCCATAGGTTTACAATGTACGTCACTAAGCAGTGCTAAAATTTCAGATGATCGTTCTACCATTTCAGACGGTTTCGCAACATCTACCGCATATTGAACATCATGTAAAAGATTTTCAAGTGATTCAATTTCCTAATAAATAAAACAAAATGAAATTGGATATGGCATCCATATAACGCATATATATATATATATATATGACAAGCTAAGAAAGTGGTATTTTCTTCTCGTAGAAAAAAAGCATTGAAAATCAAGACGGTACAGAATAGACAATTTCAGCTTATAGTAATTCCTCATGAATAAACACTGGCTTTCCTAGAAATCGAATCAGGAACTGTTGAAGACTACAGTAAACCTGTAATTACTGAGGGAACTGATGTTCCCTGGCGGATTCGACCACGTGTCACCCAGATTCACAGTCAGAGACGTTACCACTGAGCTGTCCGGGCCGCGACCGACCTCCTGTAGGACTGAGATGTAATCACAATTGATTAATCACTGTGTGACCAATGTCATGCGTGTCTAGTCCTTATTATTAGTGCAGGTCGAATGCTATCGATCATGTTGCAATGTGGCCACCAGTCTAGGTGACTCGACACTGCGGGCACTATTGTAAGATTAGATGGTGGTTGGAGGTAGTCGACAGGAAACCCTGGACCCGGGTTTCATGCTACTTGGCACTCGTCAGCAAGGTGTACCTGTAATGTTTGAGGGAACTGATACTCCCTGACAAATTCGATCCCGTGTCACCCAGCTTCACAGTCAGAGACGTTACCACTGAGCTATCCGGGCTATCCTGATGTCCTTCATACAACTAGCAGCCTAATAAGAATCACACTGTACAGTCGAAATGTTTTATTTTTCAAAACAAATCAAACTGAAATGTCATAATTATGAATGACCTTGTGTTCCATCATTATTATATCCACAAGCCGTAAAGTTGATTCACTTTAGTTGTTTTTAAATTGTTTTAAATTTTAGAAACTTTTCAAACTTCACGGAATTGAAACTAACTAGTTTACAGTCATTCATTAATCGACTATTAAATTGATAATAAATGGAATGATATCATTTATATCCCAGTAACAAAAATTACATGAGTTTAATTTTGATACTGACTTAAACTAAAATAGCGCATATTTATTATACTGAGAAAAAACATTGATACATAAACTTGTAATAATTGCTTAATTTTATTCAAATTATCATTATTCAATGTATCAATTATAATTTTTATATCAAATTCCAATGATACGATAAATGTTCTCCGCCAGGGAGCACCAGTTTCCTCAAACATTACAGGTACACCTTGCTGACGAGTGCCAAGTAGCATGAAACCCGGGTCCAGGGTTTCCTGTCGACTACCTCCAACCACCATCTAATCTTACAATAGTGCCCGCAGTGTCGAGTCACCTAGACTGGTGGCCACATTGCAACATGATCGATAGCATTCGACCTGCACTAATAATAAGGACTAGACACGCATGACATTGGTCACCCAGTGATCAATCAATTGTGACTACAAGAAACCTTTAAGAATCAACATGCCTAATAAGTCAACGCAATGACTTCAATCTGTTTTAAGACAAACCGAAGAGAATAAAATCAAAGGTAGACTAATGAGTTGTTACCTAAAAAACGAATTGAGCCAAATACAAAAAACGTTATACTGGACGAAGTGAGTGGTCTCGTTCAAAGGTACATTAACATTAACTAGCAGCCCCACACAGTAAGATATGTTTTTAGTTTTATCAATGTGTGCAGAAATTTAAGAACATAAATTCTATTGAAAAAATGTTAAAAGTTTGGATAGGGGAATTTCCAGAAGCATGTAATACAGATCAACTCCTAATCGGTAAGCGAATGGAAAAAGATCCAATTTACCAATCCATACAGAAAAAGTGAGTAGATTAAAGATTCAGAGGTTAACCGAACAGAAAAGTCGACGAGAGTGTAAAGACACATGAAAATGACGAAATCTGAATAGACACTCAGTCATAAACAACATTAACAGAGAGGATTGATTTTATGTTTGTTGAGTGTAATTTAGAAAACAAATCAAACTCACTTGAAATAATTGACTACGTTGACTCATTAGAGTAACTAGTTTTGATTTTAGTTGTGAATCTAAACGCGCCACCATTAATTCGACTGCATTGCGTAATTCTCGAACACGTTCTTCTTTGGCTTGTTTTACAGCCTGTACATTCTTCTCCTATTTCAAAAACAATAATCAGTATTATTGTCACAATAAAATTAAAAAGGAGTAAAACTATTCGATTTAGGGAACTTTTTAATTATCCATTTCCTCTGTGTTATTCAAGACACATAATCACTTAAGAAAACTCTATGGAAAAATGACCAAGCTGGTAAGTCAATAAATTATAGGTTAAGTAGGACCCGGTAATTCTTATCAACCCAAGTTGCTATACCTCATATAAAGCAGACAAGAGGACGAATTATAATGTGTAGTTCAGTGAAAAACTAAACACAGAGAACATGGTTCAAAAAAGGTAATTAAACTGGCGGGATGGAAAGTGCGAAATAATAGTAAGTTAAAAATTTAGAAGATAAAGAATGAATGTGACAGCATCATTGAGGTCGACTATGGGTCACGCAACTTAATCTTCAACCATTGAATGTAAACTTAGTATGATAGTTTACAATTTCGCACACTGCACAGACTAACAGTCAATGACTTGTAGGACTGGCGTCATGTTAGTTTGGCTGCTAATATCCTTTCTTAAATTATTTCCTATTCCAGGTGGAACTTCATGTCAAAATAAGTAAGGGTTGTTGTGTGTAACTAACTCAGTGTATGAAAGTGTACAGTTCACGCTAATAAATAATAATAATAGTAATAATAATGGCGTGTCAATAATAAGGTGTAGTTAGAGAGATGTTACCAGGTGAATTATGAAAAGAAATTTATGTGAATTGAGAAAAATAAATGTGTAAATTAAAAATTGGGTAAGGCATAAATAAACGTGAAAACAATTAAGCGCAAACGTTATAAGCAAAGATAGATGGTGGCTAGCAGTGGAACCCAGGACGCGCGTTTCGTTCTATTTGGGACTCGTCAGCTGGACCTACCTGTATCCCAAAGTTGACGTTTACATCTGGACTCGGTTCCAGCGCAAGGGTATACAATGTCTGATCCAGGTATGTCATGATCCAATCGTCAACCAAAGTAAACATGGAGGTCGAACATACTACCTTTGGTCTTCTGAAGTTAATTCTATTTTTTCAACATATTATTTAACTAACTAAAAGTTTTATTTTGGCCATTTTAGTACAATAATTATGTACTTATAACTATTAAGCCTGATGACGAAGTTATTGAAAACAATTGTTCGTTATAGAATTCTTTGTTAATCGTTATTATATCTCTTGCTGTCGACAGATCACAGTCAATTGACTAACATATGTAATATTCAGTTTAATGTTAAAACTACCAAGACGATTATTTATATAGTTGAAATCATGAGTCGATTGAAGCTAGACCACTATGGAGAACCTGGAGGTACTGGACAACCCTTTCGTCCTAGCATAGGACTCCTCAGCAGAGTAAGAAAATAAGAAAGTAAGTAAAAAAACAACGAGCTGAGAAACTTCTATCGTTATATTTCAGACACTCATGGGTTTATGTACATAAATTAACAAACGTCATTGTTCGGCAAACCAGAAATAATAATTCATGCACAACTAAGCCAACAGTGATGGAACAAAGTGAATAACTAACTAATTAGGGATAATGAGGGAACGGTAAAAAATAAAACAGTAGTTAATGAGTATAGGGGAAGCTTACTGTTGGGGTGATCCAGAAAACTCACAAAAGGCAAGCATAGACCAGAAAAATACTAAGAAACATTTTATCCCATCAACGTTCACTTGTGGTTTATCCAGAAAAATCAACAGAGTGAAACGTGACATGTAGAGTTTCTGTTTGGCTGATTACCACACTGCTTCTATGATTAGTAGCATTCCAGAATCTTCGGGAAGACCAAGGACATCCAAAAATACTATAAAAACCCTATATTTTCTGTACTAAAACGAATTTTTGGAATACAGTGCTTCTCGCATATTTTGCGTCTTTACTATCGTGTTCAGGTCGCTGTCTAGTTATAGCTTAAGGGTTACAAGAACAGCTTACGGGCCGAATATAGAGTTCAATTTGCAAGACTTATCACTTACGACAAGGGGAATATGAAAATATAACTATTCAGTCGCATTCCTTTGAACAAATTTTACGTGTGTGGTCAAAAAGGGTTCTTACAATACCCTTTTTGTAACTCATTGGACAGAAGCTATAGTGATTGAGATATACTCCACTCCAGGTGTTTTTATGATGAATGTGTCCTCGTAATGTGCCATCAGATGAAAAACATAGTTGGTTGAAATCAAAATTACTTGATATTACAAACCAGTACGTAACGACACCAATTCCACAATTGAAAGTGTTGACTAAAGATCACCAGCTAGCATTAAAAAAACTTGTGAAAGTTATTGCTATTTCGTCCAGATAAGGGTTCCGGTGTAGTCATTCTTCACAGAGGCGAATACATTAGCAAAGTAATGTGTATTTCAAATGATTCCACTAGATTAATATTATCCATTACCGATTCTCCCTTCCATAAACTCGCTCGCGGGCTGACAAGAAGCTTAGAACCAATCCGAAAGAAATTAGCACCCTACAGTCTAAAAGACAGTTTTGAATTTGTACAAAAACTTGACAACCTAAATGCTTCTGATAAATTTATGGTCTCCTTTGACGTCTCATCGCTCTTCACAAAAATACCCTTGGAAGAAACGGCAGAGATTATATGTGAATATCCTGAACTTCCACCTTTACCAATACATGAATTTAAACAGCTCCCATTTTTGTTTACTAAAAACATACAATTTCAATTCAATAATGTCTTTAACCGCCAAATTGATGGAATAGCCATTAGTAGCCCTTTGGGTCCAATTCTGGCCGACATATTTATGGGACAGTAATAAACTTATTACTATGCTGGTAATCCATTTTCTATTCCTTTATTTTTATTTATTTATTTTTTTGATTATTAGTTTTATTTATTTATTAATTTCTGGTTATTTGTTTTATTTTGTTAATGTTTAGTTTGTGTTATATTCCTCTTAACTACCCTTTCTTTCACACATTTCTGCTCACTTGATTGCCTTAAATTATGTGAACTCTCCAAATTTCTATTCAATTATTACACAACCCATCTCACCAGTTTTTTAATTCCATTAATCCTTCATTACCTCTGAAATTATCGTACAACTTATGTCTCTGAATTCCACTCAACTATTACACCACCCATCCTTAATTCTAACACCAGTAACCTCTGACCTGTTCTTGCACATATATATGTAGTTTGATAACCTTTGTCATGCCAATCCTTTACATTCACTTATGTCAATTGTTCCATATTATTTCTAATCTCAATGTAAAATTCCAATACATATTTGGTTGTAAGCAGCTGATGAGAAACCACGAAATATAATGAATTCATATTATTCTGCATCAATGTTTGTTTTGCCTTTATTTAAATTCATAAAGGGAACTAATTGCATAAAATTTTTGAAAATTTGTCCCCTAGATAATCGTCAGTTCATCTTCTTACCGTCACAATCAGTCATCAGAACTCTCTAAATATCTCAGCAAAATCCTGAGCAATAAATTAAACAAATTACGTGATTACTTTTGTTAGTACGGACAGAATACTACGGAGAATCGTCATATATTTTTCCCATATAATCATTTAGCGACTGAATAGTTATATTTTCATATTCCCCTTGTCGTAAGTGATAAGTCTTGCAAATTGAACTCTATATTCGGCCCGTAAGCTGTTCTTGTAACCCTTAAGCTATAACTAGACAGCGACCTGAACACGATAGTAAAGACGCAAAATATGCGAGAAGCACTGTATTCCAAAAATTCGTTTTAGTACAGAAAATATAGGGTTTTTATAGTATTTTTGGATGTCCTTGGTCTTCCCGAAGATTCTGGAATGCTACTAATCATAGAAGCAGTGTGGTAATCAGCCAAACAGAAACTCTACATGTCACAATCTAATAAATATCTAATAGACAAACAACAAATTGTACCGGTCTCTTAAAGTTAGTTTTGAAGAAACGATGTAATGGAAAGTCAAAACAGTTAAAAAGTCAACTGTGAATTAGAGGTTTTCAACGTACTAACACGTTTAAATCTATACAAATATGGTTACTACGGTGGTTATATTATTAATAGTTTGTTTAAGATTTAAAAGAGTTTCTCGTTCATCATGTTCAGATAAACTTGTTAAACACGAAAAGAAATCATTTGAATATCTTTCAACCACATACAGATTTGTACCATTACTAGGAAGGTTTCGATATATTATTAGACCTCTGGAATAATAAACTTTTTCATGTACACTGTCTTCAACTTACATACGCCTGTTAACCCTAGTGGAGGTGCACGAGTCCCCGATCAGGATTCTCCAACTTCGTCCTGGACAATCCTTTCCAGTTGTTATTCGTCCTTTCCATGTCTGCTTACAATTCCCAACGCAGTGTGTTCTTTGGCCTTCCTCTTTTCCGTTTCCCTTCAGAATTCCAAGTTAGCGCTTGCTTCATGATGCAGTTTAATGATTTCCTCAATGTGTGTCCTATCCACTTTTAAAATCTTTTCCTAATTTCTTCATTGACTGAAAGCTGGCTTCTACTGTCACACAGTAGGCTGTTACTGATGGTATGCAACCGACGAACATTGAGTATCTTACGTAGACAATTGTTCATAATTACTTGTACCTTTTTGATGATGGTTGTGGTAGTTCTCGAAGTTTCATCTCCGTACAGTAGAACTGTCTTTACGTTCGTATTGAAGATCTTATCTTTGATGTTGGCTGACAGTTGTTTCGGGTTCCATATGCTTTTCAACTTCAGAAATGTCACCCTTTGCCAATCCTTGTCTTCACATCTGCATCAGATGCTCCTTGTTCATCGATGTGCTGCACAGATACATGAATGTTTCCACCTCTTCCATAGTTTCGCCATCCAGTGTGATTGGCTTGATAATCTCCGTGTTGCATTTCAGGATTTTGCTTTTTCCCTTGTGTATGTTGAGGTCTACTGATGTAGAGGCTTGTGATACACTGTTTTTCATGACCTGCAATTTTTAGTGTGTGTAGTTTAGAATAGCTGTGTCATCTGCAAAGTTCAAATCGTTTAGTTGCATCTAAGCTGTTCGTTGTATCCCGTGCTTCACCTCAGATATGACCTTCATAATCCAGCCAATCACCAGAAGAAAAAGAAAAGGAGAGAGTAATCAACCTTGTCTGACTCCAGTCTTCACTTGGAATGCATCTGTTAGTTGTCGTCCAGGCAAGTCTTTGCAGTGTAGTGGGTCGTATGAATTCCTGATGACATTGACGATGCAGTTGTCGATTCGAATCCCGTAGTGATAGAGGTAATAAATGTATAAGCGGTAATCGGAAAGATTAGGGTTTGGAGATGTTACTCGGGTAGTATAATCAAGTGAAATAAATTTCGAAAGAGAAAAAAAGGACATGAAGAGTTCAGAAGATAAGAATTTGGGAGAACACAGAGAGTGGATGCACCTGCACCATTCCAAACGATTTTCAGCAATGTCATTCAAAGTCTGTAACCATCAGTTGCTATCGTCTTGCAGATCCAAACCGGGTAGTCTGCACCTACCAACATGACTCAGTCCACTTGTCAGTGACTTCATGGATTTCTGCCATGTTTTGGTCTGGCCGCCCCTAGCTTTCTTCCAACCTACTCCTACACCATAAAACATAGCACGTCGGGGCAGTCGGTGGTCAGGCATGCGCAACACATGTCCCAGCCATCTCAACTGATGAAGTTTCACTACTTCATCAATTGATTTGCCATCCTTACCTAGTACTCGTTTCCCAACAGTTGAGTTGCCTTCTCGGTGGTCCCAGGATACACGAGCAATGATTTGAAGACAACTATGATCGAATACAAGTAACCTACGAATGTCCTCTACTCTTACCGGCTATTCAACTGATTGTTCAATGATGATACTTAGTGTCACGATTTCGTATGTGCACAACCGATCCTTACTGAATCCCGCCCGCCCCCAAATGCCCTGGTACGGCCGAGAGCGAGGGGAGTCTGCTCACCCTCTCGAAATGCTTTCACATGGCCACGCGTATATAGCCTCTGACAGGGAAGTCCTACTCACTTCCTTCTCGTCACATTACTGTTGTTTACGAAATTGAAAGGACGAAAAACGAATGTCCGGCGCTTTGACCGGATTGGTGGGAACGCAGAGTCCACCTAGGGGAGTTGGAAAACCCTGATTCCAAACCAATGGTGCACATGGGCTGGCTCCAGTATCCTGAAGGAACAAATGGTGTATGAACCAATCTTCGGTCACCGGCTACCATGAAACTGCATCTCCTTGCGATGCTCCATTGCCTTGTGGATCAGATCTTTAGGTCGAAGGTTCCGGGTGTGTCCCTCTAAGAAAACTACCTGCTTCGGTCTGGGTACCCGGGCAGCGTGAACAGAGTTTTCAGAGAAGATCATCATTTTCATTATATTTGTGTGTGGGCTGTGATACTGACCGGGTGCCCAGACCGAAGCAGGTGGTTTTCTTAGGGGGACACACCCGGAACCTTCGACCTAAAGATCTGATCCACAAGGCAATGGAGCATCGCAAGGAGATGCAGTTTCATGGTAGCCGGTGACCGAAGATTGGTTCATACACCATTTGTTCCTTCAGGATACTGGAGCCAGCCCATGTGCACCATTGATTTGAGATCCGGTTATAGCGCCGGACATTCGCTTTTCGTCCTCTCATTTTCGTAAACAACACCCCCGTCACGAGAAGGCAGTGAGTAGGACTTTCCTGGCAGAGGCTATATACGCGTGGCCGTGTGAGAGTATTTCGAGAGGGAGGGCGAACCCACCCGGGCAGTATTACAGCCCTCGCACAAACCAAATGAGATTTGTGTGGCGCATGTGTATTTGGTGCCTCCTTGTACCAATATTTGTGTTTAAATAATAATAATATTGATCTAGAAGTTGAACGTCTACTGGATTTCTCATTACTCTGTTGAAAACTTTTCCTGATACCTATAGTAGGGTGATGCCTCTGTAGTTTTCACATTTGCTCAAATCTCCTTTCTTTGGTGTCTTGACGAGACATCCTTCTTTCCAGTCCGTCGGTACTTATTCTTTCTCCCAAATCTTCCTGAGTAGAACATGAGACATGCTTGCAGTTACTTCTATGTCTGACTTCAGTGCTTCTGCTGGTATATTGTCAGATCCTGCTGCTTTCCCACTCTTGATATGTCTGATGACGGGCCAACCTGATTTCTTCGATTGTTGATGGAGAGCCAGCTATAGGAAAGTTTATGTTTGCTGCTTTGATGTCAGGTGGGTCCGGTCTATTCAAAAATTCTTTATAGTGTTCTATCCACCTGTTATATCTAGAGCTTATATTCTTGATATGACGCGTATAACTTGAGCACTTGAACTTTAGAACCCTTCCAAGTCGCAATGAGAAAACAGAAGACTAGTGAAAGGAACGTTATTCCAAACAGTGTCAATTATAGTACAAAACTGTCAGGTATTTATAGTTTTAGTGAAAACGAAATCATCATTACAGCCCTCCGATCCGCATACAGGGGGTTATTAGCATTGTCCAATCGGGAAGCTACACGTAGGTAATCTAGAATATTCTTCCAAAAGGTGATTGGATGTAATATTTTCGGCTCTTTCTAAGCTTCTTACAGCTTCCTCAAGTTCACCCGTGGACCGTCCTCACACCACCCTTTTCTTTGTTCTCGAATCACAGTGATTGTCTTGTCTCCTTTATCTTTGACAGATCTCTCTTATTTACTGCAGTTCTCTGCTAGTTTCTTCGTCGTATTACATAGTTGTTTCATATTTCCTTCGCTTGAAGCTTTTCCCGCTGTCGTTGCTAGATCTTTCACACATTTCTGCTTTTCGGCTCTAATGTTCCTCTTCACTTTCTTGTTTGATGCTCTATATTCTGTGTTTTCTCTGCTATTGTTAATTGTTTAGATTAGTTTTGATATTCTAATTTCACTTTTCATACAATCTTAATCTATCATTTAATTTGAAGATAATTTAAGATAATAAAAGGTAGAGGACTATTGAAAACCAGAAACTACTAAATGACCGTTTGAAAATGTTCGCCAACGACAATTGGAACCTTCGAATTTTCTGAAAGTACTATGCATTTGAAATTACAACTACTTTGTGATGACAGCACAAGATGTATTGACTGTTTCATTTTTTCACATGCTTGACTTAAGTACTAACAATACCTGTTGATACTGTTCTTAGAAACAAGTGATAAAAATTAATTGATCGAAAGTTTTAGTGATGAAAAAAGCAACAACAAAAAAAAACGATGTAATAGAAGAACGAAAGAAACACCAACTTACAACATCTTGAAGTAATGATATTAATTCTAAATGTCTACGTTTAAATTGATCCATTTCATTCTTTATCTGTTTTACATGTTCATTATAAACATCATCTAACGGACGAAATGAATGCTGTTCATGATCATTATCAAATAATGCACATTGGTGACAGATAGCATAGCCACATGTTGTACAAAATACAGATAAGCGTTCATTGTGCAATTCACAACTTGAAATAATCCAATGATGTAGGAAATTTATTCAATTTAATCCCAATTGAGATGAAAGCAATGGGGATGAAGAGAGAGAAAATAATTTGTTGTTATTGTTATTGATAATAAAATGGAAATAGTTTAGTCAATTATCTTGCATATATCATAAATCTCATGACGAACTGAGGGGTTAGACAATTTTCTTTCCTAGTTTGAAACATTTATTCTCCCGATGTGCACTTACACCACATAGAATCGAAACCACAGCATAATACTACTAGTGAACACAAATTCTGTGTGAATCGCAAACCCCGATTTCACGCCATTTAGAAAACACCGTGATTAATATCTAATATCATCGGAAGGTTTCTGTTCAACTTTCGAATTAGTGATTTCACATGCCATGATCCTTCATCAGAAGCTTGGAGAAAATTCACCGCACAATGATAAATTAGTGAATACAATACTGTCATTCACTAAGATGGATCTGTAGGGAGGCTTGGAATACGTAAAGATAATAAAAAAATTGCAAATAAAATTAACCGATAGAATTTGACGTGATATAGAAATGAAGCGAATTCATCCTCCATAGCTTTAATTGTGGAGTACGGAATCTATAATCCAAAAGATAATAGTCAAATATAGATACTCGTCTAACAATTTCATTTACTTTCACTTCAACTGAGAGAACTTCAAAATACCAGCTAGTGTGAATTCGGATTGAGAAAGAGGAGGTAATTGGTAAAGAATGATCATAAACGGGAAGACAAAGTTGGAGATTACTTTTGAGCAATTTCGGAAAAATACTGAAGAGGTTAATCTGGATGCAAATTATAAACCAAGGAACGAACCTGAAATGAAGAAATTAATGAACATCATTCTTCGTTGACTGACTCTAATTACATCAGTTGCAAAATGAAAAGCAAATTATTCGACCCACCAAGACAGAAAAGCGAAGAACAAACTATCAAAGCAGATAACAATATACGAAAAACAGATCTAGTATATTCTTTTTGAGTGAGTAATCTGAAAAGGCATAATCAACAAAGTCGAACCGACTCGAAAACTCGACTAATGAATGGGGAGCAACCAAGCATAGTTAAAGAAACAATATGCACTAACAATGAATCAAATCTAAAATAAATCCAGATAGCTAAAGAGAAGGAGGCTGAACAATACAAGTAAACTAAAAGACATAAATTAATCGAAAAACAGCTGTTTAATACTTGATTTTTAAGCAAACGAAGGTATACACACGTATTTACGTATATTTCTACGGGAGGAATAATTACATGCAGTACACACCGTCTTGAGAAACAGCCGCACTTAACGTGATCAGCGTGTGATTGAGAGGAATGAGAACAACTAACTCAATTAAGAATACATTTCAATCTAATTAACAATTTCGCGACTCCCCCGCTATGAGAAAATCAGTTTAGAGTGATACATTTCTCCAAGTTATGACAGACAATAATGACCTTTGTGCCAAATGAATTTGGTAAATCTGGTATGCCGAACTCTTAAAGCGCTAACTACTAAGCTGGCTTTTAGACTCCCACAATCCTTATTACTCGAACCCCGGACGAAGAAAAGAGGAATATGAAGAAAGTTCTACTTTAAAGGTTAGTGTATTTATAAGGTTACAAGTGACCTTAGGACTCCAAAAGCTACCAAAATTTTGGCATCTAAAGAGATTTTTACAAATTTCTGCAGTACTTTGCATAAATAACGAGCAGCCAAAAGTGATTTAGTTCTATTTTAAGGCTTTTATGGAGATTTTCGGAGTTATACATGTCCAATAATAAAAGTAGGAATTCATAACATGTTGTTGTTACATAATTTCCACCAACGGGTTTCAATGTAACAGCTCAGTAGTAACTTGCTGACTAGATTTTGAAGTCGGTCGTCGAAGGGTTAACGGTAAGCAATGTTCATTTAAGTTTTCATAAGATAGGAATCCCATAAAACTTTACCGAAAACCTTTTTATCGAATCGTCCAATTTAAAATACATGTGTGAATGTTTAGTCTCAAATGAATATACCAGTGAACGATATTATGAGACAAGTCAATGGAAATTTGCTTAAACAACATAATTCTTATCATGGACATATATTAGTTAGACAACCGTTGAAAACCCGGAAGCACTGAACAGCTACAATCAAATCTCGAGGTTGATGACTATTAGTCAGTCAGTCAGTAACAACGTGGAACTTCGTACGTACGTACATCAGTTTGAGTTGCCATACCACATTAGCACAGAGATTCAGTTATCAATTCAAATCCCATAGTGGTAGAGGTACTGAAAGTATAAGTAGAGATAGGGAACATTAAGGTTTGATGATGTTATTAAAGGAGTATAGTCCAGTGGAATAAATTGGGAAAGAAAATAAAGGACATGGAGAATTCAGAAGATTAGAGTTTGAGAGAACACAGAGAGTGGATGCACCTGCACCATTCCAAACGATTTTGAGCCATGTCATTCAAGGTCTCTAACCATCGGTTGCTATCGTCTCGCGGTCCCCAACCAGGTAGTCTACACCTACCAACATGACTCAGTCCACTTGTCAGTGACTTCATGGATTTCTGCCATGTTTTGGTCTGGCCGCCCCTAGCTTTCTTCCAACCTACTCCTGCACCATAAAACATAGCACGTCGGGGCAGTCGGTGGTCGGGCATATGTAACACATGTCCCAACCATCTCAACTGATTAAGTTTCACTACTTCCTCAATTGATTTGCTATCCTTACCTAGTACCCGTTTCATAACAACTGCATTAGAGTTCAAACATGTTGTGTGGAAATAGTTATCCAAAGCAGGCGATAGATGACAGCTCAATATTTCGAATTGATTGAAGTTAAACGCGCATACCTTTGAATACCAGATAAGCAGTATAAATGTGAATCGCTCGACGAGTAATCAAAGACCCTGGGTTCCATCCCCAGTGGGGTCTTGGATGTCCACTGCTAAGGAGTCCCATGCTGGGATGAAAGAGCAGTTTAGTGCTTCCTGACCTCAATGGTTGCCTAATTAAGACCAGTCCATGATGTAAACTATGGAAATTCAACAATCTCTGCAAACCCCTATACAAAAGAAACTTCATTGGTGTAGCAAAACCTACGAGTGGGTTACCGATACTGAGTGAGTAGTCGACATGATTGATAATCGAATAAAGTAAATTCGACCAATTAAACATAAAAACATATCTTGGCGGTGATATAGGATTCTATATGTCGATTATTAACTTTGGAAAAAAGGATACAGTACGCAATTTACAATATGACGTTGCCCAGGCATACTATCACGTTATTTCACATGTATTGTTTAGACTAGTAAGAGAATAGGCTGGATTTCTCAACTAACCCCCACACTACACTAGATTAACTGACTTATGCCTACTTCTATCTTATAAAAGAGGCTAAGAAATTATTTAAAATTTCTGAATACCGGGTGCAAAGAGAGAAAGAGGAGTAGTATGGTAAGATTCAGATTTTACATAACTGCATGTAAAGCTCCTTCTACTGAAAGCCTATTATTATCATTATGGAGAAAGTCATTATCCAAAACAAACAAGTGAAAAACTTTGATATATATATATATATATATATATATATATATATATATATATATATAATATCGGTTTTTAGAAACGACATACTAAAGTTTAACCGATTCGAAAGTAGTTTATATCACTAACCAATTGTAGCTACCCAACCATGGGAACCCGAAGACTTAGGAATGGTTTTATTTTAGAGTGGAACATCTCACAGCTGTGCACCCATGATCATATTATAGATCGAATCCAAAAGCTTCAGGTTTTATGGCGAGTGTGGAGTTTTTAGATTGATGAGTAGGCATCCAACGGTTCATTTTTTTCAACTATTCAATTTAGGATATTCTGAGACCACCATCTTTTATATTTTTTATTAATATGTCACGCTATGATACACGTTCAATAAACGACAATGAGCAGACACGCTTAGAAGAGATCGACGACATACTACCGATATTAAACACTCCTACTAGACATCCAAATTAGTTCAGCCAAAAAGCAAGCGATGTGGTTCATATGTGCCAGTTTTTTAACTTGGTAAATGACACTGGAAAGCCACCAACACTGTCTTCTTACCAATTTTTAGCATATGTAGAGACAACAAACGCTTTGTTAATTTACACTTAAATGAAGTTTCTCGACAACCTCGAGAACTAATGACAGGAACGTATTGTGAACCATACTAATCCCATCAACCAACTTTTGAAGTAGGAACCGCTCAAGAATTAATATCTATGTGATCAATCTGAGTAATACATCATCTATGAACCAACGGTTCCTGCATGAATCCACACATGTTTCTCCTTACATAGAAAATGTGAAGCTCTAAACCCCATAATTAGATATTTCTTAGTCACTGAATCGTGTGACATGTATAATACATATTTAATACTAGCTTCAACAGATACATATGTAGGAAAAAACAACTAAACAATCATAATCTTACACCTCAGTACTAGATGTTGATGACGTATTATTAACTGATGCTCCTCCCAGCAAATCATTTTGACCACTACCAGATCTAGATGAAGTAGCTTGGGATTGTAAATTATCCAACTGTTGGGTAACTTCATCAGCCCAACGACAATTAATCAATTCATAAATGTGCAACGAAGCCCTTGATTTTGCAAAAAGAAAGGGAATACAGAGGTAGATTAAATCTCTCCATTTGGATAATATGAAAGATGGAAAGTATTTACCATTTTGATTGTAAGTTATATTTATTTACAAATAAAACATCAACTGTAGGATTATGAAACTTCATTCAACTCGTTTCCTTCACAATTAAAACAAAGCAAAAATAACATGCTTCTCCTTTAACTACACATTTAGCTATTTCCAATATATTAACACTATGCTGAGAAGTGAGATGTTAATCATAACGAATAAGTTGTACAAGCTGTGAAGGAAATCAAGAATAAAAGCTTTTAAAAGGGTTATTTTTATAACTACCTAAATTGATATCACCTTAAGCTTATTTGTAGCTGAAGAGGAAGTAATGAAATACTATGGATTCATCGTATTCTGCAAATAATTGTTATTCTCAATTTGTCCCAATTATGAAACTAATTGAATAATAAAACTATGCTTTATTCATAGAATTAATAATACAACATGTAAAAAACATTATTCTTAAATCAAAAAATAACTTTTAAAAAATCAATATTATTAATGATACTACGTAAACCCGATTATCTAAATGAAACATAATATTATGGGACAATATTACCTGTAAAGATGTTAACTCGGAGATAGCTGTGTCATAGATTGATATACACTGAAGTACTAGTTAAAAGCCAGAAAATAACCTGGAAAGTTGAATTAGTTTAGGTTTTTTGGATTTAACATCCTGAACTAAAAAAACCCGGCACAGAATTGAACTAAGAACCTTTAAACCTCATAATAGCGAAGATAATAATAAATCTCCACGAAAATTTTCATGAAAATAGAGTAATCTTCAAAACATCATTTTACTGATGGGAAGTATTAGTGCTAATAAACAAGTAATGAAAATACATTAGGCAAAAGTTTAGTAGCAACCAAATAGGAACAGAAGGCAATGCTGGCATGTAATCCAACAGTTAATTCATTGATGCAAGTATTTTTAATTAGCTTCACACATTTTCCTATCGAGAAACCCGAGATTTAGTTTGAAAGTTTAATCATATATTGGATAAACCTGAGGGTGAATAGTACAGTGAATATTCAGATACCACACAATTTTAGGTGAAATTATGATTTATCTAAAGTGAGTCATCACTGTCAACAAGTTGAATTTGTGCATGAATCCTGAAGACTTCAAGTTGTACTTAGATAACTAACTGCATACATTGACTGAAGAAAAGAGCTTGTGCTGATGCTCTTTAAAATGACAATCGAGGTTCAGCAGTTAATTTAAATATAAAAATTATAGAAATGCTACAGTGGAGCTACGAATCTCCACAAACACAGATAATTCTTAGGTTAATTTGATACGGCCACCAGTTTTTTGAAAAAAAAACACTACATATGGGCTACGTCGATATAATTTAGAGCAAAAGAAGATAATAAGTGACGGCTAGTTTGTCCGAAAAAGCAAGACGAAATGTTATTGTAACTAAAAGAATACTGTAATCCTATCACTAACAATAACAAACACAGTTTAATTCTTCACTGATATAATGTCAGAACCATAACCTACTCCGTTCTATCTACTTCGGTTTGGAAAACCGATTAGTATCATTGGCCTTAACACTTACACTCCAACTCATAACTAAGTGCTTTGTGAATGAGTTAATTAGAATTTCAAGTTAAAAATTCATACCTTGGTCGTATTTTCAGAGACATCATTAGGTCTCCTGCATAATTTCACAAATGACAACACGCAGAATTTTACTCAGTATTGGTAACAAGCAAGAGTTCATTCATTCGTTTACGTTTTCAAGTACAGTTCACTTTTAATATAGCGAAATTGGTATCTGATATTTCAGATGAACTGTTATGATGGACTTCACAGTTTGGGATGTTTTACTAGAATTGAGAGGTACCACTGACGACGCTTAAAGAATACAAGATACATTTCGTCTAGTTTTTTCATCGGAAACAAACAAGTTGGTACACTAATAACTTATGTCGTCCTTCCATTAAATTTGTGAAACGAACCATAGGAAATCTGTCTTAAAGCCAGATTACCAGTGAACCCAATTATTTCTATAAATGTATTTTTGTGGATATTTTGTTTCTTAATTCAAATCAAAGGTGTGTAATCATCCTTACAGAAAAGTTACTTCACGATATTCATATGTCCAGAAGTTTATTCACTTTGTTGGGTCAATCCCTTTTTTTAATGTTCTAAGAATATTATGGGGTAAACGAGTAATTAAATATTTCATTAATTGGGTTGTTTAAGTGGTTTGAACCAGAATGTAAGGCATTGACACGAAACAATTCTTAAGACTATAGACGATTTGTTGTTCTTACATGAATTTGCTCGTATATCCTGGGACCACCGAGTAAGCAACTCAACTGTTAGGAAAGGAGTACTAGGTAAGGAGGAGGTACCTGAGAAGGAAATTGGATTAGAGGTGGTCATAGTGACTTGAGAGCGTGACCGCAGTGCCCAAGGGACAGCTGCTTGAGGTTGGTCACACACGACCTTTTTATGAGTAATTTTTGTGTTAGCTCCGTACTTGTTGAGACCTTACCGCCGGAGACGGATATCCGTGGGATAAGGAGAGGTGTGCATTTTTAGGGTCGACCTTTTCTAACCCCTCCCCTCCTTTTGGGAAGGCAGCATCGCTGTTATGCTGGTTGTCTGAAGGAAACACCTTACTGCTGTCACACCTCTGTACAGTCAGCAGTACGACTTCGCCTTCGGACCTTGGTTTTGTTGCTTTTAGTTTTACCGCTCTTCAACCGACCTGTCTGGGATGGTAGGACCTTGAGGAACGGTTGTTCCAGCCAGTATAGCTCAGTTGCTTCATCACGATAGGCAAGCCCGACCACCACGTCAAGGTAGCAACAACGGTCAGGGTACTAGGTAAGGATGGCAAATCAATTGATGAAGTAGTGAAACTTAATCAGTTGAGATGGTTGGGACATGTGTTACGCATGCACAACCACCGACTGCCCCGACGTGCTATGTTTTATGGTGCAGGAGTAGGTTGGAAGAAAGCTAGGGGCGGCCAGACCAAAACATGGCAGAAATCCATGAAGTCACTGACAAATGGACTGAGTCATGTTGGTAGGTGTAGACTACCTGGTTGGGGACCGCGAGACGATAGCAACCGATGGTTAGAGACCTTGAATGACATGGCTCAAAATCGTTTGGAATGGTGCAGGTGCATCCACTCTCTGTGTTCTCTCAAACTCTAATCTTCTGAATTCTCCATGTCCTTTATTTTCTTTCCCAATTTATTCCACTGGACTATACTCCTTTAATAACATCATCAAACCTTAATGTTCCCTATCTCTACTTATACTTTCAGTACCTCTACCACTATGGGATTTGAATTGATAACTGAATCTCTGTGCTAATGTGGTATGGCAACTCAAACTGATGTACGTACGTACGAAGTTCCACGTTGTTACTGACTGAGTGACTCTTACATGAATCCTACAACTGACTGTGATGACATATCCGGGAACTCCCGTACATACGCTGAAATATCATTGACATTGTAGCGCCAAACGTTTATATAAGGCATTTTCAGATAATAATACTAAGCAAAAAACTTCAGTAGCTGATGACAGAAATATCTATTGGCTTCAAGTTTTCCGAATTCTACTGACTGAAATATATAGACAATGATTTGTGTGTAATAGTATGGTGTGGTACTTTTTAAACTATTCAAAAGAAATGTTATTTTTATCAACTTGAAAACTACATAAAAATGTAGATTGAAGCAATTAAGAGATTTCGAGCACTGAAGTAAGTGATCGTCGTACTGTAATATTAGATACATCCTACTCACTGCCTTCTCGCGGAGAGGGTGCTGTTTACGAAATTGAAACGAAGAATAGAGAATGTTCGGCGCTTAAACCGGGTTGATGCATACAGTGTCTATCTAATGGAATTGGAAAACCCTGATTCAAAATCAATGGTGCGCATGAGCTCCAGGATCCTGAGGGAACGAAAGATGTACGAACCTATTTTTGACCAACGGCTACCAAGGGACTGCATTTCTTAACGGTGCTCCACTGCCTTGTGGATTAGACATCTACGTTAAAGGTTCGAAGTATGGCCCCTAAAAATACCACTTGCTTCGGTTCGGCGAACCAAGCCGTATCACAGCCCTCACACAAATCAATGATAATCGCTACTTGCCTCCTCCTCAATGTCACCATGACCAACGATTATTGTGCGCGAAACACTCCCATCTCTACTGAAATCTCACTCAAAACTACACATTGGAGCCTTCAACGTACGCACCCTATGTAAAATCGGCCAGCGGGCCGATTGACGTATGCTGTATCTCCAAAACACATATACAGGATCCTAGTGTGGTCATTCACTTGACATGACCTCACCTCACCAAAACGGAGAACCGAAGAGATACATCCTCCGTGTATCTAGCGACCCGATGGCTGGTTCTCGTGGACTGGCGGGTGTAGGTATAGCACTAAGTACGAGGGCAGAACGAGCACTAATAGAGTAGATGCCCGTTAACAGTCACCTATGTGCTGTTCGACTAAACAGCTCCATAAGAACTCGGAAGGATAGGGACACACATAGTTGACTTCTCGTCATTTCTGCCTATGCTCTCACTGACTGCAACCTGGATGAAGTGAAGGATGACTTTTACAGAAAGCTTTCTGGGCTTTTTCAAAAAGTTAAACTCTCAAACATAGTGCTCGTAGCAGGTGACTTTAATGCCCAGCTAGGTATCTCAAACCCAACAGAAAGATATTTAAGTGGGTATTTTGGTATTCTGGTTCAATGAACAGATAATGGTGACCGTCTGCTGCAACTGTGAGCAGATAATTGTTTACTTTTGGCAAGCTCTAATTTTAAGCATGAGGAGAGACATCGTCTAACATGGCGACCTCCTGCACCAAACAGACGATGGACTCAAATAGACCATATAGCCATCAGTCATCGTTAGAGAGGCCCGAAAAAAGATTGTCGCTTATTCTGGAATACCTGCTTGGGCTCTGATCATGCTCTAACACGGGCACACATATGCTTGAGCCTCATTGGACGCAGAAAAGCCACATTAAGATACATTAGAGTTAAACTCAACGATGAAAAAGCCAACAGTAGATTCCAGGAACAACTGAGGTTACACTTAGGTAGTTCTGAAAACGAGGCTGACCCAGATGTTGCTTGGAAAGATATAAGAACAGCTGTGGGAACAGCAGCAACATATACTAGTGATATGAACCAAAGGGTCACGAGAAACAAATGCATTTCTACCAAGTCTATTGCAGCATTTGATTCTATAGACCGAGGTTCTGTGGCAGTGTCATTGGAAGTTGTACCTCGGAAGTACATAAACCTTTTGAAGGCTCTTTATTCGAACACTACAGTTTGAGTCAGAACTTATGGCGAACCGTCACCTGATTTCGCAACCTCAAGTGGTGTCCGGCAAGGTTGTCCTCATTTTTATTGTGTGGCGTATATGTATTTGGTGCCCACATGTATCAATGTTCGTGCGGTCGAATGAAATAATAGATAATAATAATAATACATACATACGTATAAACACCTATATTGGCATCTTCGCAACTACTGAGCAGAGTTACATGCCCTTATTTGCCGTTTCCCTGATAACGATGTATTTTTTAAATCATGAAATGACGCGCCTGATGAAATCTAGGAATTGGTGTTGACTAGTATTCAAAATCCTGAAAATTAATATCCAGGTAAGACAGTAATTCCTGTAATGTGAATGTCATTAAGGTGTTACTCCTGAAAAATCAGCTATAAAACTGGGTTTTCAACAATCAGAAAACACATTTAGTAATGATATAAAAGCAATTCACATGTTAAAGTGTTTTAATAAAAAGCTATTGACCAAAAGTTCTATAGCTATTAGAAGATGCGTTTTCTAAGTGCATATTTGAATATCCAGGAACTTCACTCAACATCAAAAAGAGACTGCGATACATAGCTGAATGAGAGACAGCTTAGTGTATGCTACTAACATATTTCATAAAGAAATTTGTGAACTGACGATGTATTCGGATCTGGTTACTTTAAGACCCCACTGTAAAGGGTTACTAACAAAATATTGAAAAACAGCATCACATTTGCATAAATTTCAGTATTTCCATGCATTTCCAGGTTGTAAATCAGAGAATTAACTATGGAACAGTCTATTTGCAAAACGTTTAACGCAACCCATAACAAAAAAATTGAAAATAGAGATAGGTGTCATTGAAGATAAATTCAGTAGGGGATGGTGGTGATAGAGTAAGTGTAGCACATCAATATATCCATTTATAGGTATTTAAACTTGACAATTTTGATGAAACTTCCCAATGCGGTCGAAAGTTTGCAGATTTTTCAGGACCAGTGTGAACTCTGGGTTTTACGCTCACCAAAAACGAGTGAGAACTGCTCATACTCGGTGAAATTTTCAGCAAAGTTGGAGATTCGAAAACCCTCACACAAACACCAAAACATTCTGATAAAACGTAACGACCACGAAATTACCGGCAATGAGGGCACTGGGACCGTGTTTCGGTGATCCATTTCTACAGATTTAGGCATTATTGAAAAAGGGCTTACTCTTATACACTTGTAGCAACACAACTTCGAACAGTGTGGACACAAACGAGCATTATTAAGCTTCTCCATACATATAAAGCAGCGAAAAACCTCAGACAAGCTCTGAAAGTGGACAATTACGTAACTTTATAATAAGTCATACTTCAAACGTGTCCGCTCCAGTCAACTTTTTGTCTTTACGAGATTGTGCCATTTGTACGCAAACAACAATTTAGTGTTAATAGTGACTTTGCGTTTTACTGTGGAATATCATCTATGAGAAACACTGAAAGTTAGGCCAGTGATAGACTTGCATTTAGCCTGAAGGTGCTTTTTGTTGGATAAGAATCAGTGGGAAAAGTTAGAGAAAAATGGAGATGAACCAATGAACCGAAGAGCGCTTTGATGAGATAAGTGTTACAATAGATCAGACAACAGCTAAGAATGGACAAACGCGAAGTCGATGTTATCTAGAAGCAACTAAAGAAATTACGAAGAGCAAGGTCCCGAATGCATCACAAAAACAAAACACACAAACTGAGCGCATCTGGTTGAAGGGTGTATATAACGTAATTAACTTATTCAAACAGCGCTGAGTGGAAATCGCAAACTGTTCGTCCCATAAGATATGTGTCTGAATTACAAAATAAATCACCTTGTCGCTTTATTTTAATGATAATCACTCCTTAAATTGAAATAACAAAAATACTTGAGCAATATTAAGTAGCTCTAATTGAAAGGACAGTTTCAGTTTGGAAAGAACAGGAGGCTTGATGGCCTGTGTTAGTCATGGCAATGGTGTTCTCTCAGTTGATCCAACTTTATTTTGAAAGAATCTACGGATGGAGCTTCAACCACGTGTTGAGGTAATGAATTCCAATCGTTGATGATTCGGTGGGAAAGTCTGGGCTTGTGAAATTTTGGAGTGCCCTCGTAAATTCCCTGTTTTGGAAGACAAGAAAAATGAGGGCATATATATGCAAGTTTATCACTGAGCAACCTGAAAACTGTAATCAAGTCGCCTCTAGTTCTACGATATTACAAAGGGAATAGGTTTAACTTGGCCAATCGAGCATCATACGGAAGCTTCGCTATTCCGGGAATCAGCTAAGATGTTGTTTTCTAGATCTTTTCCAAAAGCTTACTGTCTTTTTTGAGCAGGGGCTAGCCGCTTGCATGCAGTACTCAAGTTTAGGACGTATGAACACTGTATGCAAAGTCAAAAACTTTTTAGAGTCGACATGAGTAAAAGCCCTACGTATTGACCATAAAGTTCTAAAAGCTTTGGCGGCTATTGCACGGCAGTGTGCAGTAGTCTTCAGATCTTGGCTAACGATGACTCCCAAGTCATTGTGTGTCCGGGCAACAGGTAGCTCAGTGTTATTCATCGTGTATGTATCTGTACCTTGGTGACCGATATGCATCACAACACACTTGGAAGTATTTATCGGCAGCTGCCATGTATTAGACCATTCTGATAATTTCTCCAGGTCATTTTGGAGTTCTAAGCTATCACCCTTAAATCGTATCGTTCTCCATATCTTGACATCGTCAGTATATGGCAAAACCGATTATGATAATAGGCGAGGAGGGTCATATACATACAAGAGGAATAGCACTGGCCCCAAAACCGTACCCTGGGAGCACTCCACTAAGCACAGTTTCCCAGCTAGACAACTTGGGGTTTACCCGTACTCTATGTTGGAGCCAAACTAGGAAATCTTCTATCCACATCAATAGATTGCCTCCGACCCCGAAATTTCTTGGCTTATATAACAGCCGATTGTACGAAACATTGCCAAAAGCTTTGCCGAAGTCAACGTAGGCTACGTCTACGGGTAACTTTTGGTCTTTAAGAACGCACCAGCCTTCACGAGCCACTAATAAGTTAGTGAGACATGAATAATCTATTTTAAAGCCACGTTGATTTTCCGAAAGAATTCGGTTTTCATCAAAATACGGAAACAGCTCCTTCCGAAAAATCTACTCTGAAATTTTAACAACCACTTTAGCCAAGCTAATGGGTTGGTAGTTCTCAGGTTAAGGTTTCCTACCTGTTTTGAAGACAGGCCTTACTATGGAGTTCTCCCAGTTTTTTGGTAAACGAACCTGAGTTACGGATAGCTTAAAGCATATATTTAAAGTGTTCGCAACGAAGTTATACAATTCCGTTTGTAGCCTAAGATGCAATTCATCGGGCCCTGTGGATTTACCTATGTCAAGCTTGTTTAGCAGACCAAAAACATCGAGTTCTTTAACGGTCACGCTGTCCAGTGTTTGTGTGGGAGGATTTTTATAGACTGGCGGGAAAAGTGTTTCTATGGTACATACATTACGTCACAGATCAATTAATTATCCCTTTTTGTTTATCTAGTTGTTTGTGAAGTATTTTTGTAACAACTTTAAATAGCCAGTTAAAAAGTTCTCTCATTAGTCTTTACTTTATTACTCATTTATTATTATTAATGTAAATTTAACTATGTTTAGCATCTTATCTTGGTATCACACATGAATAATTTTCTGTTAGTGTGAGATTAACATACATTTAAAGTTACTTTACCACGAGATGATAACATTCTCATTTTACATGCTATACTTGATTCTTCTTTGTTTTACTTTAGCCAACTGTAAAATCCATTTTTCGACCATTACAATCCAAAAATGTAATTCAGCCAGAAAATGTTGAATTAACTGTTCAAAACCTGCCTCAGTCGACTACACAAACTCAGCTTAAAATAGAATTTCCTACAGCAGTATCTATAAAATTAAAAACTGATATATGGGATGTACAGAAAAAGTAAAGTATTTTGGTCTTCATCTTATTTTAAGTAAAGTTAATATTCTGACTTGCTAGGGACCTTTTTAAAAGTGAACGTTTACTTGTTTCCGGAAACTGATCAGTAACGTTTACTATTGTGTAATCGTGTGCTTATCAGATATTACAATTCGATTTGTTTGGTGATTTGCATTCAAAGATAACGACCAACAGAGAGTATATAACTTCGCGTCAAAATACATTGATTCCACCCTATTTTATTTCATAAACTGTCCAACTTTATAGAGATTCGAAAAAAATTGATTGTACACAGTAATATTCGTTCTCGGTGTTCTCCATAGTAGTTGCAATAGTAGATCGGTAGTAATATTTCCCTCGTGGAACTTTAAAGTGATGCCTCAATAAGTGAATTGCCTGGTTGCAAATTAAACGTTGATCCAACTACTTCGGCTTAGCGGCTGGTTATTGTCACCGCTCTTCACACTAAAAGTGGAGCTCAAAACCAATTGTATGGATCTGTATATCATAAATCAGTGCTAGCATAGCACTATAAATAAATTTGATTGTGAATGAAATGTACCGTCATGCTAGGCAGTGTTGAATCAAATCCCATAGAAAGTGTATCAACTTTCTAAAGAGTAGAGTTATGCCCAATAGCACCATTTAGCATTGAAATTATAGCCCCTGGTTTCCACTTGATTTTGATAAATGATATGCTGTGGCATATTATGAATTTGAATATTTGTAAATTGGAGCAGTGATTTGCTTTTCAAACTACTCAACGTCCAGCTATTGACTCGTTAGTGCAAACCTTGTTTTGCATACTTCGGTTTGAGAATCCAGACTGTATCCCGTCAGTCACAAAAATGTTCAACCTAAATTTCACTTTACTAAACTGTATCGTATTAATAATTTTCAATGTATGTCGCTGTTAACTGTATAAATTTGCTATCAATTCAACTTTTATCAGTTAAGTTGCAAAAGACTTAATTATTCAAGATATTAACTCCTCTTACATACAAGTTTCTTATTCTATCCATCTGTTAGATTTAAGCAAGTTGAAATGACTGCTATTAATATTTTTTACACGTATACAATCACTGTGGTCGAAAGCATATTCAATAAATCATTTTCAAAAAATTAGTATAATTTTAGTTTTTTCTGCTGTTGTTTTCTGTACTACATAATAATTTAGGTTATGTTTGCTAAAATTTCAATGTTCAGAAGATCTCGAAGATGTATTTGAAGATCGTCATCATAAATTAATAGGAGGTCAGACTATTAAAGCTATAATTGGTGTTCAATCAACTCTTCATTATGAATCCTGTGTTGATGATACACAAGATATTCATGGGGTCGAACTTGTTAGAGTACTATCAAATATTGACGATGATAAAATTCGTAAACAATTTCCTGAAAATGCTATTGTTGATTATTATTCAATACCTAATAATGATTCAGTCACTAGGTGAGTGTATAAACAACTTTGATTTTATTATTATGAAAAGATTGATTCTTATCATTATCAAACTAGACTTTTTCAGGAAATGTACGTGTTGAAGATTTTTTTCATCACAAACCATCTTTAGTTGGATAATCACTGAGAACTGGGAAGCAATATATAACCATTTCATATTGTATTACGAACTTACGGTCTCACATGTTTTTATCACTTAGATAATTTGACTACGTTTAAATGTTTAATCATTAACACAATGATTGACAATAATCAATCTTATTGTTCCTTCAAGTTTTTTAAATTATTATTATTGTTATTTCAGAAATGTGTTTATTCGTTTCATAAAACAAGGATTCAATTGGCCATTTATTATGATGTTAAAGAACAATGTATTTTGTGGATTTCCATGGAGTGAGTAATAATATGTTGTGTTATAATATATTCTATATTTGGTTATATATGTTGTTTTATTTAATGTTTTCTTTTTCCAAAAGTGAGAATTAATCGATAGAAATTCACCATTGTTTCTTAGTTTCTAACGTTCAAAGCTGATGTTTTTTTAAGGCTGTTGAATTGGGTGTTCAAACACCCTCCTTCGGAGTAATGCGTGTAACTTAAGGTGTAATGAACGTAGTTCTGTTTTGATGATCAAAGGCTATATATTACTAGCTTAATTCCTCAACTTTTATGCTTATATTGATAATTATCAGGACCTATTTAATGCGCAGATGTTTTTAATCATGAGTAAATATAAACTGGGATTTAGGTAGTAGGCGGAAAAAAAATTAAAGTATGAAAACTACGACAGGGAAAAAGTCAAAAATAACCAATCGACAGAACAAGTTGTCAACCATATGTGGAGAAATTCGAATACCTCACTTCTAACTGAAGCTTATGCTGAATTTGTTCAGTAAAACAATGAAAACTTCACGTCTCAGTAAACGAAACCCCAGCAAAACAAATTGAGACATCCTCCTTTTGTAGTTTGAATTTGAGAAAAAATGAAGTTCTAAACTTTGGAGAAGTTATAAACTAGCAATTTGAGCGTTTTGATTTTTTTCTGATTTAAATCCCAAGGCATTCTTGCAAGTGAATAGTTGTGATTTCTTTATATTCAATAACTATTTGTGATCATTTTATCATAAACGTGTTTTTCGTAACAAGTGACTTTGTAGACCAGTTAAAATAATGATCACTGTTCACATGGATTAGAAATAGTGACATCTAAATCCGATCCTCACTGTCGAGTAATGAATTAGTTGTTGAAGCACTCGATCTTTTTAAACCACTGGATTATGGATTTGATATCAATCCTCATTTAGTTTGTCCAGTCGATTGATGAGGTGATGATTCTTCATAAACTGAGGTGATTGGAACATATGTTGCGTATGACCGACCACTGCCTACCACAAAAGTCTATGTTTTCCAGTATAGGGAAGGCTGTAGGAAAGCTGAGGGCGGCCAAACCAAAACATGGCATCAGTTCATGAAATCGCTAACAATTGGACTTAGCTGTGTTAATAGGTGTAGACTATTGATTGGTTGGGGTCCGCGTGGTCATCGTAATCAATGGTTTGAAAGTATAGATCCTAAATTCCTCATATTTTTATTTTAAATCGCATGCCTAATTTTTTTATTAGCACTGATGTTACCACCTCTAATATTCTGAAATTTGGCCTGACAATTTAATTTTTTGTGGTAATCAAGTATGGCAACTTCAACTGATGTACATACGTACCAGGTTATACGTTGTGACTGACTTATCCAGCTTTGATCACACCAACTTGGGGTTAGGGATTTAATCATGTTCCGTTGAAGATTAACTGGTCAGTTTCGCCAGTGATTTTTGTTATTTAGTTATCTGTAAGCCACAAATATTTATTCAAAATCAATTTAGCGTTATATATTAATCATATTAAAGTGGCAAGAATTAATCCCATTTCGATCAATCTGGCAGGTTCACTCAGGAATTCTAATACCTTAAGTGTTGATCTTTGCTCCAAAATAGTGTAATAAAACTCGAAATAGGTTAATCACATCTCTAATGTGAAATGTTATTTCAAAAGTAACAGTGTGGATCAATATTTAGTTCGAGTTTACCAACCATTACACTTCAGATATACACATAGTCCTGTTGAATTAGTAGTTTTAAGATCTCGATATTGGTCTTTAAGTTTTGGTAACTTACCTAACTCACCTCTCCGACTTACGGTCCTTTCGAAGTGTAAGTAAACGTCTAAATAGTCAGTTCGTTCTCCTTCCTAGTCGTTAAACATAATCACTGAAGTTAAGAAATTTCATTCGATGTTTCATACTGATTAAACAGCCACTGAGTGAGGTTACGATGACGCACAGATTTTCATTACTTATCTCTTTTAGGTGTACAGACATTTTATTTTTGTTGTCTGGATGTCCCAACTATGTTTTTTTTTCAACTAAAAGTTTTTGAATACGTAGGTAGTAATAGATTATGCTTTGTGTAAATGAATATTTTAACCGTATATGTTTTTTTCCTGAAAATGATCGGTTGTCTATTCTATATTGTCAATGATGAATATAAGTACGTACGTAATCTAGAATGCTATTTTACCGACAGTATATGAAAAAGTGCACCCCATCGACTCTCGGACGTCGTAGGTATTGATGATACCTACAAGTTCCACAGAAGACATTAGATTCCCTAATGAAGGTGATTTCAGTAGCGTCCGGAGGAAATTCCAAACTGATCGAAGGTTTTTTTCTGATTCAGTGTTTTGACAAGAGTATCAGTAGTGTTCCACCGGTAGTGTTTAATTAAACAAGCATTGTTACAAGGAGGCATCAAATACATATGCGCTACACAAATTATTCGATTTCTGTGAGAGTTAGATCATTACCCGGGTGCCCAAACCGGAGCAGGTGTTCTTCTTAGGGAGCCACTCCCTAGAGCTTCGACCAAGAGGTTTGACCCACAAGGCAGTGTACCAGCGCTGGGAAATGCAGTCCCATGGTAACCGGTGACCAACAATAGGTTCATACACCTTTTGTTCCCACAGGATCCTGGAACTCATGTGTACCACTGGTTTGGAATCAGGGTTTTCCAGCTAACTCTTCTAGATGGATCCTCCATATCCACCAACTCAGTTTAGGCAACGAACATTCGCTTTTCGTCCTTTTAATTTCGTAAACAGCACCCTCTCCGCGAGAAGACAGTGAGTAAAAGTTCTCTGGCAGTAGCTGTATACGCGTGGCCATGTGAGAGTATTTCTAGAGTAAGAGATGACTCTCCCCAACCTCGACCGTACCAGGGCATTTTGGTAGTGACATTCCTACCATAAATAATCATCTATCTACCAACCATCGGAAAGCCTATCGTATAACGTACTATTTATATAGCACCCAACATTCTTCGTATGGTGATTTTGCTATATTAGACGAACATGCTTCTTATAAAGTATCTTAGCTGGCAGATTATAAATTCTTCTGCATCTTATGTGCACGAAAAACATTGAACTTTAAATATAAACTTACTCTAGTGATATCAATTCGTGCAGGTTACACCATTGACTAAATGCCATTAAAGAGAATACCGTTTTTCATTAATCTTTAAAAAGACCTGGCAGGGAAAAAAGTGACCCAAGGGTTTCAGACCACAAGGATTACTGCCTATGTAGGACTTTACTGCTGCCTCCGGGAAATCAACACAGGATGATATCGATGTTCAACTTAAATCGAAAGTGTCCGATTTTATGTTGCGTATTCCAGTCATTTTTAGGTGCTTACTAGTTGAATGCTAAAGTGCATGAGTTAGGTATAGAATTGTGATAGTAATCTGTAACTCGATTTATCGGACTCACTCGCGTTAATCCGAAAGCTTAACAACCGTTCAGTATTGAAAGTGATAGTATAGTTGATTATATCAACAGACCACCGGAAAACCACTAAGTAACATAATATTGAATACGGGAAGGTGGGCTATCCTAATAGATATCATTATCATCATACTCAACGTAGAACCTGACACAGGGACATCGGTTTAAGTTGCCATATCACATTAGCACAGCAAGATGAAATTATTTCAAGACTAATCCCAAACTAGTAACCGAGGTCGTGGATGCGCACTGCTGAGGAGTCCCATAATAGGACGAAACGGCCGTTCAGTGCTTCCAGGTTTTCCATGGTGGTCTAGCTTCAAATGACTCATGATCTTAACCATTGAAAATAAAAATAAGATTTATAAGGATTTCGACAATTGAAGAAGAAAACGTGTGCACCTGTGCATTTGGTCTATTTCATCCGAAATCCCTTAAAATTGGTTACGATAATCACGTTAACTTTAGCCAGGTAGTCCACATCCATTTACAGATGTTATAAAAGTAAACGTTTTTCCAGATGCTAAATCCAGTTACCTTTTCAGCACTTCACTGGTCACCGTAACAAGTGTGAAGTAATTACCCACGGAAAACAATGTAAGATGGTTGCGCGACATTGTGAATTGATTGGAGCTAGACAATAACACCGTCAGATGCAAGCTCAGTCGCTTCGAATTTAAGCGTTCGAGTCCCACTAGCGGTATCGTGAATATCCCATATTGTGACGAAACTGCTTTGCAGATTTCCCATGATGATTTATTATTAATCGGTTCATGATTTCAATGCAATAATTATTCTTTGACCCTTTGCGGATTGATATTATTCACTGTCTAGACACAAAACCATTAACAAACCTATTTAGTCTCCGATATTCCTCCCCTCTTTAATCGGATTTCACATGTTGCCGCGACTCCTGAACTTAATATTTAGGCTTTTTCTACTATGTTAGTGACCCACTTTATGATTGGTCGTTCCAACGTTTTAAATAACGAACGTTGAATTCCACAGTAATGAATTAAAGCTCATTACAAGATCTTGACCCAAAAGTAACACACCAGTCAATTTACTTATAGTTTTGTGAACTTGACCTTAATCAATAATTGCTACTGAATGTGATTATTTGTTCTAGTGTGTATGATGCCGGGAACGTTCCACCAATTCATTATTTTGTTTGTTTCGAAAAAATCAATTCTATGTTTTAGAAATAGAATGAAGAGAATAACTCAACGATCATGAATATTACAATGTACTTGTCATGTAGGGAAAACAAAAAAACACATTTATTTTTAGAAATAAGCTAGTATTTCACAAAAAAAACAAATGTTTTGTAGTTATGTGTAATTTTACAGGTTTGACCTTGCTACTTTTAAATTAAAATGTTCCAACCTCCTATCTCGTTCTACTTTTCTTCATTGTGAGTAGTAGTTAATGTTGTTTTAGGCCCCATAGACATGTAATTAGGTTATCTAGTTTTATTTATTGAGAAACACTTGTCTAGGGTATCAGATAACGCCTTTCTGGTTGTTCTTTGAATATGTTCTAATGAACTTATGCCTTCATAGGACAAG